GTGTGCATGCATCAATGGTTCTCCCTAAGATGGGGGAGGTGTTGATGGTGATTGTAGACAGGGGATGTGTTGGACTCCCAGACTGACACAGAGGAGAGATTGAACAGAGAATGCCCCCACTGCCACAGGACAATGGACCCCCATCAGACCATACAACTCTACACAGGATAGCTGGAGGACGGCCATCAACCCTTACAGACAACCAGCTAGTTACTATCACATCTATAAGAACTCCGACTGAGCTGAACAGAGACAAAATAAAGGGTAATGATAGGCAGATCAGAGGTCAATACCTGCAAGGTGAGAGGTCAAATTTTGTAAAGCATGTTCTGACTATATCCAACCATCAATGGAACCAGGGTAGCACCATATCCAGATCAACATGTGTTTTTAACCTCCACAATCCCAACAAACACCAAGGGAGAAGAAAATGCAACTTGATCTGTAAAAAAAGCCAACCTGCTCCCCTCCTCTCTACCTAATTTACCATCACAGTCCCCTTAGTTCCCCCACAGGTAAAACCTACGGGGGAGGCAGGGAACTCTAAACCTGACCCTACCAGAAAGGAGGGGAACTCTGACCCTGCCGGGAAGGAAAGGAACTCTGACCCTGCCAGGAAGGGAGGGAACTCTGACCCTGCCAGGAAGGCAGGGAACTCTGCCAGGAAGGATAGGAACTCGGACCCTGCCAGGAAGGAAGGGAACTCTGACCCTGCCGGGAAGGAAGGGAACTCTGACCCTGCCAGGAAGGAAGGGAACTCTGACCCTGCCGGGAAGGAAGGGAACTCTGACCCTGCCAGGAAGGAAGGGAACTCTGACCCTGCCGGGAAGGAAGGGAACTCTGCCCCTGCCGGGAAGGAAGGGAACTCTGACCCTGCCGGGAAGGAAGGGAACTCTGACCCTGCCAGGAAGGAAGGGAACTCTGACCCTGCCGGGAAGGAAGGGAACTCTGCCCCTGCCGGGAAGGAGGGGAACTCTGACCCTGCCAGGAAGGAAGGGAACTCTGACCCTGCCAGGAAGGAAGGGAACTCTGACCCTGCTGGGAAGGAAGGGAACTCTGACCCTGCCAGGAAGGAGGGGAACTCTGACCTTGCCGGGAAGGAAGGGAACTCTGACCCTGCCGGGAGGGAAGAGAACTCTGACCCTGCAGGGAGGGAAGAGAACTCTGACCTTGCCGGGAGGGAAGAGAACTCTGACCCTACAGCAACTTAAGTTGGGCTTTGTATTGTTGGGGATGTATTATGCTGTTAAGTGGCCTAATTACATTGCTACTGGTTGCTATTTTGCAAAATGTGTAATTTATTGGTAATGACATTAGCTTGTAGCCTTGTTTACCTCAGGCATGTCATCTCCTTATTACCGGCTTGCCAACCACTGTAACTGTTGCATGTTTGTAGCTATAAACTCTCCCTTTATAAACGCAACCTGGCACCACCCTAAAAACACCACCCCTGCATTGAAATAACCTGATTGTCCACAGACTAGCTTGTGTGTGTTGCCCTTTGATACAGGGGGTTAAAGAGGAGGGAGGGGAGGAGGCCACAAAGGTCCTCTGTCTGAGTCTGGGAGTGAGGTTATCTGCATCACTCTCTGTGGCAGGGGTCTGATTTCACAACATGCACGCATGCACGGAAACTGGATGTGATGGGGGTGTCCCTAGGGGGAATGGGGTTTGTGTGCTACCCATTCAGACCAGGATAGACGGGACAAAAGCCCTGACAGGCAGTCACATAATATACTGATGGATTTAGGATAGTCGTTGTTCCTCTGACTGTGCCCTAGGAAATTACATACATAGAGCTGTCGAATAAATGTCAACAAAATGTAGAGACATTTCCTGCTAAGTCAGAAGTTCACACAAACATGTCTATCTTCTTGCGACCCACCATGTAAGGAATACAACTGTTCCAGCCAGGATCCAGTCGTCAACTGTTCTAGCCAGGATCCAGTCGTCAACTGTGACTCAAAAGGAGTCAGCTGCAACCCACCACCAGTGGTCCCTTCCCACCATTTGGGAAACATTGGGTGAAATCCTTCATACAATATGAGCTTACACAGTACAGAGAGAATTTTCTGAAATCCTGAGCATCTGAAAATGTTTTATATGCGTAAATATCTGTGATACTAAACGTCTGTGAGATGAAACATTAAAAAGGCCATAGTTTCAGTTAACAGTGGACCCCTGAAATGTTAAATACCTGAGAGGTTTGAGGTGACCTTTGTGAATGGTGGACAGAGAGAAGTTCAGAAATGTCTCACAGGCTTCCCAGAGCCCTCTCTGGGAAGGTTGTGGCCAGAGTTCAGCTCTCTGGGAAGGTTTTGGCCAGTGGTCCGAGTGACCTCCGGCCACAACCTTCCCAGAGAGCCGACCTCTGGCCACAACCTTCCCAGAGAGATGAACTCTAGCCACAACCTTCCCAGAGAGTGCCTAAAGACAGGAAATAACCCTACAAGTGTCACTGTATTGTCTATTCCTAGCGGTAGACTTAACCATAGACCAGGGTTTCCCAAACTCAGTCCTGGGGCTTTCGAGAGGTGCACATTTTGGTTTTGCCCTAGCACTACACAGCTGATTCAAATAATCAACTCATCAAGCTTATTATTTGAATCAGTCACGTAGCGCTTGGGCAAAAACTGAAAAAGTGCACCCCTGGAGTTTTGGGAAACTCTGCCATAGACAATGAAGCTGAAACCAATGTCTTGTTCAAGTGTTCTCTTTTAATCCTGGAGTCTTGACCTCTAACCTCCAGGACACCATTTCTGATTCATTTGTCTAAAACGCTATAAGGACACGTCTGACACCCAAACCGATATTTAATTTCCGAATGTATTAAAATTAGGTTAAGTTAAGGGTTGGTTTAAGCGTCAGCTGTGTCCTTGTCTCTCCTTGCTGAAGCAGTGCTGTAGGATGGGTCAGGGTGGGCCACTGTAAACTTGCTCACATGGTTCAATAGGGGAAAACCATCTATGATTATCTACTGTTGCCCCCTGGTGGTTCATTCAGTCTATTACATCTTTCTAGATTCTACATCTGTAACACAGACCTCACATGCAGAATTGTACACATATATAATATTTAAATACACTTCTATCCAATAAGCATTTTCCATAAGTTTCTATCTTTCATTGCAATATTAATAAGCATTTCTATATCAATGTTAACTAAAATATGTTGTACACATTTTCTTTTACAAACAAAATGGCTCTAAAAACAAAGGACAAAAAGGCAATAAGACAATAAAATGGACCACTTTAATTCTGCACAGGACAACCACAGAGTCAATTTTCAATAGAAAAATAAAATGCACTAGGCTGCTTTGGGCTCATTTCTCAAGTTTGGCTCTCATCTAAGAACTCATCACCATCATCACCCCTGGTGCACAGCCTTCATCTGAGAAGAGGGATAGAATAGCTCCTCATAGTTCTACAACAACCCAAGAACAGAAAAAACAGCACTTCTAGAACATCCAGAATTCTACAACAGAACTCCAGTAGTATTCTCATGTGGTTTTAGTCTAGAATCAGAACCATTATATCTGTGGTCAAAATGCAGGACCAGACCTGAGGCTCCAGTTCCTTTGGTGTTAGTGGAGACATTCAATTTCATGGTTTGGCCATGTAATTACTTCCCTTTACAATAAACAAAAACTCAACGCTAAACAATCCCAACATGGAGACATAACATAGACCACCAGACTGACTGACTATCATGGTCTCACAACTCCTGGGATAAAACAAGCTTGTTACTGGAATAGGCCTCAGAGACTGAGGTTTCACATAAGGAGCTGCATGCAAACCTACGGTCGTATTTATTGGGCAACAAACGGAAGCAACCGGGCCGAAACGGGGAGGTACTACCTGAACATGTACAATAAGAAACTCATTCTTGTTTTCCATTGTAAAACACTTCGTTACGTTGTTCCCTAATGAATACGACCCATGTCTCAGTCAGAACAGTGGCAGCCAGTCAGTTTGAAAGAGTAATAGTAGGAAATACAAAATGACTAATGACTTTTATGATCAGCTGTCAGTAGAACAGAGTTAAGAGAGAAGAGGAACGTGATAAAGCAATTCTGTTGACTCATCAAAAACATAGCTTCTTTGAGGTCCTAATCCCTGATCCCTCCCCTTCAAATATAATTGTTCTTTTTTTTTTTTTTATATATCATTTTTTATGAATCCACTTGAACATAAATAACACCATTATTGCGCATTAGAATGATCTGATTAAGTACAACCAGGGTTCTCCCCTAAGCATGTAAGAGGGGTGCTGTGCCACCTTGTGGACTGGTTGCACCACTATGTAAATTGTTATCTTTATTTGTTATCATTTAAGGCCCACCGCCGTACTCAGCAGCACCACCGTGTTAAAAAATCCTGGGGAGAACCCTGTACATATCACACATACTGGAATCAACGTCGTGGTACTATTTGGGCAAGGCAATGAATAGGCAAACCAATACAGAATAAAACAAAACATTTAAATCATCATCAATTGAGGCAGCTACAGAAATCTAAAACCAATGCCGTAAACAAAGAAGCACTTCACAATGCCATGCACACAATTTCTAACAAAAATACTTTTTTAAATATCAAACTTCTATTCAGTCATTAATAGTTTTAGAATTAGAATGTGTCATAATAAACAGAGAGATAATCAAACTAATGGATATCAAACCAATGAAATGAATTTCTTATTTTCAGGTGGAAACAGTGAGGTTACATGAAAACATTAGAATCAATTAAGTGAATGCCCGTCCCAAATGGCACTATATTCCCTATATAGTGCACTACTTTTGACTAGAGCCCTATGGGTTCCAATCAAAAGCAGTGCAATACATAGGGAATAGAGTGCCAATTAGGATTAATCCAATGAGAATCTATACATGGTCCTGGAGGGGAAAAACAACAACCATAGGTCCAAATGAAACTCAATCAAATGATGCTTGCTTTTAGTGCATATTAACAAGGCTGGTAAGAAACGTGTCCCGATTAGACAACTCATTCACTGTCCAACTCCTTCATTAATTCGTCCGAGCCATTCGTTGTTAGGGATATTTGGTCAGGGGCGGCTTCTGTGGGAACCTCCTGGAATGAGAGAAACAAGAATTGCTCAGTTAATTTCAACATACAAAAACAGAACAACCTTCTGTTGGACAAACTAATGATTTCTTTATGAACAGTCCATATTATAACTGTACTGCTTATGAATTCATTATGTAAGATAGTGAAACTTCGAACTTGTAAGACAAGTACATTGTTGTCTTATCACACAGCTGATTATAGCACAAATCCTAAACTTTACCATAGAGGACCACTTTGGAAACAAGTGTTTTAATTAATAAGTTGAAGTGCTTTCCTCTGGATATACAATGTATACTGAACAAAAATATTAACGCAACATGTAAAGTGTTGGTCCCATGTTTCATGAGCTGAAATAAAAGATCCCAGACATTTTCCGTAAGCACAAAAAGCTTATTTCGCTCAAATGTTGTGCACAAATTTGTTTACATCCCCGTTAGTGAGCATTTCTTCTTTGCCAAGATAATCCTTCCACCTGGCAGTTGTGGCATATCAACAAGCTGATTAAACAGCATGATCATTACACAGGTGCACCTTGTGCTGGGGACAATAAAAGGCCACTATAAAATGTGCTGTTCTGTCACACAACCCCACAGATGTCTCAAGTTGAGGGAGCGTGCAACTGGCATGCTGACTGCAGGAATGTCCACCAGAGCTGTTGCCAGAGAATGTAATGTTCATTTCTCTACAATAAGCCGCCTCCAACGTTGTTTTAGAGAATTTGGCAGTACGTCCAACAGGCCTCACAACCGCAGACCACGTGTATGGCGTTGTGTGGGCGAGCGGTTTGCTGATGTCAACGTTGTGAACAGTGCCCCATGGTGGCAGTGGGGTTATGGTATGGGCAGGCATAAGCTACGGACAACGAACACAATTGCATTTTATCTATGTCAATTTCAATGCACAAAGATACCGTGACGAGATCCTGAGGCCCATTTTTAAAAAGATATCTGTGACCAACAGATGCATATCTCTATTCCCAGTCATGTGAAATCCATAGATTAGGGCCTACTGAATTCATTTCAATTGATTGATTTCCTTATATGAACTGTAACTCAGTAAAATCTTTGAAATTGTTGCATGTTGCGTTTATATTTTTTGTTCAGTATACATCTTGCTGTATATGTTTTTACCCAAATAAATTCAATTCAAGATCCGCAAATCTCCCAACTAACCCGATCCACCAGCAACTGGTATGTTCTTTCTAACTTCTCTCTTTTACGTAACAAATTATCACAAATCTAAAACCAACTCATGTCTACGAATAAATAAATCAACCAGTCAATCAATCGTACCTTCTTGAGGACTCCCTGAAGTTCCTTCATGGCATTGCCCAGGTTGTTGAGTGTCTTGCTAAGCTGGTAGTGGTAGACCGTGTTCTGTTCCTCTGTGGTCCTGAGGTTGTTCTCTGTCTGGCCCAGGGTTCCCTTCACCACCTCCAGATCTTTAGACAGGACTCTGTTAGCAGATACCAGCTGGAAGATCTGCTTGGTGTCCTCCACTGGAACGCACACACACACACACATATAGCTACAGGTCACACAAATGAATGATAAAATGTATGAAAAATAACCTTATGCATTGTCAATGTTATTTCCATTTCAAGACATTTGTACAATATGTTTTCCGAGAGAGAGAGAAGAGAGAGACAGAGAGGGAGTGAGAGAGAGAGAGATTGCCACCACCTTGAATAAAGGAACAAAATGCTGTACTTCAAGTTGAACCTTTATTACAAATATCAGGTCTGAATCCTAACTTGAGACACACTGGTAAACACAGTTGTGTGTTGATATCAATAGGGGAGTTTCATTAAAGTTTGAATTTGGTGTTTTTAAATTAGGATTATGTGAATTGGAGAGGTAAGTGGATTGTCCTACCCATCTTGGAGTCCTGCACCATGAGTTTCTGCTCTATCTCCTCCCTGGCCTTCTCACTCTTGTCCAGTTTCTGCATCATACTGCCCACGTCCACCATGGCTCCATTATACACTATCAGTCTGCTGCCTCCTCCTGACTCACTAGCCTCCGCTGGCGCTGCCTGGCCACGAGACACAAGCATGGGCAGCAACGCACGGTTACCTGAGGAGGGAGGAGAGAGAGAGGGAAATAGGGAAAGAGAGGGGAGAGGTAGAAAGAGGTAAAGAAAGAGGGAGAGAGAGGTGGAGATAGAGAGGTGGAGACAGAGAGGTGGAGACAGAGAGGTGGAGACAGAGAGGTAAGAGAGTGTTGGACTCAAAATAAACCACAGTAGGTCAGTTCTTACTATGATGTTAGATATTCACCTAAATCACTGGTGAAAGAATAGATTATTCTGATCAACATTAGTAAAGCTTTAAAATGCTTTGAGACGAGTCAAAAAGAGAATTAATAACCCACTCCAGTGTCTCCTTCACTCACCTAGCAGGTTGTCCAGCAGGGCTTCACTGAAGGAAGGAGCAGCCTCGTCTTTAGCTGCGTCCGTCAGTTTACGGTAGTAACACGACTCTCTCACCACCGGCTTGTTCAACAACTTCTTTACCTGCAAATTAATCAACGTTATAAGTAGGGCTAACTAATTATCAATCACATATATTGTGACAAATGTAAAAAGGGTAAGACGGGCGTATGTAACCTTGAGCTCTAGACAGGTATAAGCCCCGTGTGTGTGTGTGTGTGTGTGTTTGTATATACCTGAGCTCTGGACAGATGTAACCCCAGTGTGTACATGATGTCCTCCAGGTCTTTCTCCAGCAGGTAGCCACAGTGACTCTGGTCAAAGTAGACAAAGGCCATGAGCAGGTCCTTGTTGTAGGTCACCATCTGCTTCTTCTCCTTGTCTTTAGAGGACCCCTCTTTGGACTTCCTGTCGTCTCTCCTGTCCTCATCGTCTTTACCTGAGAGGGATGGAGAGAAATAGATCATAACAGAGGAGAGAGAAAAAGGAGGGAAGTCGATCAGATTGGCCCTTCTATTGAAATCACACCGCATAAACTGGAAGAGAGATACAGGAGAGTGTCAGTCCAGAATGAGAGGACAGGACAGGAGAGTGTCAGTCCAGAATGAGAGGACAGGACAGGAGAGTGTCAGTCCAGAATGAGAGGACAGGACAGGAGATTGTCAGTCCAGAATGAGAGGACAGGACAGGAGAGTGTCAGTCCAGAATGAGAGGACAGGAGAGTGTCAGTGCAGAATGAGAGGACAGTGCAGAATGAGAGGACAGGACAGGAATGTCAGTGCAGAATGAGAGGACAGGGCAGGAGTGTCAGTCCAGAATGAGAGGATAGGAGAGTGTCAGTGCAGAATGAGAGGACAGTGCAGAATGAGAGGACAGGACAGGAGTGTCAGTGCAGAATGAGAGGACAGGACAGGACAGGAGTGTCAGTGCAGAATGAGAGGACAGGACAGGAGTGTCAGTGCAGAATGAGAGGACAGTACAGGACAGGAGTGTCAGTGCAGAATGAGAGGACAGGACAGGAGAGTATCAGTGCAGAATGAAAGGACAGGACAGGAGAGTCAGTGCAGAATGAGAGGACAGGACAGGAGAGTATCAGTGCAGAATGAGAGAACAGGACAGGAGAGTATCAATGCAGAATGAGAGGACAGGACAGGAGAGTATCAGTGCAGAATGAGAGGACAGGACAGGAGAGTATCAGTGCAGAATGAGAGGACAGGACAGGAGAGTCAGTGCAGAATAAGAGGACAGGACAGGAGAGTATCAGTGCAGAATGAGAGGACAGGACAGGAGAGTATCAGTGCAGAATGAGAGGACAGGACAGGAGTGTCAGTGCAGAATGAGAGGACAGGAGTGTCAGTGCAGAATGAGAGGACAAGACAGGAGTATCAGTGCAGAATGAGAGGACAGGACAGGAGTGTCAGTGCAGAATGAGAGGACAGGACAGGAGAGTATCAGTGCAGAATGAGAGGACAGGAGAGTCAGTGCAGTATGAGAGGACAGGACAGGAGTGTCAGTGCAGAATGAGAGGACAGGACAGGAGTGTCAGTGCAGAATGAGAGGACAGGACAGGAGTGTCAGTGCAGAATCATATGTACCATCTTCATCGTCGTCGTCTTCGGCCTCCAGAGGGTCGTACTCCTCAGCATTATTGTTGCTGCTCTCATCTTCCTCCTTCTCCTCTATAGACTCCTCCTTTTTCAGCACCTTCTCTTCCTCTTCCTTCTTCTTCTTCTCCTCCTCCTCCTTCTCGCCCTCCTTCTCACCCTCCTCCTCACCCTCACCCTCCTCCTGGGTTTGGAAAGGAAATGACAGTTAGAACTAGCAGGCCGTTTGAAAAACCGAGCATTTGAATCATGGAGTAAACTTAAACTGTAAACTGCTTCATGATCTAGTAAAACTGTCAATATGAATACAATTCACCTTCAAGAGCTATGAACCACCCACCTTCTTCTCCGGTTCCTCTTCTTTTGCCTTCTTCATAGCCGGCTCTCCACTCTTCTCCTCGTCTTTCTTAACTTCCCCCTTCTGCCCCGCCTCTCTCTGCCCCGCCTCTCTCTTGGCCTTGTCCTTCTTGTCGTCCTTGCAGGGCACAGAGGCCAGGGCCTTGAAGATCCTGTAGCCAAAGTCTCTCTGTAGCATCTCGTTAAACAGCTCCGCAAACAGAGACACCTGGAGAGAAGAGGAGACAGAGATATTTGATGCAAATCTGTACTTCTAGGCATCTAAATAATAATAATAATAATAATAATAAGCCATTTAGCAGACGCTTTTATCCAAAGCGACTTACAGTCATGCGTGCATACATTATTTATTTTTTTGTGTATGGGTGGTCCCGGGGATCGAACCCACTACCTTGGCGTTACAAGCGCCGTGCTCTACCAGTTGAGCTACAGAGGACCACATGAGTGTAAAAGTGTGTGTGTGTGTGTATGTCCTGAATGTGTGTGTGTTGTCTCACCTCGAAGGAGTGTTCCTTGTTGTCCTCCAGTCTGTAGTCCAGCAGCACGCTCAGAGACATGACGCTGCAGTCAAACTTTCCGCTCTTGGCCGCCCAGTTGGGGTGTACGATGATGGTGGGCTCGTCTGGCAGGACGTAACGCTTCTCTCTGCGCTGGCGCTCCAACTCCTCCTGCTTCTTCCTCTCCTCCTCCTGATGGACGGACAGAGAGAGATGGAGAGATGGATAATCAGAAACAAGTAATCAGTGGATCCATTCTAGTAAGCCATCCATGGTGATGCTGTTGGTAAGTGTGCTACCTGTCCCTAAGTTTTTTATTTATTTTACCTTTATTTAACTAGGCAAGTCAGTTAAGAACAAATTCTTATTTACAATGACGGCCTACACCGGCCAAACCCGGACGACACTGGGCCAATTGTGCGCCGCCCTATGGGACTCCCAATCACGGCCGGTTGTGATACAGCCTGGAATCAAACCAGGGGGTCTGTAGTGACGCCTCAAGCCCTGAGATGCAGTGCCTTAGACCGCTACGACACTCGGGAGCTTAGTGCACTAAAAGCATACCTCTGTCCAGCTTTGGTGCTTCTGTCTATAAGTACGTGAACTAGTTGTAAGTGTCCTAGTCTTAAGTACCCTAACTTCCTGTACTGTACCTCTCTGTCCTCCTCCATGAGTTGAGGCGCCTCCTCCTCCGGGGCCTGGCTCTCCGGTATCTCGGGCTCCTTGGACTCCTCCACCTGCTCCTCCACCTTCAACTGCTTGGTGAGACGGGCAATCAGCTGGGACTTTAACCCCTTAGAGCTCAGGGAGCGGGACTCTAACTCCTTACGAAGGTCATTCACCTACAGAGGAGAGGTGGTTGGTCAGTTCATCATTAAGCATTATTTTATTACACATTTTGAAAAGTTAGGAACTCGCACATCTAGAATGTCTCGTGTTAGGATTGGATATGCAATGTGATTCAAAAGTGGAAGCTCCTGTCACATTGTTTAAAACTATTTTGTGCTGAACAAACGTTGCAAGTGAGTAGTATGCAGTGTGCAGTAAGCAGTACGCAGTGAGCAGTACGGAGACTGTGGAAGCTGCTTCTTTTGTATCACTTTACTACACAGCAACACAGAAATCAATATATCAACACATCACTACAGCAACACATCAGTCAACACACCACATAACTACATCACCACAGGAATGAGCCAAACAATACATAAGTACATAACAAAAAATAAGCACACCAGGAAACTACAGCAAAATACAAGCCCTGTGGAGGAGCTAATTATAGATAGGAATGCACTGTCATGACTTGTGATTAGTCTATTGTTAGGATGGTTGTGATGTTGCGTGGCTAGGGAGACGAGGACGTGGGGAACTGACTAAACCAAAACCGCTAATAGTACGTCAGAAGAAAAAAGTATCCTGCCTGACTTGCTAGCAGTGCCAAGGTTGTGGCATTTCCTGCAGTGATAATTTTTTTTACATTTACATTTTTAGTCATTTAGCAGACGCTCTTATCCAGAGCGACTTACAGTTTTAGTGAATACATATTTTTAAAAATATTTTTCATTTTTTATTTTTTTTATACTGGCCCCCCGTGGGAATCGAACCCACAACCCTGGCGTTGCAAACGCCATGCTCTATCAACTGAGCTACATCCCTGCCGGCCATTCCATCCCCTACCCTGGACGACGCTGGGCCAATTGTGCACCGCCCATGAGTCTCCCGGTCGCGGCCGGCTGCGACAGAGCCTGGATTCGAACCAGGATCTCTAGTGGCACAGTTAGCACTGCGATGCAGTGCCTTAGACCACTGCGCCACTCATCACCATACACATACATTTCTTTTGACTATGCACTCACTGTACTGTAAAACTGTTTGAATAAAAGTATCTGCTAAGTGGTTTTGAAAGTCAAAGTAGTTAACTTTGTACTGACTGAGTAGTATTCAGTCATTTCTCAAGTATAGGCTATTCAACAATCAAATCCATGAGTATCCTACCTTCATTGATTTCGGATCAAGCTTAGCCCAGTGTGTCGGAGTGGTCACCTCCTTCGAATCTTCTTCATCCTTCTCCTCTTCCTCCTTTGAGAAAGACCCATCCAACCAAGACAGAAAGAAAGAGAGAGGGACCATTAAAACACTTCTTCTGCCGTTTTAACTAGTAAAAAAAAAAGTTGATCCGTGCAAGAAGCAAGGTTCACATCCTGTGTCTCTGATAGTTTCTCTGGTCCTAGTGAGTTGCTCTGAGATGATAAAGTAGTCCTCTGCTACTGCAGGGTGGGTAGGTAGGTAACACAGGGATACCACCCTCTAGTTCTTTATAATAAAACCTTTATCAAACCCACGGAAAACCAATGCCCCGCCCCCCAGCGGCCAATCAATCACGTTCTGTGGAACACAAAAAGGTAAATCAATGACAGTGGGTTCCAAAGGGGGTGTGGTCTGTGTAGTGGTAGGTACATCAGGTTCAGCTCAAAGCTGGTGCCCCCAAACTCAGCATATAGCCTAACTGTCTAGCTAGCCATCCTAATTTAGCATGGATTCTGATTCAGGATAGTTCTGGATTCTGCATTCTTTTGGTTTTGTTTAGGTTCTAGAAGATCATAGAAGACCTTCTGTCCAACCAACTGCCCTGGAACAAACCAAGCTCTAGATACAGTCCAATCAAAAACAGGGACAGACAAGAGACAGAACTTAGAGGGGCTTTTCTCTCCTTTCGAATTCAGCAGATATTGAAGTAAACAAATTATCATAAAAAGGAATCAAAATCTAGAACACACAAACATGTCAACGCAACTGGCTCTGCAGGTTCCAGCATTCTCTTTTAGAATCCTCAGTGGTTCCAAGCAAAGAATCAAATGTAATTTTATCCACCCCACATGCAAGTAGACAATTCCAAGCAGGTTCATTTTTGATTAATTGTGATAATAACACAAGCAAATGAAGTAAATTAAAACTTAAGCTATATCCAGTTTGGTACCGAATTATGAGTCATTTCTAGAGCTGGAAGCTGATTGGCCAGTTGCGGCTGTATCATTCAGATACGACCTAGTCTCCTTCCACTGTGTGTCTGCCGAGTGTGAGGGCGGGTGGGGGTGTAGAGCAGGGAGGGTGGGGGTAGGAGCAGGTAGCAGGACGGTAGGAGAGGAACTGAACCTAAAGGGGGTCTGGTAGTTCAGTATTCTGCCTGTATTGTGTGTATTTAGGTGGGTATAACATATGTAGTGTGTGTATCTGAGGTTGTTGTGTCTAGTGAATATCCTGTGGCTGTGTTCGTCCTGTGAGAAGCGGGGGAAATGAGAAGAGAAGGATTAGCGGTTCAGTGCCTGTTCTCCATCAGCCTCCTTCCTCTCGGCGGACAGCTTCTCAGCCAGCTGTTCCCGGAGTCCCCGCGACAGCCCCTCCCACTCTGAGCGGGTAGGAAGACAATGCCAAACATCCGGGAGAAACAAAACCACTGTCTCCACATGTGCGGGCACTGTCCGCCCCTTGTGAGTCTCCTCAGGGCGATGATAGCGAATCTCTGCAAAACGATACCTGTCGCAAAGGAAGAAGGCGCATTGGAAAGAAACATTCGGGTCAGGGACACACATCTCTTAAAAACAGGGCTAGGGCTAGCCTAGGCTACATTCCCCCCCAATGACTTTTGAAATTGTTACAGTATCCCCCCAACACACAGAACACACAATTAGCATAATGGAACCCAGTCCACAGCTCTCCATTGGTTGTCAGGGGTAACGGTGGCCATTTTGGGAAATTTGACAGAAAAACATTACCCCTGGTAACACCCCCAAAACCACCCCAACCCTCGCCTTCAGCCAATTAAAGCTCAGTATTTCTGCGTTACGACCTCACGGACGGGAGAGTTTGAGAGAAGACACAGAATCAGAGGACAGGACAGTGAAAGCAAGAAGTTAAATATGTAAGATATTTAACAGAATAAAAGGGGGAAAAAAATTAACCCGAAAAAGTAATTGTGGCGTCTTCTCGTCCGGGAGACTGCTCTTCAAGCCACAGAATCAATGCATTCACTCATTCATCCACCACATAGATATACAAAGATATTGAAAATCAGGACGGCATCATACGGAAGCCAAAGGGACATATTGCGAAACAAAAAATGATTAACAGGCAAATCAAATGACAGAATAATAGTAATTAATGTCCAAAAAACAACCCCCCCCCACCCCCCCACCCCCCAAAAAAAAAGCACCCATCCAAAGTGTCAGAGATCGATATTAAGTGTTGGAAGGTAAGAAAACCATCACGGACCGTCGCAATTTGTATTTTTTTGTAATAATATTACCACAGGCCTAGTTATATAGAGAAACACCATCGAGACAGAAAAGAGAGAAAGGAGGTTGAGGAAAAGAGCAGGACTTACCACTGAGTGCAGAGACTCAGGTCTATGCCTGTGAGGGCCTTACAACAGCGTATGGCTGTCTTTATGAGCACAGCCGGGTCCTTCTCAGGCTCCGCTCCATCCAGGGAGGGGGACCAGTGACCCCCAATAGCCATGGCCTCGTCCTTACCCCGCATCCCCACTAGGAACTGATTATATATATTTTTTTTTAAAGAGAGAGAGAGTGAGAGCGAGGATAGAGAGAGAGAGAGCGAGGATAGAGAGAGAGAGAGAGAGCGAGAAGGAGAGAGAGAGAGAGAGCGAGAAGGAGAGAGAGAGAGAGCGAGAAGGAGAGAGAGAGCGAGAGCGATACAGAGAGAGAGCGAGAAGGATAGAGAGCGAGAAGGATAGAGAGCGAGAAGGATAGAGAGAGCGAGAGTGAGAGCGAGAGAGATAAATTGAAAAGAGAAACAAGAGAAGTCAAAAAACAAGCCTAAGCCATGGGACTAACTCCATAACTACAACGTACTGTACAAACCAGAGTGGTTGACACCTAACTGACCTTGATGAGGCGGGCGGGGTGCTGGAAGGAGTCTCTAAGTTCTTGGGGGTCCTCAGCCAGAGCACAGGACTTATGGTAGAGCTCCTCTAGACTGGGGTTGGCCAGCAACATCACCTGTTTAACACAAGACAACAGACAGGACAGGACAGGTCAAAGTGTGAACGTTTGTATGTGTGGACTACCTTAGTGCTGTATGTGGTATTAGTAGGTGTGCGTGTGTGTATCACAACATAGCGCTGTACAGGTGTGTGTGTGTGTCAGGGTTTCCGTCAGCTGGTAATAGCAGTCTTTTGTCAGATAGAAAAAATTGAAAAGCCAATAAATTAAATTGCAGCCGGCCAATTGTTCGGTAGAAGAAGAAAAAAATCCCATTGCGAAATAATGCTTTTTAGCCTATTCATGGATGGAAATAGATTTGACTGGTCATGCTTATCGGTCTATAGGTTAATTTGCATAATTTAGTGGAATTAAATTGGCGCTTGTGTACAGTCTATTCGTTATGTATCTTATTTATCACACACGTACAGCATACAGATACAGAGACTTTTAGTGGAGAATCTGTCAGACAGCACAAGAGCTGCTGCTGCAGCATCTTGTGGTGCCTTCAAGACAACTGGGAACTCTGAAAAATACAAGATCAAATCATGACGTCAGTGATCTTCAGGTCGGAAAGTCAGAGCTCTAGAAAGAGGCCCAAGTTCCCGAGTTGGATGACCGCTCAAACCAATTTTTCCCCAGTCGGAGCTCGTTTTTCTTCCAGTTCCCAATTGTCTTGAAGTCAGAGATTTCAGAGTTCCCAGCTGTTTTGAACGCGGCATCAAACCACAACGGAAGGCAGGCTTCATCAGCACGTCACACACCACTTTGCAATGAGATGGAGGCAGTATGCATTTTGAAAATGTCTTACCTTGCTTCAAAATAGACTATTTGATCTCCTCGCTTTCTACATTTCTAAAGGATATTTTCATCGCTAATTGCATTATCGAAAGAACATTCACGCGTAGCCTACTGCCTTGTGTGCATTGCTGAGCTTATAATGTGAAGAAATAATAGTTTCTGAAAATGTTTTGCTAAATGCTGTGATTCAATGCGTTTTAACGTTGTTGTTTTTTATGTAGCCGAGGCCTACTGGTTGTATGAATTTGGGATCTATCATCTCACAACTATCCCAGAGTCTGTTTGGAATAGGCAATTTCTTTCTCGACAAGCTGGCCAATAGAATAGGTAGCCTAAACTTTTCTACTATAGTAGATTGACATAGGCTAGTGATGCGCATATGGGTCTGGTACATTTCTCAAATGTCGGGTAAATAAAAATGGAAACCCTGGTGTGTGTGTGTACATGTGCATGCAGCCTGTCTGTGTGTATACCCCACCTTAGCACTGTATGTGTGGTTGGCATCTGGAGGGTCCAGCACCGCAGTGTTCTTGACCAGAGAGTCTACCTCCTTGTGCATGATGTGGAAGTTACAGTAGTTGCCGAACTGGAAGGGTCGTTGCAGGGGGAAGCCATCCACCCAGGTGAACACAGCATTAAAGAAGTCACTGGGGATGTACAGGCTCTGGTAGCGTCTCCTCAGCTCCATCATGTCACAGTTAGAACTGGAGGGGAGAGAAATGCTTCTGTCAGAGAAAATAGTACCGTTCTACCAAATGTACAGTCACTGCAAATGGTTCTAGAATGGATGAAGGACACCTGGGATCCACTTCAATGCAGCTACGACACAAATTGGTTTTTCAATCAATTACCAAACATATTTTATACAAACTCAATTGACCTCCTCATATGGACTTTCTTTATAACTATCAGAAACAACAGGGACAGAATGAAGGATGTATGAAAACTGTAAGAGGCCCAGAGAGGATGCCAATACCCCATGAATATATACAGTCCACTACACACAAAGTTCTAAAGTAAACTGACCCCTGACCCAGAGATCGTATCAATCAAAAGCTGAAACGGATCAATCATCATAATGAATCGTTGACCCACCCGTCCAGGCTGAACTTGGAGAACTGCACGGTATAGCGAGGCACCACCTTGCGAGGGCGGCGGGGGGAGCGGTCACGTCTCGGAGAACGGTCCCTGGAGCGTTTACGTGTGACAGAGCGCTCTCTGGACCTCCTGCGCTCACGGTCTCTTTCACGACTGCGTTCATCCTTGGTCCTGAGGATGAGTTCAGGGCGGTCGTTGCGGTTGGGAAAGCGGGGGGAGGGGTCCAGCCGCCTGACGGGCTGAGGCATCATCCTCCTTGGGGGCTGAAGCAGACCACCTGAGAACACATCTAGAGGGAGGGGGAAACACACACAGAGAGAGAGACAGACAAATACACACACAGACAGACAGATATAACAAATCATCATTTCTTTATTTTCTGCAGAAGTAGCACGTTACCAACTCAAACCAAAAGCATCAGAGAAACACAAATCACCATCATAGCGCCCCCTACCTTTGGGTGGTGGCTGTGACAGCAGAGGCGGAGGGGGGTTCTTGAGGAGCGGGGCCAGGGAGGCTGCAGAGAGCTGGGCCTGGAGCAGGGGAGGAGGGGGGCCCTGGGCCTGTACACTGAAAGTGTTGGGGGGAGGCAGAGATTGGAGCATGTTGGGGCCCGGCTTCATCATGTTGGTGCCTGGAGGCTGGCTCTGGAGAGGGGGGAGAGAGGGGAAAGGTTAGCATTATCCCAGGGCCGTTCCATGAAGTATGTTATCAGAGTGTTTTTGTTTTGATTTCTTGTCCTATATACAGTACCAGTCAAAAGTTTGGACACACCTACTCATTCAAGGATTTTCCTTTATTTGTACCATTTTTTACTATGAAATAACACATATGGAATCATGTAGTAACCAAAAAAAGTGTTAAACAAAGCAGATTATATTTTATATTTGAGATCCTTCAAATAGCCACCCTTTGCCTTGATGACAGCTTTGCACACACTTGGCATTCTCTCAACCAGCTTCACCTGGAATGCTTTTGCAACAGTCTTGAAGGAGTTCCCACATATGCTGAGCACTTGATGGCTGCTTTTCCTTCACTCTGCGGTCTGACTAATCCCAAACCATCTCAATTGGGTTGAGGATGGGGGATTGTAGAGGCCAGGACATCTGATGCAGCACTCCATCACTCTCCTTCTTGGTAAAATAGCCCGTACACAGCCTGGAGTTGTGTTGGGTCATTGTCCTGTTGAAAAACAAATGATAGTCCCACTAAGCCCAAACCAGATGGGATGGCGTATCGCTGCAGAATGCTGTGGTAGCCATGCTGGTTAAGTGTGCCTTGAATTCTAAATAAATCACAGTGTCACCAGCAAAGCACCCCCACACCATAACACCTCCTCCTCCATGCTTTACGGTGGGAACTACACATGCAGAGATCATCCGTTCACCCACACCACGTCTCACAAAGACACGGCGGTTGGAACCAAAAATCTCAAATTTGGACTCCAGAGCAATGGACACATTTCCACCGGTCTAATGTCCATTGCTCGGGTTTCTTGGCCCAAGCAGGTCTCTTATTCTTATTGGTGTCCTTTAGTAGTGGTTTCTTTGCAGCAATTCGACCATGAAGGCCTGATTCACACAGTCCCCTCCGAACAGTTGATGTTGAGATGTGTCTGTTACTTGACTTCTGTGAAGCATTTATTTGGGCTGCAATTTCTGAGGCTGGTAACTCTAATGAACTTATCCTCTACAGCAGAGGTAACTCTGGGTCTTCCATTCCTGTGGTGGTCCTCATGAGAGCCAGTTTCATCATCGCGCTTGATGGTTTTTACGACTGCACTTGAAGAAACGTTCAAAGTTCTTGACATTTTCCATATTGACTGACCTTCATGTCTTCAAGTAATGATGGACTGTCATTTCTCTTTGCTTATTTGAGCTGTTCTTGCCATAATATGGACTTGGTCTTTTACCAAACAGGGCTGTCTTCTGTATACCACCCCCCTACCCTTTTTGGTTACTACATGATTCCATGTGTCTTATTTCATAGTTTTGATGTCTTCACTATTATTCTACAATGTAGAAAATAGTAAAAATTAAGAAAAACCCTTGAATGAGTAGGTGTGTCCTAACTTTTGACTGGTACTGTAGGAGCTTTTAGTTTAAGAAATGTGCTTAATTATGCATAGAGGACATCCACCAAATTAACCAGAGGTTTGTGTCGCTGCCAACAGGTAACCGTGTGCTAAAGCAAAACAGAACTAGAGGAGTAAGGTTTGGTTAGACGTCTTTTTTTCAGCAACATTTTTGGGGGGAGCTGGTGCAGTCATGCTATGTGTCAATCAGGTACAGGGACTCAATTCTGTCAAAAAAACAAGAAAACTACTGCCGAAGTAGCATATATTCAGTCATCATTATCTGCAAAGACAAGGACAAGTTCCACAAAGAAACAAGGCAACAGTAAACATGTTGTCCCCCACGAATGATGACAAACGGGACAGGAGATATGCTTGTTCAAATTTCAGAATTTACGTTGATTACTATAGCGACCCCCTTGGGCCTATCAGTGTAATTTTGTAAATGGCGGATATCTATGGCAAGACTCATCATTCACCCAAGTTTCGTCAAAAGTGGTGTCAGATATCGTGTGGGTTAGCAATACTCAAATTGCATGTGTGCCAAATTTCAGCACTCCGAGTCAAACAGTTCAAGAGATATAATCATGTGCCCCTTATTGTGCCACCATGTGGTTGATATGAATGTTCTTTCAAATGTTGAGTATTGACTGTGTTTGCAACATGTGTACCAAATTGTGTTACAATACGAATACCCTTGACAAATGTATATGCCAGACCACGCCCACGTGAATGTTTATTGGTCAATAGCAGCCATGTTGTTTTAGGTACTAGTATGGAAAATATTGAGTCGAGAGACCTTTGTCCGTAGATGCCACATATCAAGTTTCGTGCAGATCGGTCATTCGGTGTCAGAAGTGTAGCGTTTTAAGTGTTTTTCGCAAGATTCTAAATGGTGGAAAATCCTGAGGCAAAATGTTCCTTGTGAGGAGAGGGACCTATGTACCGAATGTCATTACTTTAGGTTAAACGGGGTGAGGGGCGTGACCTTTCAAAGTTTGCATTTTCAATCTCTTGTTATAGCGCCACTATCTGGCCAGTCAGTATACTTTTTTAAATGCCGGATCTCTATGGCAAGACGCTTCATTCACCCAAGTTTCATCAAAATCTGTCCAGTGCTGTCTGAGATATCGCGTGTGACTAACATACAAACAAACGTATGGACGGAGACCGATCCACTGTCCCCTCCCGATTTCATGGTAGGGGACAACTACAAAAAGGTCAAGTTATAAAACTCTGGAATAATCGGTGTATGGCTTTCTGTGAGATGTATGGAGAAGTGTATGGAGAGTTCCTAACCTGTTTGTATGGTGAAAAAGTGCATATCATGTATGAAAATCATGTATTCATCATAACATTGAAAAAGAAAGGGTTAGAAGTGAAGAAAAAGTGTCAAAAGTGCATTCTGTAAGAAATCCTAGACATCCAAGTATTTGTTCATTTAACTACTGTAATGTCTCAAAAAATGTAAGAGAAAAACACAAAACGCATGACTATCTCAATGGGACTCTCTCATTAGCCTAAATGAACAATGACAGGCCATCTTATGGATAGCACCTATAAAAGCACATTCCCCCCGTTGAGAGATTGACGGATTTCACCGTTAGAGAAGGCCAAAAAATAAGTGTAAAGAGAAATGTAGATGGCATTCTTTGGTGTTTCTGAATTTTTTTCGGAAAGACCATAGATAAAAATGTATTTATAAAAGTATTCAACGCTATGTCCTATGAGCTTTAATTGATCAGGAAGCCATTTTGGTCAAAAACACAAATGAATCCTCAGAGTGAAGAAGGAAGAGAAAGATGAGAGAGAACAGGAGAGAAGAAGAGGGAGAAGCACAGGCATCAGAAAGAAGCAGGAGGATGTATGAAGAAAGAAGGACAGAAAAGAGAGAGAGAGAAAGAGAGTAAGGCTGAGAGAGAAAGAGAGTAAGGCTGAGAGAGAGAGAGAAGAGAGAGAGGAGAGAGGAGTGTAAGGGGAGAGAGAGAGAGAGGAGGAGGAGAGAGAAGAGAGAGTAAGGCAGAGAGGAGAGAGAGGTAAGGCGGAAGAGATAGGAGGTGAGGCGGAGAGAGATAGAGTAGCCAGAGATAGAGAGAGAGAGAGAGTAAGGCAGAGAGAGAGAGAAGGCAAAGAGAGAGAAAGGCGGAGAGAGAGAGAGAGTGTAAGGCGGAGAGAGAGAGAGAGTGTAAGGCGGAGAGAGAGAGTAAGGCAGAGAGAGAGAGGGAGAGAGAGAGAGTAAAGCAGAGAGAGAGAGAGTAAGGCAGAGAGAGAGAGAGAGTAGGCAGCAGGAGAGATAGAGAGAGAGAGAGAGTAGGAGAGGAGATAAGAAGTAGAGAGAGAGAGAGAGAGAGGAGAGAGAGAGGAGAGAGAGGGAGTCAAGGAGAGAGAAGAGAGGAGAGAGGAAGGGAAGGAGGAAGGACGAGATAGATAGAGAGTAAGAGAGAGAGAGAGAGAGGGGAGAGCGGAAGAGAAGAGTGAGAGAGAGAGGAGGAGTAAGGGGAGAAGGAGAGAAGAGAGAGAGTAGAGTGAGCAGAGAAGGGGAGAGAGAGAGAGAGAGTTAAGGCAGAGAGGAAGAGAGAGAGAGAGGAAAAGCAGAGAGAGAGAGAGAGAGAGAGTAAGAGAGAGATAGAGATAGAGAGAGAGTAAGGCAGAGAGAGAGAGAAGAGATAAGGCAGAGAGAGAGAAGATGAGAGTAGAAGGCGGGAGAGAAGAAAGAGAGAGAAGAAGGCGGAGAGAGAGAGAGAAAGGCGGGAGAGAGAGGGAGGAAAGGCGGGGAGAGAGAGGAGAGAGAGAGAGAGCAGTTGAAGGGGGGGGCGGGTGTATGGCGGAGAGAGGAGAGAGAGAGAGAAAGGCGGGGAGAGAGAGTTACATTTTGTCTGCTGTCCATGCCGACGGGGTGCATATCTGAGTAGCGCTGCTGCATCCCCGGGTCAGCATAGAAGCTGCTCAGCTGTGGGGGAACTGGAGGTAAGGACTGGGGCTGCTGCTGATGCTAGGAGGGTGGAGAACAAAGTGGTTAATAACAGATACACAACCATCTGTTCCAATCTGATCACTCTCAAACTTCACTTCTGCACTAATTGAGGCCCCCTCTAAGATCGGAGGGTGAATATGGAAATGGCTCCATCTATACTTCTTGTAGGGTTACATTACATTTTAAATCTGAGAGAGTGAGTCAACCAGGGCAGACGGGAAGAGAGACAAGGATGCAAACTGGCGAGGGCCCAAAAAGTTGACATGGAAACATGGGAAAATTCTGTGTAAACTGCAAGGAAATGTGCTTATGTTCAGAGAGGGGTTGTCACGTTACCAACACTTTACTAACGATGTGATACAAGGTACAATGTCACAATCCCGTTTTTTTATACGTTCTGCATGTGTACGACACAAAAACCTGTCCCTGATATTCACACCTCTACTCAATACAACACATTGAATTTAACTTCACACGGTTTACTGTATAATAGATAAAGCTACTGTTCATATCCAAAGGCCTAGCTGTGATTGGGCAGGAGGGAATAGAAATGCATAATCTGCATTTTCATTGAAGCAATAAGGAGGAAAACACACTATATGAAACCATAATTAGCCTACTCGTCAGACAACTGTACACAAATAGCCAACACTCTCCCTCACACACACACACTCTCCCTCCCTCCCTCCCTCACACACACTCTCCCTCCCTCCCTCCCTCACACACAACCTCTCTCACACACACACACACACAGCTCCCAAAAGTTAGGCACCAAACTGAATTTAAGGAACACCAGAAAAATATACAGATGTTTTATTTCGATATAGATTAGAATGACATTGATTAGGCATCCTACCTTTGAAGCGTCTCTTTGACTAGGCTGTCTGTCCTATGCATAGCCAAGTTACCAGGTTGTTAGCTATCTAGGTAACATGACTAAACAAGCTTGTTTGTTATCAAACAAAAAACTAACGGCGCACGAGTAGTTTAAAAACGGCCCGCGACATGGTTTATGGAATTATATAAAATGCGCATCAACTCGTGGTAGAAAGGGAAGATTATCTCCGGTAATATCGGGCATAACTTTTGAGTGGTTTGGTCTAGAGACACACGGTTTTCAGCGATGTAAAGGCGCAGGCGTGACTGTCACTGTGCTCCGTTCTTCCTCTATGGCAGTGGCACTCAGAGGCTGCGTGACAGCGAAGCCTAGTCAGACTGGACTGTGCTCTTGTTCTTGTTCTTACAGGCGGAATTAAAAGATACGTGTATCTACATCGCTCCAATAATAACATGTAACAGAAGCCTCATCACTGTCTGCACACCCCAGATCGTCATCACGGCTAAATTACATTTTAAAATTGACGGAGATGCGGATGGCGAGAAGCAGATGAGAAGGCGAATGTGCAAATTTCTCTCCGCCCGCTCTTTCTGCACATCTCCATCCGCTTTAAAATGGAATTTAGCCGTGATGCTAATGGCTGGTTAGGTGATGCAGCTGATCACACAAGCTGTCACACATGATAATGGATGAAGCACTATGGCATATCTGACATCACGCTCTGAACTCGGTTTGATATTCTCATTGTAGGAAGCGCAGGGAAGCATTCTGTGCTTAGTCAATGATTTCGATATGAGAAACATACACCCCCCCACCAACATTTTATTTTCTTCGGATCTACGCAGATTACCCATTTTGAAATCAAAACGGCGAATATCGCCGAAAAGTGACGAGTCCCTGAGAGAGACAATGATCAAATTGGAACCAAACCCTGGAAGAACTCAAATCGAGGTCTAAGATGTCACTGGGTAAGGGCCACCAGGATCACGTTCAGTGGGGAGACAAATCTTTTCTTCAGTTTCACTTCATGTCTACTGAATGTGACCCCAGGTGTCTGTGGAGGCTAGGTGAGGCTCACCGATTGGTTGGCCAGCTGAGGTAAGGTCTGAATGCGCTGGGCGTTCCATTTGAAGGGCATGTTGGGGTTATACACGGCCTCCACTAGGACCCTGTCGCCCACCTGGGGGGTCTTCCCTTTCACTGCACTGTGGAGACAACACCCATTATTCACCCACTTGGAAATGCTTTAGAAACTGCAATATATGGAGACTTGAAAAATACATTTCTGCTTTAGAATAATGGTACACAAATCAGGGATGCGACCAGCAAAATATAGAAAACCCATGGAAAAAAGGTACTGGTCCGATGTAATAAGACACTTGATGTAAAACATCTAGCTAAGTCTTCTGTGGCCCAATCCCAAATGGACTCCTAGACCCTATGCACTTGTGGAGATCTGAGAGGGCTTGGGCTAGAGAGGCAGAGACTGGACACTTACCTGAGCTGGAAGAAGACGTCCTCGTCCACAAAGCCAAAGGTGTCGTGAAGCTTGTTGACCACGCCAGTGAAGACGCGCTGCTTCTGGGGCTGGCTCTGCTGCTGGCTCTGCTGCTGGCTCTGCTGCTGGTGGCTGGAGCGAGGCGTGGGATAGGACACGGTGATCTGGGCTGTCTGCTGGGGGTTGGACAGAGAGAGGCTGGTGGGGAGAGCCACGGGGGGCTGGGGAGGAGGAGGAAAGTTATAGGTCAGCAACTTCATCCTACTCCTACCTTCTCTATTAGTCCTAAATGTGTGGATTGTATCAAGCCTAGGGTTGCAAAACTCTGGTAACTTTCCCAAATTGTTTCGATTTTCCGACAACCTGGTTGGAGGATTCCTGGAATCAGGAGGGAATAGGCAGAAAAGCTGGAATCTTCCAGCCAGGATTTCTGGTAGACCTTGGAATTTTGGGAAAGTAACTGGAATTTTGTAACCCTAATCAAGCCCACTAAATTCAAAACATGTGTATCTAACTGCTGGAAGTGTCTATACGGAGCAGATCATGTTATTTGGGATTTATTGGAATCAAATGTCCTCATTTACCAGAGGTGTTGATTATTACTCTGTCTCATTGTGGCCATACACGTCACATTGTATTTGGCTGTATGCTATGAAGAAGGTTAAAAACTGAAACTTGTATAGGTAAAGTGATAAGGCGGGAATGCCTACCGGGAATTTGTTTTCACCACTCCAGTTCTTTCAACATCAGCGCAGGCGGCAGAAAAGGAGACAAGGCCGCGTTAGGATGTAATCACAATTCTTTCCCCAATATCTTTGGGTTGTATTGTACCGCATGCTTCCAAAATCACCACCTCCGTATAACCAGAGAGCTCTTGGAATTTTCATGACAAAATGGCATCTTCTTAGACCTATTATGTTGGACTAAATAATTATCCTCAAGACAAGCTGACTTCAGTTGCATTACTTTAGCTAAAAGGTTATTTAAATGTACCAGAAACTAGTTTGTTCCTAATTATCCTACCTGTGAAATCAGCGCTTGCTGGGGCTGGGGGAGCTGTGGAGAGTGACAAGAGGAGAGAGGAGAGAGAGACAGAGGAGAGAGGGTGAGAGACAGAGGAGAGAGGGTGAGAAACAGAGGAGAGAGGGTGAGAGACAGAGGAGAGAGGGTGAGAGACAGAGGAGGGAGGGTGAGAGAAGTAGAGAAGTTAATACTGACAGTGTCTGTAGAAGAGTACATTCCACACACCAGCACCAAGCATAAATGGCCTTGTGATTTGACTGTGCTGCGTCTGTGAACTGCTGCTGCTTACCCCGTACAAGTCTGTGTGTTGTTGATGTTGCTAAAGAGACGGGGTACACAAACACGTAGAAATTGCAATAAGTCTTTCATTGAGTCAATAGTACAGTGTTGATTGATACATATCATGAGTATGGCCTTTCTCAAATCAAGGCGATTCAGAGTTGTCTGTGTGAGTTGCAAACAACAATAATTTACCCCGTATGAGTCTGTATGTTGTTGTTGTTGCTAAAGAGATGGGGTACACAAACACGTAGAAATTTCAATAAGTCTTTCATTGAGTCAACAGTAGTGTTGATTTATACATATCATGAGTATGGCCTTTCTCAAATCATGGCGATTCAGAGTTGTCTGTGAGTTGCAAACATCAATCATTTACCCTGTACGAGTCTGTATGTTGTTGTTGTTGTTGTTGCTGAAGAGACGGGGTACACAAACACGTAGAAATTGCAATAAGTCTTTCATTGAGTCAACAATACATTTGTTGATTGATACATATCATGAGTATGGCCTTTCTCAAATCTAGGCGATTCAGAGTTGTCTGTGTGATTTGTAAATATCAATAATTTACCCCGTATGAGTCTGTATGTTGTTGATGTTGCTGAAGAGATGGGGTACACAAACACGTAGAAATTGCAATAAGTCTTTCATTGAGTCAACAATACATTTGTTGATTGATGCATACAGTGCATTCGTAAAGTATTCAGACCCCTTGACTTTTTCCACATTTTGTTACGTTACAGCCTTATTCTAAAATGGATTAAATAAATAAATCTCAATCTAAACAATACCCCATAATGACTAAGCGGAAACAAGTTTTTAGAAATATTTGCAAATGTATTAAAAATAAACAGAAATACCTTATTTACATAAGTATTCAGACCCTTTGCTATGAGACTCGAAATTGAGCTCAGGTGCATCCTGTTTCCATTGATCATCCTTGAGATGTTTCTACAACTTGATTGGAGTCCACCTGTGGTAAATTCAATTGATTGGACATGATTTGGAAAGGCACACACCTGTCAATATACAAGTTGACAGTGCATGTCAGAGCAAAAACCAAGCCATGAGGTCGAAGGAATTGTCCGTAGAGCTCCGAGAAAGGATTGTGTCGAGGCACAGATCTGGGGAAGAGTACCAAAAAATTTATCCAGCATTGAAGGTCCCCAAGAACACAGTGGCCTCCATCACTTAAATGGAAAAGGGTGGAATCGCCAAGACTCTTCCTAGAGCTGGCCGCTTGGCCAAACTGAGCAATTGGCGGAGAAGGGCCTTGGGAGGTGACCAAGAACCCGATGGTCACTGACAGAGCTCCAGAGTTCCTCTGTGGAGATCGGAGAACCTTCCAGAAAGACAAACATCTCTGCAGAACTCCACCAATCAGACCTTTATGATAGAGTGGCCAGACGGAAGCCACTCCTCAGTAAAAGGCAGATGACAGCCCACTTGGAGTTTGCCAAAAAGCACCCAAAGGACTCTCAGCCCATGAGAAACAAGATTCTCTGGTCTGATGAAACCAAGATTGAACGCTTTGGTCTGAATGCCAAGCATCACGTCTGGAGGAAACCTGGCACCATCCCTACGGTGATGCATGGTGGTGGCAGCATCATGCTGTAGGGATGTTTTTCAGAGGCAGGGACTGGGAGACTAGTCAGGATCGAGGGAAAGATGAACGGAGCAAAGTACAGAGAGATCCTTGATGAAAACCTGCTCCAGAGCACTCAGGACCTCAGACTTGGGCGAAGGTTCACCTTCCAACAGGACAACGACCCTAAGCACACAGCCAAGACAACGCAGGAGTGGCTTCGGGACAAGTCTCTGAATGTCCTTGAGTGGCCCAGCCAGAGCCCGGACTTGAACCCGATCGAACATCTCTGGATAGACCTGAAAATAGCTGTGCAGCGACGCTCCCCATTCAACATGACAGCGCTTGAGAGGATCTGCAGAGAAAAATGGGAGAAACTCCCCAAATACAGGTGTGCCAAGCTTGTAGTGTCATACCCAAGAAGACTCAAGGGTGTAATCACTGCCAAAGGTGCTTCAACAAAGTACTGAGTAAAGGGTCTGAATACTTATGTAAATGTGATATTTCCGTTTTTTTATTTGTAATACATTTGCAACATTTTATAAAAAACTGTTTTTGCTTTGTCATTATGGGGTATTGTGTGTAGATTTATGCATTTTAGAATAAGGCTGTAACGTAACGAAATGTGGAAAAAGTGAAGGGGTCTGAATATTTTCCGAATGCGTTGATTGATACATAATGAGTATGGCCTTTCTCAAATCAAGGCGATTCAGAGTTGTCTGTGAGTTGCAAACATCAATAATTTACCCCGTATGAGTCTGTATGTTGTTGATGTTGCTGAAGAGACAGGGTACACAAACACGTAGAAATTGCAATAAGTATTTCATTGAGTAAACAGTACAGTTGATTGATACATATGAGCATATGGCCAAAATATCATATCACTGGAATGTTCTTCTTTTTGACTGTTTGACAGTTTGATGTTTTCAGAATAATAAAAGTTCTAAATATGCATTATGGGTAATACAGACCTGACAATGACACTAAAATACACAGATGCGATAAAATATATATTGGCACCGTTGCACCATTCACAATTTCTTCTCAAATAAGTTAAGAATTTGAAAAAATAAAGTTAACTGTACAGGACCAAGAAAAGAAAATCTACAGAAATTTAGATTTTTCACTTCAAAGTAAAAAAAATGTTTTTGACGGTTTGACTGGTAATATATCTCACCTGTGGTAAATTGCAGGTTCCTACAGGTAGAGCTGGGCGATATGTCCAAAATATCATATCACTATATTCTTTGTATTTTTGACGGTATTTTATGTATTTGATGTTTCTTAATTCTAAGTAGTTTTAATGGTCTTTCTCCATTCTGATTGCTTTAAAATGTTTAACCAAAATGCAACCAAATTGTTATATGTTTTCTTGTAACTGTCCAGTCCTGTCCTGTCTAGCTGTCCCTACCAGTACCTGTTGAATGTCTTGTACGTCTATATGTCTTGTTTTGCAGGTTGCTGTTGTTTTGTTTTTCTTTGTTTTACTCCGACTCGCATCAGGTTAATAGGTTTGGGTAGGTTAAGCAAGGGTAGCGGGTGGTCAGTGGTGGAGATGACAACTGAGTGGTTTTGTGCACCGCCCTATGGGACTCCCGGGTCACTGACAGTTATGACACCGCCTGGGATCGAAACCGGGTCTGTAGTGACGCCTCAAGCACTGCGATGCAGTGCCTTAGACCGCTGAGCCACTCGGGAGGCCCTTTATGAGAATAATTATTATCATCTTTGACTGTATTATCAGCTTCAGTTGCAGTTCTTACTTTCACCACTAGGGGTGGCTTTCCGGGGGTATATCTGGCAAGCTTGCCCTCCCGAAGTTGTTGAATTGTTGTGCTAGAAAGTTAGACAGCAGTTCGCAGCTGTTACAAGTTTCTTACTGGCGATAAAAACGGATGATTAACATAAATTTTTTGAGTGATTAGGTAAAGTAAAAATCCAAACCGGTCTGAATGAATACCGGTATATCGGGTTTTCTTTTACAGTTTGCCGCCCCAGCCCTACATGACTTTGAACTTTCTCAAATCAAGGCGATTCAGAGTTGTCTGTGTGAGTTGCACATCAATAATTTACCCCCGTATGAGTCTGTATGTTGCTGATGAGACGGGGTACACACGCAGAAATTGCAATAAGTGGGGCCTCCCGAGTGGCGCAGCGGTCTGAGGCATCACTACAGACCCGGGTTCGATCCCAGGCTGTCACAGCCGGCCGTGACCTGGAGACCCATGAGGCGCCGCACAATTGGCCCAGCGTCTGTCGGGTTAGGGGAGGGTTTGGCCGGCCTAGGATGTCCTTGTCCCATCGCGCTCTAGCGACTCCTTGTGGCGGGCCGGGCGCCTGCAAGCTGACTTCGGTCGCCAGTTGTACAGTGTTTCCTCCGACACATTGGTGTGGCTGGCTTCCGGGTTAAGCGAGCAGTGTGTCAAGAAGCAGTGCGGCTTGGCAGGGTCGTGTTTCAGAGGACGCATGGCTCTTGACCTTTGCCTCTCCCGAGTCCGTACGGGAGTTACAGTGATGGGAAAAGATTGTAACTACCAATTGGATATCACAAAAGGGGGTAAAAGTACAAACAAAAAAGTACTATAATAATTTGCAATAAGTACACTATATATACGCTAAAGTATGTGGACACCCCTTCAAATTAGTGGATTTGGCTATTTCAGCCACACCCGTTACTGGCAGGTATATAAAATCGAGCACAATCTCCATAGACAAACACTGGTAGTAGAATGGCCTTACTGAAGAGCTCAACGTGGCATCATCATAGGATGCCACCTTTCCAAAAAGTCTGTTTGTAAAATGTCTGCCCTGCTAGAGCTGCCCCAGTCAACTGTAAGTGTTGTTATTTTGAAGTGGAAACGTCTAGGAGCAACAACGTCTCAGCCGCGAAGTGGTAGGCCACACAAGCTAACAGGATGGGACCGCTGAGTGCTGAAACGCGTAAAAATCATATGTCCTCGGTTGCAACACTCACTACCGAGTTCCAAACTGCCTCTGGAAGCAACGTCCGCACAATAAATGTTCGTCGGGAGCTTCATGAAATAAGATCACCTTGCACAATGCCAAGCATCGGCTGGAGTGGTGTAAAGCTCGCCGCCATTGGACTCTGGAGCAATGGAAACGCGTTCTCTGGTGTGATGAATCACTCTTCACCATCTGGCAGTCCGACGGACTAATCTGGGTTTGGCGGATGCCAGGAGAATGCTACCTGCCCCAATGCATAGTGCCAACTGTACATTTTGGTGGAGGAGGACTAATGGTCTGGGGCTGTTTTTCATGGTTCGGCCTAGGCCCCTAAATTACAGTGAAGGGAAATCTAAATGCTACAGCATACAATGACATTCTAGACGATTCTGTGCTTCCAACTTTGTGTTAACTGTTTGGGGACGGCCCTTTCCTGTTTCAGCATGACAATGCCCCCGTGCACAAAGCGAGGTCCATACAGAAATGGTTTGTCGAGGTCGGTGTGGAAGAACTTGATTGGCCTGCACAGAGCCCTGACCTCAACCCCATCAAACACCTTTGGGATGAATTGGAACACCGACTGCGAGCCAGGCCTAATCGCCCAACATCAGTGGCAGAATGGAAGCAAGTCCCCGCAGCAATGTTCCAACACCTAGTGGAAAGCCTTCCCAGAAGAGTGGAGGCTATTATAGCAGCAAAGGGGGGAAGAACTCCATATTAATGCCCATGATTTTGGAATGAGATGTTCGACGAGCAGGTGTCCACATACTTTTGGTCACGTAGTGTATTTAATTGCGTAAACAATATATTTGTTGATTGATACATATCAAGCGACCAGCATTAGCAAGGTCTTTTTCATGATAAGTGGGTGATTCAGAGATGTACATCAATAATTTGCACCAAAAAAATTATATAACATATAAGACAAATACTACATTGGACGAGGTCAAAGAGAATAAGAGGGAAAACTGTGCAGCAGCGTCTAGCATCTAACAAATCTGATTTGACAAACAGTGAGGCAAATGTATTTTACTTAAGTGAAACCCATTGAGTGAGTGGTCTACCTTACGTGATATGAACTGGCTGCTCTGGGTTAGAACACACAGCGTTCTTAAAGTTCTGACACTCTGCCAGTTTTGCTGACGAGCTCTAATTCATTTACAATCCAAGCAACAAAAACATGTAACAAACTACCAAGCAACAGAGCACTACACCAGATAAGACCCAGTGGCATTCTCAAAGCCTTTAAAACAGTACCAATGTCCACCACAGAACATCACATTACATTACTGACTCCATGACAGGGAAACAGAATATTTTGTACAACTAAAAAGGCAAGATGTGATCATTAGGACAGAGATTGATGAAATTAGGAATTCTGGATTGATTGTCATATGACATCTTCCTCCAACTATAGCCATTAGGGGCAAAACTCAAAACGCACATTAGATCAATAGCTTCTAAGTGCAACTTCATCCTACTCAACCTAGAACAGGATATTTCACGTGGTGTATTGGCAATGTGTCTCACCTGATGGGTTACATTGTAGAGCTGCTGAGGAGGCGGCTGCTGCTGTGGAGGAGGTTGTTGCTGTTGCTGCTGATACTGCTGCAGGGCCGAGTTGATTTGAGACTGAAACAATAGGAGAGACGAGCCAGAGAGAGAAAAAGTTAAATGACAGGGGAGGCAGGTAGCCTAGCGGTTAAGGGAGTTAGGCCAGTAACCGAAAGGTCGCTGGTTCGAATCCCTGAGTCGACTTGGTGCAAAATCTGTCTGTCCCCTTGAGCAAAGCACTAAACCTTAACTGCTCCTGTAAGAAGCTCTGGATAAGATTGGCTGCTAAAAGACAAAAATGTAAATGTAAAATGTTGATGCTCTGTCTGGATAGACAGACTCAAGCGCGTAAGGTACGACTCAGATGTTAGTTTGAGGCAGGTGATACGTCGACAAAGATACTAGCTAGTCGAAATGTGTCATCTTTTTCTTTTGAATGAAATTTCAGGAAATGGCCCTTGGTCATTGAGTTCTGTTGCGGTTTATATGAGTGATGTCACTTTGAAGGGAAGACTATTTACTGAACAGTTAAAGTGACTTCATGCTCAACTAGAGACAAGTGAAGAAAAAAGGGGTATTTTTCTCAGCATCTAAAGAAAGTGGTCTGTCTGATGGTGGGGGGATTTTATAAGTTGAATCATTTCATTACTCACTCACAAATCAGAACAGGTTTTCCAACAACACAGCTTCTTCAAGTCTAGTGAGGTATGGCCTCTCACCAAGCTCTGTAACTGTGGTTCCCAAACCAGTTTGTCTGACCCAAATAATGTTTCTCATTGGGAATGTTTCTTCAGTAAACAACATTTTAAAAACTTTAAGTGAAATTAGCCGTGACCAACCAATGGGGAATCTCCCCACCATTTTGGAGACTATGGGTTGTGTTCACTTGGCACGAAACTGGAGTTACTACCTGAGCTTATACAATAACAACAAATATTATCATATTCTGTTTGAGAACGTTTAGCTACATTGTGCCTAACTGAACACTGCCCTGCTGATCCTAGTGTAGCTCACCTGTTGCAGTGCTGCAGCTGCGGCGGCTGCAGCTTGCTGCTGCAGGGCTGAAGTCTGCTGGGACAACTGGTAGTTAGCGGCAGCCGACTGGGAGTTGAGGGAGGCTGCAGCCATGGCTGACTGCTGGGAGTACATAGAGGGAGACGCACCCAAGAGAGATGGCTGCTGCACACCTAGAGCTGCAGGGGAGAGTGGGGTGTGGAATAGAATAATTCCGAAAGAGGATGGAGTGAGGAGGTAGGGCAAGCGAGAGGAATGGAGAGATAGAAAGACGGGTAGAACGAGAAACAAGAGGAAAAAATGGCAGGAGAGAGAAATAAAAAGTACAGTACTTTTAACATCGTTGAATGTCTAGTTGACCACTGAATCCCCTCCATCACAAACTTTGCCAAACAGATCCGAGACGCAGTTTCCTTCAAGCACTGTACCCTCAACCCCTTTAATTTTATCCCACCAATGAGCACAGAGTATAAAATAAAATACAGTTATCCAGCAAAGTGTCATACTCACAGTGTAGGCTGTTGAGGTCCAGGGACTGTCCTGAGTGGCTGGGCTGGGACACCACTGTGGCAGCAAACTGGGCCGCCCACGGAGGGTTCTTCTGACCCCCAAACTGGGCCATGAGTCAATGCTCGAGTTTAGGTGTATTGACGGAACCAATTTAAGTTTATATTCTGTCAATACAACAGGAAATGGGCCTGTTAATATAAGGATTCTTCATTTGACATTTACCTTTGCTTTGAACACAAACATTGACAGCTAGCAACAAAAACAAACAATACCAGGAGAAGATTGTTACAGATTTACTTGCAGCTAATACAATACTTAACTAGCAACACATAACCACGCAGCCAACGTTAGCATGGCTAATATAACGTTACCTCCTTGGCTAAAACGACAACAACGTTAGGCCTCCTGACAGCTTCCTCTAATCAGCAGGATAGTAATGGGACTGGCAACAACAGAATGGGTAAACAAGCAATTCGTAAAAATAAAAACTTTAGATGTTGGCAAATGTCGCTAGAAACTACTGTTAGTTGGCCAGCTAACCGTAACTAAGTTAGCCCTATAAATAGTACGCCAAATTCATGATATTACTTTTTTTTATGATTAGAAAGCATTAGACTTAATGAACTTGGCGAGCTAGCTCTAGTTTAGATCCCTGTAGACTTGAATAAACGTACTTCACTTGTTGCTAACGTGAGTTAACTATGTTAGTTAATGCATTCGCTAGACACTTGCAGAAATTAACTAACGTCAACTATAAATAGCTATAGGCTAGCGAACATGTTTACTTTGGCTGGGTTAACTTGCTAACGGAGATAAATAGTTAGCTAGGTACCTAACTTGCTAACTAGATGGCTAGTTAACTATAATGACGACTCAAGGGTTTTGTTTTCAAAACAACAATGACTAACGTCGTTAGCTAACTAATGCATTTGTTAGACACTTGCCGATATTAGATAACGTTAGCTACCTGTTAGCCTTTAGCTATAAATAGCCACAGGCTAGCTAACAACATGTTTACTTTGGCTGGGTTGGCTTGTTAACGGAAATACATTTTTAACTTAGCTAGCTACCTAGCTATAATGATGACTCGTGGGTTTTGTTTTCAAAGCAACGTTGACCAACGTCGCTAGCTTGATATAACGAGGCCTAAGCTAAGCAAGGCAACACACACGATGCTGCCTGAAATGTTAGCAAACAGCAAGGCTGATGGAAATTCAAATTTTGCACCAATAATTGCATTCTGCAATAAGGAAACCATCCGAACTGTATCTGTAAATGTAAAGTTCTAATGGCATTAACGTTACCGAAACAAATTGTCCTCACTGCTTTACCTCTGTCCTGCTCTGTTCACTGGCGGAGATAGATCCAAAACTGTCACTGCGCACGCGTGCTCCATACGGGTACTTTTTTTCATATCAGAGAAACTGTATATAATGATGAGATGTTCTTGTGTCCCCCCTAAAAATGGGAGCCGTTGTCCCAATTATCACTATATTCCCGCGTGGACACAATTTAACGAGTGGACTCTCTCGCTTCGCTTCTTCCTCTCTGGTCATATGTGCAGGTGTAGGGGTCATTTACGGTCACGGTAACAAGGTTCATCATAGACCCGTGCCTAAACACGAACAATGAAAAGCTTGAAATATCACTGCTGCTCTGTTGCAACTTGGAGAAAATATTAAATACAGTGTGTGATAATATACTGTGTGAGAAATAATATATGGAAAATATTGCATAATATACAGTGCCTGTGTTCATCACTAGCCATGTGTCCATCTCTAGCCAGCTACCACCCAGTTACTCAACCCTGCACCTTAGAGGCTGCTGCCCTATATACATAGACATGGAATCACTGGTCACTTTAATAATGTTTACATACTGCTTTACTCATTTAATGTATATACTGTATTCTATTCTACTGTATTTTAGTCAATGCCACTCTGACATTGCTCGTCCTAATATTTATATGTTTCTTAATTCCATTATTTTACTTTTAAATGTGTGTGTATTGTGGTGAATTGTTAGCTACTACTGCACTGTTGGAGCTAGGAACACAAGCATTTCGCTACACCCGCAATAACATCTGCTAAATAAACTCAGCAAAAAAAAGAAACCCTGTTTTCAGGACCCTGTCTTTCAAAGATAAGTCGTACAAATCCAAATAACTTCACAGATCTTCATTGTAAAAGGTTTAAACACTGTTTCCCATGCTTGTTCAATGAACCATAAACATTTAATGAACATGCACCTGTGGAACGGTCATTAAGACACTAACAGCTTACAGACGGTAGGCAATTAAGGTCACAGTTATGAAAACTTAAGACACTAAAGAGGCCTTTCTACTGACTCTGAAAAACACCAAAAGAAAGATGCCCAGGGTCCCTGCTCATCTGTGTGAACGTGCCTTAGGCATGCTGCAAGGAGGCATGAGGACTGCAGATGTGGCCAGGGCAATAAATTGCAATGTCCGTACTATGAGACACCTAAGACAGTGCTACAGGGAGACAGGATGGACAGCTGATCGTCCTCGCAGTGGCAGACCACGTGTAACAACACCTGCACAGGATCGGTATATCCGAACATCACACCTGCGGGACAGGTAAAGGATGGCAACAACAACTGCCCAAGTTACACCAGGAACGCACAATCCCTCCATCAGTGCTCAGACTGTCCGCAATAGGCTGAGAGAGGCTGGACTGAGGGCTTGTAGTAAGGCAGGTCCTCACCAGACATCACCGGCAACATCGTCGCCTATGGGCACAAACCCACCGTCACTGGACCAGACAGGACTGGCAAAAAGTGCTCTTCACTGACGAGTCGCGGTTTTGTCTCACCAGGGGTGATGGTCGGATTCGCGTTTATCGTCGAAGGAATGAGCGTTACACCGAGGCCTGTACTCTGGAGCGGGATCGATTTGGAGGTGGAGGGTCCGTCATGGTCTGGGGCGGTGTGTCACAGCATCATCGGACTGAGCTTGTTGTCATTGCAGGCAATCTCAACGCTGTGCATTACAGGGAAGACATCCTCCTCCCTCATGTGGTACCCATCCTGCAGGCTCATCCTGACATGACCCTCCAGAATGACAATGCCACCAGCCATACTGCTCGTTCTGTGTGTGATTTCCAGCAAGACAGGAATGTCAGTGTTCTGCCATGGCCAGCGAAGAGCCCGGATCTCAATCCCATTGAGCACGTCTGGGACCTGTTGGATCGGAAGGTGAGGGCTAGGGCCATTCCCCACAGAAATGTCCGGGAACTTGCAGGTGCCTTGGTGGAAGAGTGGGGTAACATCTCACAGCAAGAACTGGTGCAATCCATGAGGAGGAGATGCACTGCAGTACTTAATGCAGCTGGTGTCCACACCAGATACTGACTGTTACTTTTGATTTTGACCCCTCCTTTGTTCAGGGACACATTATTCAATTTCTGTTAGTCACATGTCTGTGGAACTTGTTCAGTTTATGTCTCAGTTGTTGAATCTTGTTATGTTCATACAAATATTTACACATGTTAAGTTTGCTGAAAATAAACGCAGTTGACAGTGAGAGGACGTTTCATTTTTTGCTGAGTTTATGTGTATGTGACCAATACAATTTGATTTGATAAATCTGATTGTTTCCAACAACTCAATAAAGACAGCAAAGTAATATCAATAGGTATTTCCACCAGTGTTGGTTTCTGAAAACGAGAGCAATACAATAATACAACGAGATGATTCCATGAATGGGACAAAATAACCATTACATTTTCCTTTGTGATACTAGTATGATTCTGACTTCTGTATCGGCAATATGAGATTGCAGCTGGAACTGTTACAATTGCAATGGTTATACAAGTGAATGGGTGATAGTATCCATTCAAAGAACTTTAATCACTGCACAACATTTATCACAGTATTTCACATAAAGCTTTCTTTGGGAGTATATGTACTGCTATCTATATGATGAATATAAATTAATCTTGGTTAACCCATAACTAAAGTATTGTGTAATTGGTCAGATGCTCGACTAAGTTCATGTCCATACATAGTAGGAGAAGAGACAGAACGAGAATCGGAATGAAGAGCTTGCAATTTACGGGCAAGTCTAAATGGGCCAAATGTCCCCTCTCCTTCCGAAATTCAAAAGATGCCAACACCTGCGAAATTGTGATCTGTCTAAATAACCAGTGAGGAAAAACCCAAGCACTGGAACTAATGCTGCTCATCACCTCACGCATCCCGTTATATCATGACATATCTACGATACCATTTATGTTTACGTAGTCTGTCCACGACAGATTCAATATGAATGAACATGTGCCCATGCCAGAAATGTGATTACTATGTGTAGATTCCTAAACAATGCATTCACAAAGAAATATATACAGCTAAATCCTTTTGTCGTTTTAACTGTGCAATATCTTGTGATCATTTCATATAAACAATTTATCATGCTTGGCCTAGGGATAGATACAAACCATTTCCCTTAACTCATCAGAAAATACTATTTCTTTTCGAAAACATGTAAAGTAAATCAATTTGTAAATCAACCTGCAGAGAAATAAATATCAAATATATAACATGACAGCCGTCTTCAGAGTTTTCAGCCTTCCTAATGGAAGAGATGCAGTATAAGTGTCAGTGTGTAGCCTTGCTTCATTGTAACAGGTGCATATACCGTATTTGAGTAAAGGACAGACAGAAACAACAGCCTACAGAACACTACAGTTGGTCTTTTGAAAGTGCAATGCTGAATATTATTTTAAATCATGAATATTGCACTAGGGTAGTGGAAGCAGTATCTACCTGGTTTGCAAGGCATCTATCTATACAAGAGGCTGTTTATCTATAGGCATGGGGGCTGACAGAAGTTTTATATGTCTCCTAACTTGCGTTCCAACTCGGTGAAAACCTTTGCATTCACATGATCCACTTCATCTTCCACCTACAGAAACCAAACAAAAAGAACAGCTATAACTTACACATTTTGGTGACATTGTTTATACATACTGCATATTTATTTATATACTGGATTCTTGACATAGCTCACTCTACTGCTGTACATATTCGTAGTATATATTGTATAAATTAATCAGGTGTAGATACGTATAGATTGAATTTGGATTCCTGTTATAGTGTTATTTGGGTTGTTCATTGGATTCTTCTGACATTTCTTGATTTTTTAAGGATTTTTTAGGTACTTTTTGTACTTGTTTGACATTTTACTACATTGTTAGGAGCTAGTAACATAAGCATTTCGCTGCGCCCGCTATAACATCTGCTAATCTGTGTACGCGACCAATCAACTTAGATTTGACATAACAAAGCAGATGCTGTTCCAACTTCATGTTTTAGTACTCACTCCATTCCCCTCTAACTCCTTCTCTCTACTCCCCTCTAACTCCTTCTCTCTACTCTCCTCTCTCCATTCCCCTCTAACTCCTTCTCTCTACCCTTCTCTCTCTCCATTCCCCTCCCTCTAACTCCTTCTTCTACTCCCCTCCTCCAACCCCTCTAACTCCTTCTCTCTCTCCAACTCCTTCTCTCTACTCTTCTCGCTACTCTTCACTCCCCCCTCTAACTCTCCTCTACACTCTCTCTCTCTCCATTCCCCTCAACATTCCCCTACTAAACTCCTTCTCCTACTCCTCCTCTCCATCCCTCTAACTCCTTCTCCCTCTCTTCTCTCCATTCCCCTCTAACTCCTTCTCTCTACTCTTCTCTCTCTCCATTCCCCTCTAACTCCTTGCTCCTCATCCCCTCTACTCACTCTCGCTCCCCAAGCCTCCTTAATCTCTACTCCCCTCTTCTCATCTACTCTTCTCCCCCTTCCCCCTCTAACTCCTTCTCTCTACTCTCCTCTCTCCATTCCCCTCTAACTCCTTCTCACTACTCTTCTCTCTCTCCATTCCCCTCTAACTCCTTCTCTCTACTCTTCTCTCTCTCCATTCCCCTCTAACTCCTTCTCTACTCCCTCCTATCCCCTCTAACTCTTCTCACTACTCTCTCTTCTCTCCATCCCCTCTAACTCCTTCTCTCTACTCTTTTCTCTCTCTCCATTCCCTCTAACTCCTTTCCTCATCTTCTCCTCTCCATTCCCTCTAACTCCTCTCTCTACTTCTCTCTTCCATTTTCTACTCTCTCTCTCTCCATCCCCTCTAACTCCTTCTCTCTACTCCTCCTCTCTTCCCCTCTAACTCCTTTCTCCAACTATTCATCTATCTCCATCCCTCTAACTCCTTCTCTCTACTCCTCGCTCTCCATTCCCCTCTAACTCCTTCTCTCCACTCTTCTCTCTCTCCATTCCCCTCTAACTCCTTCTCTCTACTCTTCTCTCTCTACATTCCCTTCTAACTCCTTCTCTCTACTGCTCTCTCTCCATTCATCCTCTCCTTTCTGCCTCTCACCTGTTCCACGTCATCCACCTCAGGGATGTAGAACTGCAGCATGTTCTGGATGCCATTCTTCAGGGTGACAGTGGAGCTGGGGCAGCCGGTGCATGAGCCAACCAGCTTCAGCTTCACCGTGCCATTCTCAAAGCCCTTAAAGATGATATCACCGCCATCCTCCATCACCGTGGGCCTGTGTGAGACGGGAGGGTTTATCAGTTTAGTTTGTTATTCAACAATATAACAGGTATTATTACAATTGCTATTAAAAACTAGGAGGGAGAGAAGGAGAGGAAGAAGAAGACAAAGTGTTTAAGAGAGGGGAGGGGAGGAGTTTAAGAGAGGGGAGGGGAGGGGAGGGGAGAAATCCTTGACGATAACGATAGTCTATATTTCATATCAACATCACTTCTATCATTTGTTTGTGGAACAACTTCAGTGCCCAAACAATCTGCCAGATTGCATTTTGCTTGAAGAGCTTCTGAGCCAAAACATATTTATCAAGACTGTCAACAAAACATTCCAAGGATGCCTCTAGGGCTCAGATTTCACAAATGAGTCATATTGTACTAGATCAGTGATTTCCAACTCCAGTCCTCCAGTATCCCCAACAGTACACATTTTTGTTGTAGCCCTGGACAAGCACACCGGATTCTACTTGTCAGCTAATCATCAAGCCCTCAAATGGCGGATTCGATTATACTGAGCCGCGGTGCACCGGTCTACGGCCGATGACGTGAGGAAAAGTGGTGAGGGAGGGGCGCCCTGCTCAAATGGAACAGTAATCTGCACCGCTCGGTCATGTTGTCAACAAGGCAGCATGGTGCACTGTCCAGAAACATACAACATCTATTTTCGGAAAGTATTTAGACCCCTTGACTTTTTCCACATTTTGTTATGTTACAGCCTTATTTTGTTGCTGAAGAGACGGGGTACACAAACACGTAGAAATTGCAATAAGTATTTCATTGAGTCAACAATACATTTGTTGATTGATGCATACAGTGCATTCGTAAAGTATTCAGACCCCTTGACTTTTTCCACATTTTGTTACGTTACAGCCTTATTCTAAAATGGATTAAATAAATAAATCTCAATCTAAACAATACCCCATAATGACTAAGCGGAAAACGTTTTTAGAAATGTTTGCAAATGTATTAAAAATAAACAGAAATACCTTATTTACATAAGTATTCAGACCCTTTGCTATGAGACTCGAAATTGAGCTCAGGTGCATCCTGTTTCCATTGATCATCCTTGAGATGTTTCTACAACTTGGAGTCCACCTGTGGTAAATTCAATTGATTGGACATGATTTGGAAAGGCACACACCTGTCCCACAGATGACAGTGCATGTCAGAGCAAAAACGGAAGCCACTCCTCAGTAAAAGGTACATGACAGCCCGCTTGGAGTTTGCCAAAAGGCATCTAAAGACTCTCAGACCATGAGAAACAAGATCCTCTGGTCTGATAAAACCAAGATTGAACTCTTTGGCCTGAATACCAAGCGTCACGTCTGGAGGAAACCTGGCACCATCCCTACGGTGAAGCATGGTAGTGGCAGCATCATGCTGTGGGGATGTTTTTCAGCTGCAGGGACTGGGAGACTAGTCAGGATCGAGGCAAAAATGAACAGAGCAAAGTACAGAGAGATCCTTGATGAAAACCTGCTTCAGAGCTCTCAGGACCTCAGACTGGGGCGAAGGTTCACCTGTCTCTTCACCTGTCTCTGAATGTCCTTGAGTGGCCCAGCCAGAGCCCGGACTTGAACCCGATCGAACATCTCTGGAGAGATCTGAAAATAGCTGTACAGCAACGCTCCCCATCCAACCTGACAGAGCTTGAGAGGATCTGCAGAGAAGAATGGGAGAAACTCCCCAAATACAGGTGTGCCAAGTTTGTAGCGTCATACCCAAGAAGACTCCAGGCTGTAATCGCTGGCAAAGGTGCTTCAACAAAGTAAAGGGTCTGAATACTTATATTTCAGTTTTTAAAAAACAACCCGTTTTTGCTTTGTCATTATGGGGTATTGTGTGTAGATTGATGAGGGGGAAAAACGATTTAATACATTTTAGAATAAGGCTGTAACCTAACAAAATGTGGAAAAAGTCAAAGGGTCTGAATACTTTCTGAAGGCACTGTATGTTTGAATTTTCTGGTTTTCATTGGGAAGACAGATAGTGTTTTTATCAAAAGCAATCACTTTTGCATGTGAAAACACAGAAGCCTACTCATTACTCCACGTGCTTAATGACTTACAGTGCATTAGGAAAGTATTCAGACCCCTTGACTTTTCATATTTTGTTACGTTACAGCCTTATTTTAAATGGATTAAATAAATGTTTAAGGCTGTAACGTAACATAATATGGAAAAAGTCAAGGGGTCTGAATTCTTGCCGAATGCACTGTAACTTTTGTTTTGAACCGACTTCGCCGAGGGCTTTGAACGCTGCACCTGGAGGCAGCCCGGTTCCAAAACAAATGCAATCAACTTTCACCCGGTGCAAAACACGCCTACCCGGTCGCCCGGGCCAGATGAATCGAATCCCCTCAGTGAGTTGAATCAGGTGAGTGTCAGGCTACAACAACAATGTGTGCTGTTGTGGGTACTGGAGTTGGGAAACACTGTACTAGATTGACAAAATGTTGTCAGTGTAACACACTCATCATACTGAGAGAATGTGGGGATTTTTACCTGATCCATGTACAGTGGAGAAAAAAAGTATTTAGTCAGCCACCAATTGTGCAAGTTCTTCCACTTAAAAAGATGAGAGAGGCCTGTAATTTTCATCATAGGTACACATCAACTATGACAGACAAATTGAGGAAAAAAAATCCAGAAAACCACATTGTAGGATTTTTAATGAATTTATTTGCTAATATATTTATTTGAAAAGTAAGTATTTGGTCACCTACAAACAAGCAAGATTTCTGGCTCTCACAGACCTGTAACTTCTTCTTTAAGAGGCTCCTCTGTCCTCCACTCGTTACCTGTATTAATGGCACCTGTTTGAACTAGTTATCAATATAAAAGACACCTGTCCACAACCTCAAACAGTCACACTCCAAACTCCACTATGGCCAAGACCAAAGAGCTGTCAAAGGACACCAGAAACAAAATTGTAGACCTGCACCAGGCTGGGAAGACTGAATCTGCAATAGGTAAGCAGCTTGGTGTGAAGAAATCAACTGTGGGAGCAATTATTAGGAAATGGAAGACATACAACACCACTGATAATGTCCCTCGATCTGGGGCTCCACGCAAGATCTCACCCTGTGGGGTCAAAATGATCACAAGAACGGTGAGCAAAAATCCCAGAACCACACAGGGGGACCTAGTGAATGACCTGCAGAGAGCTGGGACCAAAGTAACAAAGCCTACCATCAGTAACACACTACGCCGCCAGGGACTCAAATCCTGCAGTGCCAGACGTGTCCCCCTGCTTAAGCCAGTACATGTCCAGGCCCGTCTGAAGTTTGCTAGAGTGCATTTGGATGATCCAGAAGAGGATTGGGAGAATGTCATATGGTCAGATGAAACCAAAATATAACTTTTTGGTAAAAACTCAACTCGTCGTGTTTGGAGGACAAAGAATGCTGAGTTGCATCCAAAGAACACCATACCTACTGTGAAGCATGGGGGTGGAAACATCATGCTTTGGGGCTGTTTTTCTGCAAAGGGACCAGGACGACTGATCCGTGTAAAGGAAAGAATGAATGGGGCCATGTATCGTGAGATTTTGAGTGAAAACCTCCTTCCATCAGCAAGGGCATTGAAGATGAAACGTGGCTGGGTCTTTCAGCATGACAATGATCCCAAACACACCGCCCGGGCAACGAAGGAGTGGCTTCGTAAGAAGCATTTCAAGGTCCTGGAGTGGCCTAGCCAGTCTCCAGATCTCAACCCCATAGAAAATCTTTGGAGGGAGTTGAAAGTCCGTATTGCCCAGCGACAGCCCCAAAACATCACTGCTCTAGAGGAGATCTGCATGGAGGAATGGGCCAAAATACCAGCAACAGTGTGTGAAAACCTTGTGAAGACTTACAGAAAACGTTTGACCTGTGTCATTGCCAACAAAGGGTATATAACAAAGTATTGAGAAACTTTTGTTATTGACCAAATACTTATTTTCCACCATAATTTGCAAATAAATTCATTAAAAATCCTACAATGTGATTTTCTGGGTTTTTTTTTTCTCATTTTGTCTGTCATAGTTGACGTGTACCTATGATGAAAATTACAGGCCTCTCTCATCTTTTTAAGTGGGAGAACTTGCACAATTGGTGGCTGACTAAATAGTTTTTTCCCCCACTGTATCTACAGCAAAACATCATGAGAGTGACACATTCATCATACTAATAGTATGTGGGGATTTTACCTGATACGTGTATCTAAAAGCTCCTTTATCATTGAAACAATTTCATCATCATCTTCAGAGTGACCTAAAACAGGAACACCATGACAACCTTATTAGGCCATGTTCATCATTCCAAAAAACAAACATATTTTAATGATATGTACATGGTTTATCAAGATGACAATACAGTACAGATTGACCCTCAAATAGAGTCCTGCATCGGATTGAATACCCACGGTTACCCGCAAAAAAAATCAGCTGGCGGGTGGAATGAAAACATTCTATCAACCCGCGGGTCGCCTCGCGGTTCAGAACAATTATATTGCGGGTCGGAAACATTTGAAATCAAGATACTATCTTTTTTTACAAACCCAGGAGCTTATTGTGTTGAATTGTGTTGTGAATTCAATTGGGCTATGTGAAAAGTGAGGCAGACATAGCGAAGGCTACCAGCCACGCAGCGAGACAGTGGGGCAGAGAACTGTCCATTAGTAGCCTATTTGTGTGGTGCTGAAACATAATTTGTCCATGTGCAGATTTTATATTCCCTTCCGCCACACGACAATACGTTGCCAAGTTAATTTTCCCTGACTCCTAGCTCACGTGAAAATGGCTAACCTAACAGGAGAAATAATAAGAACGTTTATGATGATGAAATACACCATTGTGGAAACAGGTGCTGCGAGAGTGAAATCCACGGTTTGGAAGGATTTTGTAGTCATCGTGGACAAGGACGACAACAACACGGTAGATGGATACACAGCCTGCAAAAGTGCAAGCAGGTATTTGACGTAAATGTATTTGTTTACAATAATTATGTTAATCATTACATTCATTCAGGCATCCGTTGATTTAGACCAAACGCAGGCCATATCAAGTTTAATCCAGTGCAGCTTTTAAAAGTTTGAGTAGCCAATAGCCTACTAAATAAACATATTTTTGCAGCCTATAGCCTACTCAATTCTGGGAATTGTTTAAGTTTTAATTAAAGTATTTGATGATTTAAACAATATTGAATGTTAAGGAATTGTTTTGTTATGTCGGCTATAGGCTTCCATTAGGTAAGGAGGCTAATTAGAAGGCTCTTTTTTTTTACGCGATTTGAGTTGTCAATGTGCTGCTTCGCATAGTGAAAATGAGAAGATAGGCCTATCGTTCTTAATTCATGGCATGGTTCCCTTTTATCCAAATGTTGAATAGACATGCAGACAAATGAATTCACGCAGGGAGGGTAATAGCCTTAAAGCCTACTACTCTAGTCATAAAAACTATTCAATAAATTGATGTTTTTTGGTGGGTCACGGATCGGCTCTCGGAATAATTCAATGCAGGTGGCGGAGAAAAATATTTTATGATGTTGGATATTGGGTGGGACTGGCGCGGGGCGGGTGCGACTCCAAAAAACGGACCACTGCAGCACTCTACCCTCAAACACTCATATGAAGAAGAGTGTTGTTCCTGTCATACTCACTGCTCTCATGGTGGGTCACCCCCGTGGTTATGGGGTCTCCACTGTCAAAGAACTTAGTGATGGCATCCATGGCATGGTGCTTGATGTCCGTCCACTCCACATCATCATCTGCCTGGCAAGGGCAACACAAAAAATGCAAAGGCCTGGTAAATTAATATGGCTGGGCCCCGATTCCCCACCCCTCTCCCAAAATGTGCACTTGCACACTTTCTTGCATGGATTTAGCAATGGTGAAAACTCCCTCCTGCCAATGCTTATACTAATCCTATGCTTTTAAATCCATGACAAGGAGTGTGCAAGTGCACACTTTGGGAGAAGGGTTGAGAATTGGAATGTAGCCCATGTATTGAATCAGAAAGTTTTCATAACTTTTATTTGTGACACAGTCATTATGGTCTTATGATGGCACACCATATCCCAGAGCAAATGGATAGGGTTGGTAAAAGGAAATGGAAGGTAGATGAGGGTTTAAACTTTAAAGTTTCTTTATTGGGTACCTTGGTCACCGTGATGAAGTCAGGACCATAGAACACACTTTTCACTCCTTCGATTCCAAAGAGGTCCCTGTGAAACCATGGAGCAGCAACCAAGAGTGTTCCATGTCATAAACATTTCATGATGTTAGTATGTACAGTAATATCTATGACCTATAATCCTCATGGTGTGCTCAGAACAAGGTGGAGAGGCTCATTGCACTTTGCTATTGATTTTGACTTGAGGCACGCAAAGAACTGTAACTTAGGCTAATCAGTACAGTAAACCATAACAACTAAGAAATACATTCAGAAATGGGCTTAATTCCTCAAATTTCATTTAATTCCCTCTCCCTTGTAAATTCCATTTATTTTCATTCAAATTCCCGGTCAGTCTTTGAATTCCGAGATAATTCAATTCCTCTCAATTCCAATGTTAGGTAAATTCAAAGAATTCAATTCCCAATTCAATACGCAACAATTCCACAAATTCCTATTTGAATTAAATTCCCTTAGGCTTTCAGGCTGACCATGTCACTGTTAAGACAGCCTAATTATACTGGAAATATAGAAATACAAGTTGAAATGATTTAAAACAAATCCTGCAGTCCTATTTTATATACTAAGTGCATTAATTACATTAACTGGGAAATGTTCAATTCAATTCCAATTCAAACAGTCCAAACAGTCTAATTCAATTCCAATTCCATAACTTGAAGATTGTTGAAATTTGAATTGAATTCAATGTAAATTCTCCACTTCATGAGTTAATTCAAGATTTGAATTGAAATGTCAAATTAAATTGGAATTGACCCCAACCCTGCCTAGAATACACATGATTATCTTCAGCTCAAGTTATTGTACAGCAGTTCATGTACAAGCGTCACTGGTTCTCACACGCTCTGAAAATCAAACAAGCTAATGTTTTAAAATCTAGCTTATTCACACTGTCTGGTTTCGTCATGGTTACTGCTCATTGTTTAGATTCTTGCTACTGTCATATTTCAATAGCTCATAAAAATACAATTCCCCTTTTATCCAACAGTACTAACCTGGCTAAGGAGGAGCACTCTGCAGAGCTTGGAGAGGGGAAATCCAGGGTCCCCACCCCCAACACAGGCTTACCAGGGAGGAACTTCAAGCTCCGTGGGTTTGGAGTGTCCTGTGTCTGAATGGACAAGTGTCGCACTGAAACATAATGGTATGGTCATCTTTCGAGCATATCGTTCCACTAGTAAGTTTATAGGCCTACTCTGAATATACTACAGAAAAACATGACAACCGTAGCCTTTGAATGTGGTTGTTGAAAGTGGTTCTTATGGAGTAAGTAAATGTGAATGAGGTTGTTGTTTTTTTAGGCCAGTTTCTCACCTACGAACTGTGTGGGTCCAGTCCGAGGCAGAAGTTGAACTTTTCTGTAGTTCGGGCCAATGCATTGTGTGTGGAACTGGTTTCTCGTCTTGATTGGAAACCTAGAACAGACAGTACATGTCAAGTCATGTAGTTAGATGGTCCGACATTAATTCAACAGAGTGGGTTTATCGCAGGTTTGTCCTTACAAACATGTCACTTCGGGATGGCCTTAACGACATGAACTTGCGACCTTGTCAACAAGCAAAGAAAAAACGATAAAGCATCTAGCTAGCTACCGATGGTTGTTTAATGACACTGATTAGGCTTGGTGATGCCTCAATGACCAAACTGCAAAACTGAGAAAGATTTTAGCTAGCTAGATTCTCAGAAAGTTAGCTAGCTACTGCAAACTTTACGCAATCGAGTTGTTGATGACAGGTTTAGCAAGCACAACAAGAGCCAGGCAAACTGAGTTTTTGTTATAAAATGCTTTACTTCATGGCCGATCGTGATTGTAGACTTTAATATGTATACAATTTGGGAAATATCTGCTGCGCAACATGATGCGATTAGGCTACACTACAGTAGGTTTGACAATGATGTCGCAGTTAGCTTGGCTAACTAGCTAGGTCAACCTTCGATTCCTAAAGAAAATTGACAGCCAATCGTGGTGAATTCACAGCAATACCTTCATTACGTTGATATACCCAATGAGAAATGTTATGTTAGTAGAAACTCAAACCTAAAATGTGATGTATTTCGTGACTGAATCAACCGTTGAAGACTCCATCTTATGCGGGCAGCCATTTCATTTGTTTTGAAAATGAGGACCCAAGACAGAGCTGTTTTCACATATCCTATTTTAAATAGATTACAATTGCTCCACAATTTGCTTATTAATCGTTAGTTTGATAAGTAAATATTCTTATTCATTACAATAAACAAACATAAGTTCTATATATAGCTTATATATACTCTTGAAGTACGAATATTGGCATCTAAACGGCCAGCCACTACTGAGAACGAATCAATGATCTGTTTGTGCTGTATGCAATGATAAAAGTAAATCAGAATTCTTGCACGAAAATGTATTGGGATTTTGTTGCTGCTACTAGAGCAAAACATAGCCTATCTCATTATTTTGTAAGTATTTAATGTAAATTATCACTGAAGTTGGCCTATGGTTGATAGGTCATATAAATAAGAATCTCTAAATTGGGTAAATAGTATTTGGGGCTGTATTTTGCATCATTCAAATTTGCCACTACAGTTCAGGGAATTTACACCAAGATGTTAGACACACACAGGGATGACAAGACATGCATTCAAGGCATGATTTACACACCCATGTCCAACAAAGCTGCAGTTTTCTCTCTGTATCTCTCTCTCAATTCAATTCAAAGGGCTTTATTGGCATGGGAAACATGTTTACATTGCCAAAGCAAGTGAAATAGATAAAAAACACAAGTTAAATAAACAATTACACTCACAAAATTCCAAAGGAATAGAGACATTTCAGCTGTCATATTATGACTATATACAGTGTTGTAATGATGTGCAAATAGTTAAAGTACAAAAGGGAAAATAAGTAAACATAAATATGGTGTTTGTCTTCACTGGTTTCCCTTTTCTTGTGGCAACAGGACACAAATCTCGCTGCTGTGATGCCACACCGTGGTATTTCACCCAGTAGATATGTGAGTTTATCAAAATTGGATTTGCTTCCTTTTAGGTGGTTGTAGAATTTAACAGATATTTTCTGGATTTTGATCATTAGCGGTTATCGGCCTAATTCTGCTCTGCATGCATTATTTAGTGTTTTACATTGTACATGCATATTTTTGCAGAATTCTGCATGCTTAGTCTCAATTTGGGGTTTGTCCCATTTTGTGAATTCTTGGTTGGTGAGCTGACCCAGGCCTCACAACCGTAAAGGACAATGGGTTCTGAAAGTTAAAGTTCTAGTTTAAGTTTCAAGTTCAGTAAAGGAATCTAAGAAATGTATAAGAGAGCTCTGCACTGCCACTGGGGGAACATGAGTTTGACAGCTATGCAGCCTGTGCAGGGTGTGCTATGTAACTTAAAACAAACAGTGACATAGTGTCAAGAGGGCCCACCCTGTGTTTCCTCACATCTGCCCTCTGACAGGACAAGGTGGTGCTCCCTTCCAAAAGGAGTGCCTATAGTGAGTAAACCATGACATAATAAGTCTCCTCTGCTGCTCTCAAAAGACAGGAATGTTGCCTGGGTGGTGGAATAATACACAGCCGAACTGCTGCAACTGAAGACTGCTGGATAAACTTGAGATTCCACAGTGAAGATGAGGAGCCAGGTGTGTGGATGACTGACTCTGCTGTGGAAGAATCTAGAGGCAGAGATCTTCACAGTGCCAGACTGAGACCGACAGTGTCTGGGCCCGGAGCGTCCCCACTGTACTTCTACTGCTGCTGGTCTCTCTCACCGAACTACCAAGACATGGTCCTCTGGAGTCTACTCCCCATCTCCCTCTCCTTGGTGTCTCTCATTGGAACCTGGGTGACGTAAGTTAAACAATAATATATCTATATTTTCCTTCTAATCTTTTATAAGACCATAGATAACATGTACTTGAGCTACTTGACTTAGATTTCTGTCACATGTAAATATTGTGTCAAATAAAATAAAATAATTCTAAAGTGCAATTAATATGCCAGTATATGTTTTTCCATTAATCTCATCATTCACATGGTCTCCTGATGACTATAGCTAGGTTTCCATCCAATTGGCGACAGATTTTCTTGCGAATATTAAAACATCTACATGAAAATAATATGCGCATTTTCCATCAAATTGACCTGTTGCAGATACAAGTCTGTGTGTGATGACGTAATGCACATAAAAACAACGTTTGCGGTTAAATTCCCATGTAGGGCCTACCGAATAAAAAATACAAGTAAAATGTGTTTCCATCGGATTTTCAACTCTACTGATGGTATTCTCACAAAAATTGTTGGGGGGGAATACAATTACAAATAGATAAGTGGGGCATCACATCAGCTAAACATAGAGGGAAAGGGATATACCCTTCAATGTAAACGTTTTTTATAGCCTATATATAGGCCTATATATAATTGTATTCTGCAATTTAAATTGAAATGTAAGCTAAGCCTTTGTAAATATTTGATGTACACTGAGGTTTATTCAGAGTTCACTTTGGTATATGTGTATGTTTTTATTTATATAACAGTTTTTATTATTTTAAAAGATCAGCTTTTGGAGAGTGTTAGTGGCAAATGTTTACACGCTTCTCTTGAATGTAGGCCTATAAACTGGTCAGGTTCTGCAGAACAGCACTTTTTTTGAGGAGCTTTGCTATTTTGATAAGGTACTGTTTGATACTGTGTTTATAAATCCATGTTATGTACAACGTTATGCACTGAACTTGTATTTGAATGTGAAATGAAAATAATAATTATTTTCCAATAATAATAATAATAATAATAATAATATATATATATATATATATATAGCGAGTGTGCCCACTCCGGTATTGGAACCTGTGCTCTAACCAACAGCATACGTATAGCCTACATTATGAGATTATGATGGACTAAAGAGCAAGATTATTTTTTACTTGTCAAATGGCAGCCAAGCATCGATGATTCACCATAATAATAAAACATCGCTATTTATTGGAATGGAGCATCAAGTTCATCACTTTGCACTTTAACCACCCTGTGAAGTTAGTTAATCATAATTTATTTAATATGTAGCATAAACTGCGTGCTTTCCTGAGGAGTCGTAGTGGTAGGACCACACAACACGTTATCGCTTGACTCCAAGTTTACTTCGATATGATGGTTATTATAACAATATTTGCGCATACAAGCGTTTCCAGAGACTTAATTAATGTTACCTACACACAAGATCCCACATTGTCTAGCATATTTTGTTTAGTCAACATTTGGAAAGTTTACCGAACCCAGAGTGGACACATTTGTTATATAATGCAGCAGTTTTTGTGACAAAACCATCAGTAGAGTTGAAAATGCGATGGAAACCCATTTAACTTGTATTTGTCATTCAGTACATGGGAATTTAACAGCAAAATAATAGTTTATGTGCACTACGTCCTCACGCACAGCCTTTTATCTGCAACAAGTACATTTGATGGAAACATCTCTGGTGGGAAAATGCACATGCTGTTTTTAGAGTATTCACATGAAATTTGATGGAAACCTAGCTATTGAAAAACTCACTTTTATTACAAGCAATAATACAGTATGAGCTGAACATTGATATAGCTCAAAACTTTCTTCTCAGATTTACATTTCTGATTTTTTTTGTGTCAATAGCTAGGTTTCCATCCAATTGGCGACAGATTTGCATGCGAATATTATAAAATCTGTATTAAAATAATACGCGCATTTTCCCACCAGAGATGCGTTTCCATCAAAAGTAACAGTGGTGGCCTCCTGAGTGGCGCAGCGGTCTAAGGCACTGCATCGCAGTGACTACAGACCTGGGTTCGATCCCAGGCTGTGTCATAACCGGCTGTGACCGGGAGTCCCATAGGGCGGCGCACGATAGGCCCAGCGTCGCCCGGGTTAGGGAAGGGTTTGGCCGGCCTGACTTCTGTCGTCAGTTGAACGGTGTTTCCTCCGAAACATTGGTGCGGCTGGCTTCCGGGTTAAGCGGGCGGGTGTTAAGAAGGGCGGTTAGGCGGGTCATGTTTTGGAGGATGCATGACTGGACCTTCGCCTCTCGCGAGCCCGTTGGGAAGTTGCAGCGAAGCGAATTGGATATCACGAAAAAGCTGATAAAATACAACAAACAAGTAATAATACCCTTAGACCACCTTGCAACCATCCCCGTGCTCTGTCACAGAATGTGCTGCATGTGACAAACATAACTTTCAAGAAAGAACACAGAGTATACCTGTAGAAGGGGGGCTCAGTAGCTCAGTTGGTTGAGCATGGCGCTTGCAACGCCAGGGTTGTGGGTTCGATTCCCACGGGGGGCAAGTATGAAAAATTTATGCACTCACTAACTGTAAGTCGCTCTGGATAAGAGCTAAGTAATGTAAATGTAGAGTCAGAGCCAACACCTTAGACCCCACATTACAACGTGCAAAACATAAACCAATTGTTTCATTTAGTACATTGTGAGACGTGATTTAACCTTCATAGTCAGAGGACACTGTACAGTTCTGTATTTTGTTACTTGTTGATCGCTCTAGATGTGAAGCATAAAGGAAAAGGTTCTATGCGTTCATGTTGAGACATTTGATTCAACCTTTGTTTATCCTCAGAGGGCACTGTCAGGGTACTTTCTTATTGACTCTGGTTGACTGCCTGTAAAGGCAACACAGATATGGATGGAGTGGCTTGGTAACAGGGCTGCTAATAATATTCTAACCACCTCCATCTGTGTACTTTTGCTTAGTCACCCACATCAGTTCCTGGTTACTTATTGAACCTCAAGGTTATCAGTGTTCATTAATGGGAGCGTACTGTATATCATATTATACATTTAAAAACCATACATCCTAAGAGAATTAGGCACTTTAATCATATCAAATGAGTGTGTTTGTTTTGTTGTTTCAGGTATGGCCTGGCATACAGCTATGACCATGTGTGTTCCCTCAACAACTGGTGCGTTGTGTTCTGTTTGTGAGATTTCCTACAGACCATTGTGATTGGTTCTTTCAGCCAATTCTATGTCAATGAAATACATCGCATTAATGTAACACAAGCATACAGATGTAGGATATTAATTTGATCACCCTTTTGCAGGATAACTTTCCTGCAGGGCAGGACATGTTAAACTTGTAGTGTATTTGAGGTATAAATAGGCTTTTGAAGTATGTCATTTTCCCTTATGAAAAATGTATCAACCCCTACATAAATGTCCTGCTGTAGCAAACTGGCTCAAATTAAGATCCTACATTTGTATTTCTAAAGCAGTGTTGTTCAACCCTAGTTCTGGAGATCCACAGGGTATGCAGCCTATTTGTTTTAGCCCAGCACCAACACACCTGATTAAACTAATCCACTAATCATCAAATCAAATTTTATTTGTCACATTAACGTGTTTAGCAGATGTTATTGCGGGTGTAGCGAAATGCTTGTGCTTCTAGCTCCGACAGTGCAGTAATCAACTTGATTAACTGAAACAGGTGTGTTGCTGCTATTGGGTTGTAATAAAAGGCTGCACGCAACACCCTGTACCCTCCAAGACCAGGGATGAAGACCACTATAGATAAAGAGAAGGTTAGGAACCATGATTATTTTCCATCCTCTGTTTTCAGGGCCCCTGGGAACCACTGCAGAGACAATACATCAATAGCATGTTGTCAAGTTCCAACCATAAGGTAACCATAGACCACTTAAATCAAGGTTAGGGTCAACTAACAGTATTTCATCTCATTCAGTTAAGAAAATGAAGAAACGTTTTTTGAAATTCCAGTCTAAAATTTTAATTGGACCTCCATTTTGAAGTTTGAGAATTTACTGAGTTCACATGGAATTTGAAATGTAATTATACTTTGAACTAACTCTGTTCAATTCACATCAGAACACTTAGTCAGCTTTCAACAGACATTCCTAGAATGTTCTCTGTCATCTTAATATTATTGTCACTGGGGAATTTCAGTATGGTGTGAAATAATGGTTTCTTACTCATGCTTTGGCCTTGTGTTTTGCAGCTCGAGTGGAACAAGCTTACCAGAAAGCTCATTGTTCACAGCCACCTTTAATGCTGGTTCATTTCTGTGTAAGTTTGTAGCTGTACAGATTGCCCACCCTACAGTATACACTACCGGTCAAAAGTTTTAGAACACCTACTCATTCAAGGGGTTTTCTTTATTTTTTACTATTTTCTACATTGTAGAATAACAGTGAAGACATCAAAACTATGAAATAACACATTTGGAATCATGTAGTAACCAAAGAAAGGGTTAAACAAATCAAAATATATTTTCTATTTATCACATTTCAGGAGAAGACCCAGATGCAGACAGTGTCAAAGTAACAAAAGTTTATTACAAAAACAGGGGGCAGGCAAACGACAGGTCAAGGGCAGGCAGAGGTCAGTAATCCAGATCAGAGTCCAAAAGGTACAGAACGGCAGGCAGTGTCAGGGTCAGGGCAGGCAGAGGTCAATAATCCAGGGTGGTGTGACAAGGTGCAGAACGGCAGGCAGGGTCAGGCAGAATGGTCAAAACCTGGAAAACTAGAAAACAGGAACTTGAGAAAGACAGGAGCAAGGGGAAAAACGCTGGTAGGTTTGACGAAACAAAATGAACTGGCAACAGACAAACAGAGAACATAGGTATAAATACACTGGGGATAATGGGGAAGATGGGCAACACCTGGAGGGGGATGGAGACAATCACAAAGACAGGTGAAACCAATCAGGGTGTGACAATATTTTAGATTCTTCAAATAGCCACCCTTTTCCTTGATGACAGCTTTGCACACTCTTGGCATTCTCTCAACCAGCTTCACCTGGAATGCTTTTCCAACAGTCTTGATGTAGTTCCCACACTTGTTGGCTGCTTTTCCTTCACTCTGCGGTCCGACTCATCCCAAACCATCTCAATTTGGTTGAGGTCGGAGGATTGTGGAGGCCAGGTCATCTAATGCAGCACTCCATCATTCTCCTTCTTGGGAAAATAGCTCTTACACAGCCTGGAGGTGTGTTGGGTCATTGTCCTGTTGAAAAACAAATGATAGTCCCACTAAGCCCAAACCAGATGGGATGGCGTATTGCTGCAGAATGCTGTGGTAGCCATGCTGAGTAAGTGTGCCTTGAATTCTAAGTAAAGCAAAGCACCCCCACACCATCACACCTCCTCCACCATGCTTTACGGTGGGAAATAGACATGCAGAGATCATCCGTTCACCCGCACCGCGTCTCACAAAGACACAGCGGTTGGAACCAAAAATCTCCAATTTGGACAGATTTCCACCGGTCTAATGTCCATTGCTCGTGTTTCTTGGCCCAAGCAAGTCTCTTCTTATTATTGGTGTCCTTTAGTAGTGGTTTCTTTGCAGTAATTCGACCATGAAGGCCTGATTCACACAGTCTCCTCTGAACAGTTGATGTTGAGATGTGTCTGTTACTTGAACTCTGTGAAGCATTTATTTGGGCTGCAATTTCTGAGGCTGGTAACTCTAATGAACTTATCCTCTGCAGCAGCGGTAACTCTGGGTCTTCCATTCCTGTGGCGGTCCTCATGAGAGCCAGTTTCATCATAGCGCTTTATGTTTTTTGCGACTGCACTTGAAGAAACTTTCAAAGTTCTTGACATTTTCTGTATTGACTGACCTTCATGTCTTAAAGTAACGATGGACTGTCGTTTCTCTTTGCTTATTTGAGCTGTTCTTGCCATAATATGGACTTGGTCTTTTACCAAATAGGGCTATCTTCTGTATACCCCCCCCACACACACACACACACCTTGTCACAACACAACTGATTGGCTCAAACACATTAAGAAGAAAATACATTCCACAAATTTACTTTTAAGAAGGCACACCTGTTAATTGAAATGCATTCCAGGTGACTACCTCTTGAAGCTGGTTGAGAGAATGCCAAGAGTGTGCAAAGCTGTCATCAAGGCAAAGGGTGGCTATTTGAAGAATCTTAAATATAAAATATATTTTGATTTGCCTAATACTTTTTTGGTTACTACATGATTCCATATGTGTTATTTCATCGTTTTGATGTCTTCACTATTATTCTATAATGTAGAAATAGTCAAAATAAATAAAGACCCTTGAATGAGTAGGTGTTGTAAAACTTTTGACCGGTAGTGTACATACACAGGTCCTACTGGATCTCAATGCACTATGCAGATGTCTGTACTGATACAAAGATGACAGTATTAAGGATATGTACTCATAATATACTTAGATGTAATTTTACCCCAAGGTCACCCTTAAAACGGTTTGGTATGTCAGATTTCCTATCAAACGTGTTGTTTGTCCTGCTGAGGAAACATCTACCAAAACTAAAGTTTTAACAAGTTGATTGTTATTGTTGTGTCATTTAATTATAATCATATAATCACATTGTTTTAGATCAGATGTGATGTTGCACCTATTGTTTATACATGTAATAAACATCTTATGAACATTTGATCAATTACACTATGTTATAGATGCATTATAATAACTATTTTTTTAGTTATGGTGTTCTGTATCTTCCACCATGCTCACATCATGGAGAGGAACAGTGTCCACTCCATGCTCAGTAGAATCGCCCTGGTGTTTGGTGGAGTGGCAGCCGTCGGGGCCTTTGTGGCTGGGAACTGCAACGTAAGTACTTCCTGCACATGCAGGGGTGTCATGCAATACAATATTGGGGTGAGCTTTGACAAGTATATGTGTTTTAAAGAGCAAACGAGGGTGTACAGTACATGATACTGCCAAAACGAATTCTGCTCGTAGACAGAGACATCGAGCAAGTAAAGTAAACTCTCTGACACAGAGTCCCCTCAGGGTGTCTGTCGTCTTGGTCGACAGGGAGAGAGTGAGTGAAGCGTAAGGACACATTTAGGAGTCTGGCACGCGAGGTTAAACCGAACTTCACAGGTATGAAAAAAAAAAACTTCAATCCAGGAGTAGGTTAGGGAAAGACAAAAAGGTCTATCAAGTTTAAAGTGTACTTTGAATTGGCACTCTACTGACACTGACAAGGTGTGTTAACAATATCTCCTGAGGTGCGGTTCAATTAAATCTTGAATTATGAACAAAGAGAGGAGTGGCAGCAAAGCAAACAAACATCTATGACACGTTTGGTAGGTTTGTTAATGTGTGCAGACATACCTACGGATGGCAGAACATCAGTGGAAAAGTACAATAGACATGTCAATGTGTACCTTTTTGATATTTTTTGTGTGTGGGTATTTTACCCCCTTTTTCGTGGTATCCAATCGCTGCAACTCCCGTACGGACACGAGAGCCGTGCGTCCTCCAAAACACAACCGAGCCGCACTGCTTCTTGACACAATGCCCGCTTAACCTGGAAGCCAGCCGCACCAATGTGTCGGAGGAAACACTGTACACCTTGCGACCGAAGTCAGCGTGCACTGCGCCCGGCCCGCCACAAGAGTCGCTAGTGCGCGATGGGACAAGAACATCAACCCCTCCACTGCCGGTCAAACCCTCCCTTAACCTGGACGACGCTGGGCCAATTGTGCGCCGCTCCTTTTGGTCTCCCGGTCGCTGCAACAGAGCCTGGACTCGAACCAGGATCTCTAGTGGCACAGCTAGCACTGCGAAGCAGCGCCTTAGACAACTGCGCCACTCTGGAGGCCAATGTGTATCTTTTTGACATTATTTCATAGACGTAGACAGATAATTCACCACAAAATCAAAGATTGTCAGATGTTTTCTTCAGAAGAAGATCATGCAGGGAGTCTCTTGCCTTTTGTCTCTTCTTTGGGAACAGCCCAGCTAGCACATTTGGTTCCTTGGAAGTTGTGGAAACGTATGTTTTTGGTTTCACATTGGTTGGCCATATGTTTCCTGACCGGGAAAATTGAAAGTTTTTTAAACGTTCTGAGAACAGAAGTACAAATTTTGCCTGTTCTGGGAACATTTAATTTTAGGTTGCAGGGAGGTTCTGAGAACGTTTTACTCTGGTTCCTTGAAAGTTTTCCTGGGAGGTTTTATTAACGCTCTGTGAACTGAAATTATAGGTTATTTGGAGGTTTTTAAATAACTCCCTTAAAACTTTCAACTAAAAAGGGATTAAATTAGATTTTTTTTCTACAGATCTACATAACCTACTCCACATTTTCAAAGTGAAAGAAAGTTATAGAACATTCCAGAAATATCATAATTGGATAGGTCTCCACCCCCCTGAGTTAAAACTTGGTGGAAGCACCTTTGGCAGCCATTACAGCTGTGAATCCTTTTCATTAAGATTCTACCAACTTTGCATAACTCTTAAGGCAACATATACAGTGGGGAAAACAAGTATTTAGTCAGACATTTACATTTTACATTTTAGTCATTTAGCAGACGCTCTTATCCAGAGCGACTTACAGTTAGTGATTACATATTTTTTTTTTTATACTGGCCCCCCGTGGGAATCGAATCCACAACCCTGGCGTTGCAAACATGCTCTATCAACTGAGCTACATCCCTGCCGGCCATTCCCTCCCCTACCCTAGACGACGCTGGGCCAATTGTGCGCCGCCCATGAGTCTCCTGGTCGCGGCCGGCTGCGACAGAGCCTGGATTCGAACCAGGATCTCTAGTGGCACAGTTAGCACTGCGATGCAGTGCCTTAGACCACTGCGCCACTCAGGAGTCAGCTACCTATTGTGCAAGTTCTCCCACTTAAAAAGATGAGAGAGGCCTGTAATTTTCATCATAGGTACAAGTCAACTATGACAGACAAAATGAGGAAAAAAAATCCAGAAAATCACATTGTAGGATTTTTAATGAATTTATTTGCAAATTATGGTGGAAAATAAGTATTTGGTCAATAACAAAAGTTTCTCAATACTTTGTTATATACCCTTTGTTGGCAATGACACAGATCAAACGTTTTCTGTAAGTCTTCACAAAGTTTTCACACACTGTTGCTGGTATTTTGGCCCATTCCTCCATGCAGATCTCCTCTAGAGCAGTGATGTTTTGGGGCTGTCGCTGGGCAACACAGACTTTCAACTCCCTCCAAATATTTTCTATGGGGTTGAGATCTGGAGACTGGCTAGGCCACTCCAGGACCTTGAAATGCTTCTTACGAAGCCACTCCTTCGTTGCCCGGGCGGTGTGTTTGGGATCATTGTCATGCTGAAAGACCCAGCCACGTTTCATCTTCAATGCCCTTGCTGATGGAAGGAGGTTTTCACTCAAAATCTCACGATACATGGCCCCATTCATTCTTTCCTTTACACGGATCAGTCATCCTGGTCCCTTTGCAGAAAAACAGCCCCAAAGCATGATGTTTCCACCCCCATGCTTCACAGTAGGTATGGTGATCTTTGGATGCAACTCAGCATTCTTTGTCCTCCAAATACGACGAGTTGAGTTTTTACCAACAAGTTCTATTTTGGTTTCATCTGACCATATGACATTCTACCAATCCTCTTCTGGATCATCCAAATGCACTCTAGCAAACTTCAGACGGGCCTGGACATGTACTGGCTTAAGCAGGGGGACACGTCTTGCACTGCAGGATTTGAGTCCCTGGCGGCGTAGTGTGTTACTGATGGTAGGATTTGTTACTTTGGTCCCAGCTCTCTGCAGGTCATTCACTAGGTCCCCCCGTGTGGTTCTGGGATTTTTGCTCACCGTTCTTGTGATCATTTTGACCCCACGTGGTGAGATCTTGCGTGGAGCCCCAGATCGAGGGAGATTATCAGTGGTCTTGTATGTCTTCCATTTCCTAATAATTGCTCCCACAGTTGATTTCTTCAAACCAAGATGCTTACCTATTGCAGATTCAGTCTTCCCAGCCTGGTGCAGGTCTACAATTTTGTTTCTGGTGTCCTTTGACAGCTCTTTGGTCTTGGCCATAGTGGAGTTTGGAGTGTGACTGTTTGAGGTTGTGGACAGGTGTCTTTTATACTGATAACAAGTTCAAACAGGTGCCATTAATACAGGTAACGAGTGGAGGACAGAGGAGCCTCTTAAAGAAGAAGTTACAGGTCTGTGAGAGCCAGAAATCTTGCTTGTTTGTAGGTGACCAAATACTTATTTTCCACCATAATTTTCAAATAAATTCATTAAAAATCCTACAATGTGTTTTTCTGGATTTTCTTTCTCCAATTTGTCTGTCATAGTTGACGTGTACCTATGATGAAAATTACAGGCCTCTCTCATCTTTTTAAGTGGGAGAACTTGCACAATTGGTGGCTGACTAAATACTTTTTTTCCCCACTGTATCCTTCGTTTTTGTCAAAATTGCTCAGGCAATTTCTGAGGCTGATAACTCTAATGAACATATCCTCTGCAGCAGAGGTAACTCTGGGTCTTCCATTCCTGTGGTGGTCCTCATGAGAGCTAGTTTCATCATAGCGCTTGATGGTTTTGCAACTGCACTTGAAGAAACTTTCAAAGTTCTTGAAATGTTCCATATTGACTGACCTTCATGTCTTAAAGTAATGATGGACTGTCGTTTCTCTTTGCTTATTTGAGCTGTTCTTGCCATAATATGGACTTGGTCTTTTACCAAATAGGGCTAACCCTACCTTGTCACAAGACAACTGATTGGCTCAAACACATTAATAAGGAAAGAAATTCCACAAATTAACTTTTAAGAAGGCACACCTGTTAATTGAAATGCATTCCAGGTGACTACCTCATGAAGCTGGTTGAGAGAATGCCAAGAGTGTGTAAAGCTGTCATCAAGGCAAAAGGTGGCTATTTGAAGAATATCAAATACATTTTGATTTGTTTAACACTCTTGTGATTACTACATGATTCCATATGTGTTATTTCATAGTTTTGATGTCTTCACTAATATTCTACAATGTAAAAAATAGTAAAAATAAAGAATGTTCTCTGTCACCGAAACATATCCACCATTGAAGAATTTGAGTATTGTGTGACAAGTGCTTTGGCTTTGTGTTTTGCAGCTCGAGTGGAACAAGTTACCTAGAATAGCTAAACGTTAACTTGTCTTAAGCCTCTCCTCCAGCCAGGGTAACTGATTACCTGATACTAATTGTAACCTGTCTGTCCTCTCTCCTCCAGCCCGAGTACCTGAAGCTGGCCCATTACCTGGGGGCTGCGGTGAGCTTCCTGTGTATCTGTTTCTACAGTCTGCTCCTCACGGTGCTCACAAGGAAGTGTGTTCTGACCCGGATGGAGTGGTTCCTCTACCCAGCACGGGTCATCTCTACTGGGGTCCAGATCATCGTCACCATTGGCTGTATCCTTTCACCTGCACTGATTAACATTATAACCCTAACCCCTGAACCCAGACCTTTATAACTAGCGATGTTGTGGTAAAAAAAAAAGGTGCTTAAATGCTAAAGTAAAGTAACTCTCCCTATACTTTCAATACATTATTCCGCAAAAAGTGGGTAAAAAAGGTTTACCCTTCACTACATAACTGCTTATAACAACACAATGCAAGAAGAGTGTCCGCTTCCATACTTCTTCAACTTCAACAGGCCCTGAAAGGCACAGTTCTAGGTAGTAGGGGATAACAAGATACTGAACCTTAACAGTGAGGATGCCTATCTGTGTGTTTATCTGTTTACTGATGCGAAATGTTTTAATTTCTTCAACGTCTTTTGCCTTGTAGAGATTGTATTTCCTTGTTCCTTGGAACATATGCGTAGGTTCCTATAAACATAAACTCGATGAGGGTATGCCATAACCTGTCACCCAACAACTTCTGTTCCCCTTTCTTGACCTCTGACCCCTCTAGACACCATCTTGTTTGTACAGGAGGAATACATGTACAAGCACTCAGCGGCCGTGTTTGAGTGGATAATGAGTGTTAACCTGGAGCTGTTTGAGCTCAGCTTCGCTGTGGAGTTCTGTTTTTTCTCCTCCTCCATGTTGTCCACGCTGCTGGGGAAGAGAGATGAGGAGAAGCCTATCCTTCTGGCCTGAGGAGAGAAGATGCTGCTGGGCTGGCTACTGTAAGAGACACTGGGGTCTAGTTCATTAGGCATGAAATTGAAAAAAAAACAGTCCGAAACAGAGAGAGACTAGCTGGACTTCATTGTCATTTTAAAACATTTTGTTATGGTGTGCCCTAATGACACGACCCAGTAGTTTGCAAACTTTTCTGTGTTGTGACAGATCTAAAGCTTGTGGAATTGGACCAACCAAGTAAAGGGAACAATTGTTTGTAACCAGGACCCAGTCTGACTGCGATCAAAAACAAATCAGCTGAATAGGCCACGACCCACCGTTTGGAAAACACTGACGTAGGGGCATCATGAGGATCATATATTTGATCTTTGACTTTGCTCCTGGACCAACTCACATTTTTTAGGATTATTTATTTATCAAAACATTTTTTATCAGGGCTGACATTGTTCTTATGCAGCCCCTAAAGACAAACAGAAAAAGGAGTTCTTCCTGTCACACCAAATCAATGTACTTCGTCTTGGGGAGTATATCTGGATGCTTTCAAAAGGGAAAACTGTTGATCCTACAATCTTCTTAGCCACTGATGAACCAACACCAGAATACCTCAGCATTTGAGTAGTAGTCACTGTAAGCACTAAAGTCATTATTTCTGTTCCCATGTCCTGAATTGATCAAAGTGAAATGTCCCATTTGATGGGCCATGGAGAATGTTCAATGACGTTGTTAGCTCTTTTTTCAATATGTTGTCTATATGTTTAAACATGATATCTTGGTGGCATTACTGTGCTATTGAAGTATACCAGGTAACAACAACATAATTACTTGTTGTATAAAAATGTAATTGTCTGCATAGTAAAGTACTGAAGTGTAATGTTGCGATGGAATCTGAGCCCAGTGATCTCTTTTGACAGCCTTAACATTAAAAAGATGATCAAGTAGCTGATTTGTTTCTGAGTGGCAAGATGAGAAGCCAGTGATGATTCTAAACCTGCCATGGAACAGGGGGTGTAGTGGGAAGGATGCAGGCCTTTAGGTGTGGCCGTTGATTAATGAAAAGCTGTCTTTGTATTTGTGATAGATCATTCTGAAAATAACATATGTCTTAGCAAGGCGTCATACTTTGTTCCTTTGTTCTTCCTCTTTCTTACTGATGTATCGGTGTCCTTTTCTACAGTGGTCCTATTCAGGGCTTTCGTGCAACAACATATCATGGGACTACATGATTACATCTTCGCATTTCCCACTGGGCATTTTAGTAAACTTAAATAAAATAATGAACAAACCTGTTTGAAAAGCTAAAACTAAAATGATACTATTATCTTTGACTCCAAAACGAACAAAAAATGAACAAATAAACAATATGAATTATGTTCCGTTTTCGTTTTTTTCTTTGGCGGGGGGGGGGGGGTTCTGATTGGGTTTTCAAGCTTATGAATCTGGAAGGAGATTGACTTTATCAATTTAAAGGTAGACTCAGCAAGATCAGCACCTCAGATATTGTGCGTGTTTGAGTGGTAAGGCTCAAGTTGAAGAATAAAGTCAGGGGGAGGTGCACATGCGACAGCCGAAAGTCAGACACTAATGTGGTTTTCCAACAGCAAGGCTCAGATCAACATGGCAGTGTTGCCATTGTTTATTAAAAGGTTTTCTTGATTATATACTGTTCATGTTTATAACCCCCACAAACTGAAATCATAATATATTAATATTATATGTGTACACATTGCTAGATTTTGCTCATACACAATCACACAGAGTATTGGATCATTTGCACGGGTGCGCTTCACGCTGCTACAACGCGGGAGCTACAGGACCAAAACAGGGGAGAAGTTTAGCCTCACGTTTCAACGTCTCCTGGTTGTTGAGGAAATTGACCCACTACTACTGTTTAGTTCGTGCATCTACGTCATCTCGCTGAGTCTACCTTTAAACCTAACCTATAATATAATATTCCATTAGGCAGACGCTTTTATCCAAAGCGACTTACAGTCATGTGTGCATACATTTTTACGTATGAACTGACCCATCACCTTATGCATTACTGCCCCATAGTTGCAAGAAGTGACATCCCCAAAACACATAAATTGCTCCTAGCATCCCAGTCATAGTCTACTTTCTGTCCCTAACACTAAAACTGAAACTAAATAATATAAAAAACGAAATATTTATTTGTATCAAACTTAAACAAAATAAAAATGAGTGAAGTGGATCTGAAACTAACTGAAACTAAACTGAATTTCAAATAAAATCTTAAAACTAACAGAAATAAAAACATAAAAACACAAAACTAAAATAACCTTGGTTTCCACATCAACACACCTCGCTCCAGGGTCTGACCTATTTATGTAATGCTTCAAAGGACACAGTACCCTGTTAATACCTGGTGCTAGGAGACAGTAGCTCTGTAGTGGAAAAATAGAGTGAACAAATGTGAACGATGATGAAGGCCAGTGAGGAAGATGCGTCTAGCAACTTGTTGACGCCAGCCTGGCATGTTGATTGAATATGGCATTGTCCGGATGGATGGCTGTATATTTGCATCTCACAGGAGAGCCACATGATCCCCCCCATGGCAATCTCCAGGAGTAGACGTTCTCACGGAAGTCCTGGGGTCACTGATGCCAGGAGAGGTGTGGTGACTGATGACAACTTGAATTGACGAAATGAACGTTACTGTGTGAATTAAATTGTCATGTTTGGATTGTTTCAAGAGTTCATAAAGAGCTTTGAATTTTGATATGTCTTATTGCATTGTATGTTTTCTGGTTGATGTATTTTTGAAGTGACTGGATTGAAATTGTATGTTGGGTTGACTGGTTATCAGGCACATTCCTGTTGTCCGGTCATAACATTCAAATTTAGTTGATTAGATACTAATCTGGGTGTGTAGTTCCTGCCTTTTGTTTTACTAGCAAAGTGCTAAGAAACGTTAATTCAGGTTGGGGGTGCATTCCTGCTTGAATTTGGTTAAAATGCTACCAAGCTCCTTTATGTATCAAAATGTATGCACTCACTAACTGTAAGTCGCTCTGGATAAGAGCGTCTGCTAAATGACTAAAATGTATCAGACACACATAGCCTTGTTTTTTTATATACAGTGGTGTGAAACTGGCTTCCAGTTGAGGCTCGCATCTACTACAAGACCATGGTGCTTGCCTACGGAGCTGTGAGGGGAACGGCACCTACTTACTTTCAGGTTCTGATCCTACACCCAAACGAGGGCACTACGTTCATCCACCTCTGGCCTGCTAGCTCCCCTACCTCTACGGAAGCACAGTTCCCGCTCAGCCCAGTCAAAGCAATTTGCTGCTCTGGCACCCCAATGGTGGAACAAGCTCCCCCACGACGCCAGGACAGCGGAGTCACTGACCACCTTCCGGAGACACGTGAAACACTACCTCTTTAAGGAATACCTGGAATAGTATAAAGTAATCCTTCTACCCCCCCCATAAAAAAAAAATGTGGTTGTCCCACTGGCTATCATAAGTTGAATGCACCAATTTGTAAGTCGCTCTGGATAAGAGCGTCTGCTAAATGATGTAAATGTAAATGAAAAAGTGTTTGCCCCCTTCCTGATTTCTTATTTGTTTGTATGTTTGTCACACTTAAATGTTTCAGATCATCAAACACATTTAAATATTAGTCAAAGATAACACAAGTAAACACAAAATGCAGTTTTGAAATGAAGGTTGTTATTATTAAGGGAAAACAAAATCCAAACCTACATGGCCCTGTGTGAAAAAGTGTTTGCCACCCTGTTATAACACAACTCAACTGTGGTTTATCACACCTTAGTTCAATTCCTCTAGCCACACCCAGGCCTGATTACTGCCACACCTGTTCTCAATCAAGGAATCACTTAAATAGGACCTGCCTGACAAAGTGAAGTAGACCAAAAGATCCTCAAAAGCTAGACATCATGCCGTGATCCAAAGAAATTCATGAACAAATGAGAAAGAAAGTAATTGAGATCCATCAGTCTGGAAAAGGTTATAAAGCCATTTCTAAAGCTTTGGGACTCCAGCGAACCACAGTGAGAGCCATTATCCACAAATGGTGAAAACATGGAACAGTGGTGAATCTTCCCAGGAGTGGCCGGCCGACCAAAATTACCCCCAGAGCGCAGCGACGACTCATCCAAGAGGTCACAAAAGACCCCACAACAACATCCAAAGAGCTGCAGGCCTCACTTGCCTCAGTTAAGGTCAGTGTTCATGACTCCACCATAAGAAAGAGACTGGGCAAAAATGGCCTGCATGGCAGAGTTCCAAGACGAAAACCACTGCTGAGCAAAAAGAACATTAAGGCTCGTCTCATTTTTGCAGAAAACATCTTGGATGATCCCCAAGACCTCTGGGGAAATACTCTGTGGACTGACGAGACAAAAGTTGAACTTTTTGGAAGGTGTGTGTCCCATTACATCTGGCGTAAAAGTAACACTGCATTTCAGAAAAAGAACATCATACCAACAGTAAAATATGGTGGTGGTAGTGTGATGGTCTGGGCCTGTTTTGCTGCTTCAGGACCTGGAAGACTTGCTGTGATAAATGGAACCATGAATTCTGCGGTCTACCAAAAAATCCTGAAGGAGAATGTCCGGCCATCTGTTCGTGACCTCAAGCTGAAGCGAACTTGGGTTCTGCAGCAGGACAATGATCCAAAACACACCAGCAAGTCCACCTCTGAATGGCTGAAGAAAAACAAAATGAAGACTTTGGAGTGGCCTAGTCAAAGTCCTGACCTGAATCCTATTGAGATGCTGTGGCATGACCTTAAAGGCAGTTCATGCTCGAAAACCCTCCAATGTGGCTGAATTACAACAATTCTGCAAAGATGAGTGGGCCAAAATTCCTCCACAGCGCTGTAAAAGACTCATTGCAAGTTATCGCAAATGCTTGATTGCAGTTGTTGTTGCTAAGGGTGGCCCAACCAGTTATTAGGTTGTAGGGGGCAATCACTTTTTCACACAGGGCCATGTGGGTTTGGATTTTGTTTTCCCTTAATAATAACAACCTTCATTTCAAAACTGCATTTTGTGTTTACTTGTGTTATCTTTGACTAATATTTAAATGTGTTTGATCTGAAACATTTAAGTGTGACAAACATGCAAAAAAAAAAAGAAATCAGGAAGGGGGCAAACACTTTCACACCACTGGCTGTGTGCTTTGGGTCGTTGTCCTGTTGGAAGTTGAACCTTCGCCCCCAGTCTGAGGCCCTGAGCACCTTGGAGCAGTTTTTCGTCAAGGATCTCTCTGTACTTTGCTCCGTTCACCTTTCCCTCAATCCTGACTAGTCTCCCAGTCACTGCCGCTAAAAAACATCCCCACAGCATGATGCTGCCACCACCATGCTTCACCGTAGGGATGGTATTGGCCAGGTGATGAGCGGTGCCGGGTTTCCTCCAGACGTGACGCTTGGCATTCAGGCCAAAGAGTTCAATCTTGGTTTCATCAGACCAGAGAATCTTATTTCTCATGGTCAGAGTCCTTTAGGTGCCTTTTGGCAAACTCCAAGCGGGCTGTCATGTGCCTTTTACTGAGGAGTTGCTTCCGCCTGGCCACTCTACCATAAATGCCTGATTGGTGGAGTGCTGCAGAGACGGTAGTCCTTCTGGAAGGTTCTCCCATCTCCACAAAGGAACTCTGGAGCTCTGTCAGTGACCATCAGGTTGTTGGTCACCTCCCTGACCAAGGCCCTTCTCTTCCGATTGCTCAGTTTGGCCGGGCAGCCAGCTCTAAGAAGAGCCTTCGTGGTTCCAAACTTCTTCCATTTATGAATGGAGGCCACTGTGTTCTTGGGGACCTTCAATGCTGCAGACATTTTTGGTACCCTTCCCCAGATCTGTGCCTCGACACAATCCTGTCTCGGAGTGCTACGGACAATTCCTTCTACCTCATGGCTTGGTTTTTGCTCTGACATGCACTGTCAACTGTGGGAACTTATATAAACAGGTGTGTGCCTTTCCAAATCATGTCCAATTACATTTACATTTTAGTCATTTAGCAGACGCTCTTATCCAGAGCGACTTACAGTTAGTGAATACATCTTTTTTTTTTTATACTGGCCCCCCGTGGGAATCGAACCCACAACCCTGGCGTTGCAAACGCCATGCTCTATCAACTGAGCTACATCCCTGCCGGCCATTCCCTCCCCTACCCTGGACGACGCTGGGCCAATTGTGCGCCGCCCAATCAATTTAATTGACCACAGGTGGACTCCAACCAAGTTGTAGAAACATTTCAAAGATGATCAATGAGAACAGGATGCACCTGAGCTCAATTTCAAGTCTCATAGCAAAGGGTATTTCTGCTCTTTATTTTAATAAATTTGCAAACATTTATAAAAACCTGTTTTCGCTTTGTCATTATGGGGTATTCTGTGATTGATGAAAACATTTTAAAAAATCCATTTTAGAATAAGGCTGTAAGGTAACAAAATGTGGAAAAAGTCAAGGGGTCTGAAACACACCTCTCTTGTCGTGTCGTGTGTTGTCCTATATTTTATTTATTTTTAATCCCAGCCCCCGTCACAGCAGGAGGCCTTTTGCCTTTTGGTAGGCCGTCATTGTAAATAAGAATTTGTTCTTAACTGACGTGCCTAGTTAAATAAAGGTGAAATAAAATAGAATAAAAAAATTCCAATAATTTAGTAGGTCTATTGATAGTTGTTAATTACACTATACACATACTTGGATACCACCTTGACATCTCTGATCTGCTTGCCTCAATAAATGAATGCTAGAACATTAGTCTCCAGGATTAGCTTCGTACAGTGGGGAAAAAAAGTATTTAGTCAGCCACCAATTGTGCAAGTTCTCACACTTAAAAAGATGAGAGAGGCCTGTAATTTTCATCATAGGTACACGTCAACTATGACAGACAAATTCAGAAAAGAAAATCCAGAAAATCACATTGTATGATTTTTTATGAATTTATTTGCAAATTATGGTGGAAAATAAGTATTTGGTCACCTACAAACAAGCAAGATTTCTGGCTCTCACAGACCTGTAACTTCTTCTTTAAGAGGCTCCTCTGTCCTCCACTCGTTACCTGTATTAATGGCACCTGTTTGAACTTGTTATCAGTATAAAAGACACCTGTCCACAACCTCAAACAGTCACACTCCAAACTCCACTATGGCCAAGACCAAAGAGCTGTCAAAGGACACCAGAAACAAAATTGTAGACCTGGACCAGGCTGGGAAGACTGAATCTGCAATAGGTAAGCAGCTTGGTTTGAAGAAATCAACTGTGGGAGCAATTATTAGGAAATGGAAGACATACAAGACCACTGATAATCTCCCTCGATCTGGGGCTCCACGCAAGATCTCACCCTGTGGGGTCAAAATGATCACAAGAACGGTGAGCAAAAATCCCAGAACCACACGGGGGGACCTAGTGAATGACCTGCAGAGAGCTGGGACCAAAGTAACAAAGCCTACCACCAGTAACACACTACGCCGCCAGGGACTCAAATCCTGCACTGCCAGACGTGTCCCCCTGCTTGTCCAGGCCCATCTGAAGTTTGCTAGAGTGCATTTGGATGATCCAGAAGAGGATTGGGAGAATGTCATATGGTCAGATGAAACCAAAATATAACTTTTTGGTAAAAACTCAACTTGTCGTGTTTGGAGGACAAAGAATGCTGAGTTGCATCCAAAGAACACCATACCTACTGTGAAGCATGGGGGTGGAAGCATCATGCTTTGGGGCTGTTTTTCTGCAAAGGGACCAGGACGACTGATCCGTGTCAAGGAAAGAATGAATGGGGCCATGTATCGTGAGATTTTGAGTGAAAACCTCCTTCCATCAGCAAGGGCATTGAAGATGAAACGTGGCTGGGTCTTTCAGCATGACAATGATCCCAAACACACCGCCCGGGCAACGAAGGAGTGGCTTCGTAAGAAGCATTTCAAGGTCCTGGAGTGGCCTAGCCAGTCTCCAGATCTCAAACCCATAGAAAATCTTTGGAGGGAGTTGAAAGTCTGTGTTGCCCAGCGACAGCCCCAAAACATCACTGCTCTAGAGGAGATCTGCATGGAGGAATGGGCCAAAATACCAGCAACAGTGTGTGAAAACCTTGTGAAGACTTACAGAAAACGTTTGACCTGTGTCATTGTCAACAAAGGGTATATAACAAAGTATTGAGAAACTTTTGTTATTGACCAAATACTTATTTTCCACCATAATTTGCAAATAAATTCATTACAAATCCTACAATGTGATTTTCTGGATTTCTTTTTCTCATTTTGTCTGTCATAGTTGACGTGTACCTATGATGAAAATTACAGGCCTCTCTCATCTTTTTAAGTGGGAGAACTTGCACAATTGGTGGTTGACTAAATACTTTTTTTCCCCACTGTATCTAGCCTCTTAATAACTGCACAACAGTGCAAGATAGACACATGTTAATTAGAGTCATACTGAGTCGATGATGCAATGATTCGCTATCTTGCTATATCCTCCAGATGCACAGGTCCTGTTGCATTTATTCCCATAATAATGGAGTCAGATTTATAAATGTAGATTATTATTCAAAATTTCTACAAAACTACAGCCGTTAATACCTGGTGCTAGGAGTCAGTAGCCTGTTAATACCTGGTGCTAGGAGATAGTACCCTGTTAATACCTATTGCTAGGAGACAGTACCCTGTTAATACCTGGTGCTAGGAGATAGCAGCCCTGTTAATACCTGATGCTAGGAGACAGTACCCTGTTAATACCTGATGCTAGGAGACAGTACCCTGTTAATACCTGGTGCTAGGAGACAGTACCCTGTTAATACCTGGTGCTAGGAGATAGCAGCCCTGTTAATACCTGATGCTAGGAGACAGTACCGTTAATACCTGTTGCTAGGAGACAGTACCCTGTTAACACCTGGTGCTAACATGCATCCTGATCATATCTTCATTCTGGATCGTGCTCACATTTTCAGACAGGTGTAGTTGATTAAAAGATGCATTGTGATCAGATCTTATAAGTGTAAACGGACAAGATCAGGACGCATGTTAGCAGCAGATATAAATGGTGCTATAGTGTGTAGGCCAGGGGTGTCAAACGTCCGGCTCGCGGGCCGGATCAGGCCCGCAAACGGGTTTAATCCGGCCCGCGAGATGATAAAAAAAAAATAATAATAATAATAATAATAATTTTGTAAAGTATAAAAATGCGCTGCAATTTTTCAATAAAATAAACTGCTGTTCCAATTGCGTCCACTGGATGGCGCAATAGCAATTGTGTTAAGCAAGCAAACTGTTTATACCGGGGCAGAGCAAGTAGGTCAAGCACGTGCAGCCAATGAGCTACTTTGTTTTGCCCGCAATATTTATTAGGGCTTCTACTTTTAACATTATGTGCTTTGGCACCCTCATTGCCCCAATATGTCTCTGTCAAAAAAGAGAAAAGTGGACGCAGAGTGCAGAGTGTTCCAAGAAAAATGGTCATCCTATTTATTCACGGAATTGAATGGGAAAGCTGTATGTTTGGTGTGTTCAGCGCATGTTGCAGTGCTGAAAGAATATAACCTTCGTCGCCACTATGTGAGTCTTCATGCCGACAAATATGACAACTTTCAAGGACAGCGGAGATGAGAGAAGGTGAATGAACTGTTGGCGGGTCTGAAGAAACAGCAGTCTGTGTTTACTCACAGCCGAGACATCAGTGACGCTGCAGTGAAAGCTAGCTACCTCATTGCTAATGAAATCGCAGTGGCTTCAAAACCATTTAGTGAGGGTGAATTTGTAAAAACATGCATGATGAAGGCAGCGGAGATTGTGTGCCCTGAAAAGCGGCAGGCTTTTGCAAATATCAGCCTGACAAGAAACACAGTTGCAGACAGGATTTCCGATCTTTCAGTGGATTTGGACAGCCAGTTGAAGCAAAAAGTAAAGTCATTTATTGCGTTTTCGGTTGCAATTGATGAAAGCACGGACATTACAGATGTTGCACAACTGGCCATTTTCATCCGCGGAGTTGATGACACATTGACCGTCGCCGAGGAGTTTGTGGAGTTGGTGCCGATGACAGATACAACGACAGCAGCTGATATTTTTACCGCACTCGTCGGCGCGCTGGACAGGGTCGGAGTGGACTGGTCCCGCGCTGTCAGCCTGGCTACAGATGGTGCGCCCTCAATGATCGGGAAAAAAGCAGGCGTTGTGACAAAGTTCAGAGAGAAAGTGCAATCTGCAAATGGAGGACGTGATTTTTTGACTTTTCACTGTATTTTGCACCAGGAGGCTTTGTGTTGCAAGTCATTAAAGATGGATAACGTCATGAAGGTGGTCATCCAAACTGTTAATTTCATCCGATCCAGAAGCCTGAATCACCGTCAGTTTGACAGCCTTCTCAGAGAGAAAGACCACATCTATGGCCTGCCATACCACACTGAGGTAAGATGGTTAAGCCGAGGTGCTGTGCTGAGGCGTTTCTTTGATTTACGAGAAGAAATTGAACAGTTCATGGAAGAAAAGGGCAAACCAGTGTTAGAATTTCATTCCGCAGAATGGATGCAGGACCTTGCATTTATGGTGGATGTTACAGAGCACCTGAATAACTTGAACAAACAGCTGCAAGGGCGCAACAAAGTTGTCACGCAGTATTATGACAGCATACGTTCTTTCAAGTTGAAGCTGTCATTGTGGGAGACGCAACTTGCCGGTGGTGATGCAGCTCACTTGCCCTGTCTGAAAAATGTGTGCGCGACCCAACATGTGGCAGACATGAAGCGGTTCAAAGATAAAATAACGGGACTGTTAAGGGAGTTTGAGCAACGCTTTCAGATTTATGTTTATATGTTTTTATGTTGATGTGCTATTGTTTTTAATTGATTTTATTTAATTTGTATATTTAACCTATTCTTGACTCTGTGGTTCTTGCACTTGTTTGGGGAACAGGATTTCCATTATTTTTATCTACATTTCTGCCTGAGAAATGACACCCTGATATAGTTCTGTGATCTGTGAATCACTGAGGCATTGTGTGTTTGTGTGTTCTTTGTCCTCAGAACTTTCAAATAACTTGAGGTGTTTTATGATTAATAGTGATGTTGTGCTTTTGGACACTGTCCTCAGGCTCCAGCTTTATGTTGATGTGCTATTGTTTTTAATTGATTTTATTTTATTTGTATATTTAACCTATTCTTGACTCTGTGGTTCTTGCACTTGTTTGGGGAACAGGATTTCATTATTTTTATCTACATTTCTGCCTGAGAAATGACACCCTGATATAGTTCTGTGATCTGTGAAACAGTTCTGTTAATCACTGAGGCATTGTGTGTTTGTGTGTTCTTTGTCCTCAGAACTTTCAAATAACTTGAGGTGTTTTATGATTAATAGTGATGTTGTGCTTTTGGACACTGTCCTCAGGCTCCAGCTTTATGTTTATATGTTTTTATGTTGATGTGCTATTGTTTTTAATTGATTCTATTTTATTTGTATATTTAACCTATTCTTGACTCTGTGGTTCTTGCACTTGTTTGGGGAACAGGATTTCATTATTTTTATCTACATTTCTGCCTGAGAAATGACACCCTGATATAGTTCTGTGATCTGTGAAACAGTTCTGTTAATCACTGAGGCATTGTGTGTTTGTGTGTTCTTTTTCTTTAGAATTTTCAAATAAACTTGACGTGTTTTATGATTAATAGTGATGTTGTGCTTGTACTATTTTGGACACACTGTCCTCAGGCTCCAGCTTTATGTTGTATGTTGATCGTATTAAAACAAAGAAAACAATCTGAAGTTGTTGTTTTTAAGTTATATATACCATGATTTTTCCGGTCCAGCCCACTTGGGAATAGATTTTCCTCCATGTGGCCCGAGCTAAAATGAGTTTGACACCCCTGGTGTAGGCCGTTATAACGGTGTGTGTGTAGGAACGCTGCAAGGTTTCTCCTGTGTACTTGTAGCTTAATGTACACAACTTCAAAGACAGAGCTCTGAAGAAGTCAGTAAAAAAGGATGTCAACATAGATCAAGGGAGTCTTCTAAGTATAGTCGTTCCTTAGATATACTGTGGGTTGGGGTCAACCCTAATACTGTTTATCAATGTTGCAAGGCAGGGGAGTTTGTTGCGTTCACAAAAACGTCCCCCTTGCCTCACTCATAAGTGGCAAGATGTGGAAACAAGTACCGATGTCTCTTCACACTTGCTCAACTGTCTGAGGAAATGTGCAAACATAATGTAAAAAACAAATGCATATCTCTGGAACACAAGTATCAAGTGTTCTTAGAACACAGGTATGACTCATATCAGTGTTGTTAAGTGCAGACAGTAGGTATTGTCCCACCATTACCATGGCATTGTGGGGTGTTGACAGGCGTTGGCTGCCAGGTGGTATTTGCATAAGGACAAGTGTGTACTGTAGGTCAACAGGTAAGTCAGGTGGAGTTTGAACCGGAGAGGTTTGGGAAACCTTGTCATAGTGTTGTTGACTCTAGCCTTGGACGGATAGCTGCATGAATGTAGGGGCTTTGAAGGAATAAGGACTGTTGGGTGTGTGCACTGACAGAGGATTACTTGATGTTAATTTGCCTGCTATGTACAAAGCGTGCATTCTAAATCCATATTTTAGTACAGATGATGTTTATACAGTATCATGTTGGTGTGGTTCCCGAGTCTCCTACAGGCAATGAAGAACTTGACCATCTGGAAAAACTGTATCTGAAATATACCCTTTAGCTCACTACTGAATTCTAAATGAACCCCTAGTACCTAAGCACTTGTTTAGCTGCTACATGTTGGGATAGGTGTGTAAGCAATATGGCAACAAAAAGAAAAAGCCACCCAGTCAATCATACTACACTGCTCAAAAAAATAAAGGGAACACTTAAACAACACATCCTAGATCTGAATGAATGAAATAATCTTATTAAATACTTTTTTCTTTACATAGTTGAATGTGCTGACAACAAAATCACACAAAAATGATCAATGGAAATCAAATGTATCAACCCATGGAGGTCTGGATTTGGAGTCACCCTCAAAATTAAAGTGGAAAACCACACTACAGGCTGATCCAACTTTGATGTAATGTCCTTAAAACAAGTCAAAATGAGGCTCAGTAGTGTGTGTGGCCTCCACGTGCCTGTATGATCTCCCTACAACGCCTGGGCATGCTCCTGATGAGGTGGCGGATGGTCTCCTGAGGGATCTCCTCCCAGACCTGGACTAAAGCATCCGCCAACTCCTGGACAGTCTGTGGTGCAACGTGGCGTTGGTGGATGGAGCGAGACATGATGTCCCAGATGTGCTCAATTGGATTCAGGTCTGGGGAACGGGCGGGCCAGTCCATAGCATCAATGCCTTCCTCTTGCAGGAACTGCTGACACACTCCAGCCACATGAGGTCTAGCATTGTCTTGCATTAGGAGGAACCCAGGGCCAACCGCACCAGCATATGGTCTCACAAGGGGTCTGAGGATCTAATCTCGGTACCTAATGGCAGTCAGGCTACCTCTGGCGAGCACATGGAGGGCTGTGCGGCCCCCCCAAAGAAATGCCACCCCACACCATGGACTGACCCACCGCCAAACCGGTCATGCTGGAGGATGTTGCAGGCAGCAGAACGTTCTCCACGGCATCTCCAGACTCTGTCACGTGCTCAGTGTGAACCTGCTTTAATCTGTGAAGAGCACAGGGTGCCAGTGGCGAATTTGCCAATCTTGGTGTTCTCTGGCAAATGCCAAACGTCCTGCACGGTGTTGGGCTGTAAGCACAACCCCCACCTGTGGACGTCGGGCCCTCATGGAGTCTGTTTCTGACCGTTTGAGCAGACACATGCACATTTGTGGCCTGCTGGAGGTCATTTTGCAGGGCTCTGGCAGTGCTCCTCCTTGCACAAAGGCGGAGGTAGCGGCCCTCCTACGGCCTCCTCCACGTCTCCTGATGTACTGGCCTGTCTCCTGGTAGCGCCTCCATGCTCTGGACACTACGCTAACAGACACAGCAAACCTTCTTGCCACAGCTCGCATTGATGTGCCATCCTGGATGAGCTGCACTACCTGAGCCACTTGTGTGGGTTGTAGACACTGTCTCATGCTACCACTAGAGTGAAAGCACCGCCAGCATTCAAAAGTGACCAAAACATCAGCCAGGAAGCATAGGAACTGAGAAGTGGTCTGTGGTCACCACCTGCAGAACCGCTTCTTTATTGGGGGTGTCTTGCTAATTGCCTATAATGTCCACCTGTTGTCTATTCCATTTGCAGCATGTGAAATTTATTGTCAATCAGTGTTGCTTCCTAAGTGGACAGTTTGATTTCACAGAAGTGTGATTGACTTGGGGTTACATTGTGTTGTTTAAGTGTTCCCTTTATTTTTTTGAGCAGTGTACTATATCCTATCCTTTGAGAGCTACAAGTAGGAGGGGCTAAGGATCATCTGCATTTCAACACAGGGAAAGAGCAGATACTGTATGATGTTCATACATTAGGGTTCCTAAAATGTTATTAAACACTCCTCCAGGCTTTGTAAAGATCTGATTATCTATACAGAGCTGACCGGTGCATTATCTGCATATTGAATACACCACCATAACACTATAGAAAGTGACACTAAACTGACAACACAGGAAAGGAGACGGCGTGGTTCTGGTTTTAATGCAAAGCACTTAACCTTTACTTGAAAGAAGGTAATATACATTAAGATACATTATGAGCAAAATCATTTAACGATGGATAGAGAGGAAGATATCCTTTCTTCTCCACTCGCACCAGCTCCAGAGAGTAGTGCGAAATGTTATACCGTTTTTCGTAGGAAGAAAACGGTGAGAAGCAGACCTAAAACTTGTCCAGGCATCTTTACTTGCTATGATAAACTGTAAAAAATGTTCTATATTAAGCAGTAGTCCATGTCGTTAACCTCCTCAATAACAATAACAAAACGGAAAAGATATTGTAAGGAAATTGAGTTTTTTTATGGTTGCCCTCCAACTAAGTAGTTCAACCTCAATGTATATATCATAAATAAATAGGGAAATGGGGGGCAGAAAGAAATTATAGCTCAACATAGTTTTACAAGCAAAGAATCCTCAATCCCAGCATGGCTGGAACTTTACGAGATCTTTCTTCCAAAATATCCACATTTAAGACCGTGTGACCACTACTATTCTTTTACAAACATTTTGTTGTTGTTGATACTGTTGTCTTTTCTGTAGCAGGTGCATCTGCAATCCCTTCTCATGCCAAACACCTCCAAGTAAAGCAGGTTAAAACGCTGGCTGCCCTTTAAAATCTGCTGAGTAAATTAATCTTGTCTACTTTTTCTATCGTGGGTGGTTGGTGAGAAACGCTTTTCATAACAGAAAGTGATAGTAAACTCTGCATGAGAAAAGAAATGGGTTTACAGCGAAGGAAGGTGTCTGTTTTTTAACCAAGCCTTAAACGACATATCTTCTCCTCAGCTACGCTAGTAGTGGGGAAGCCACTGGTATTATTAGTCACATATACTCACCAATTCTAAAATTAAGTCATTTAGTTAATGATCTTCTAGCTCAAATCCCAACAGCTTCAGCTGATCTCCTTTTCCTCCGGACAAGATCCGTCAGTTAGCCAGCCGGCCAATCAAGTGTTAGGGAGGCGGCTCTAACTTCGTACACGTTTGAACAATTCTCTCGTCTGTAAAGAGGAAGGACACTAACAGTAGTTGACAACTGAAAAGTATGAATCTGTTGGGGGTGCAGTGAGCTGGGACGATAAACTGAAAAGTATCGACACCGACCAAACCGACCACTTATCGTGGACATTTGGCCGATATCGTTCATTACGATAACCTATAGGACCCTACTAAAGAAATGTGAAGTTTGAAATTAAATACGTTTGCTAATATGGGTGACTGTTAATGGGACAATTGATAGCTATAACATTCAAAGTAGTAGTTGTAGGGGTAATATAAAAAATAACTGTGGTGCACATTAATGTTATAAAGTTATTATTCAATTTATCGTTATCGTGATAATTCAGTCAATTTATCGTGATATGTATTTTGGTACATATCACCCAGCTCTAGAGGGTTTGTAGTTGAGTTGGGGTGGGTGCTGTTGATCAGACTGAGTACATGTTCTTTGTGGTGGAACCACTCTTGCTAGATGTGTCATCATGTGACTGGTAGCCAATCAGGAGCTTGATGGGGATACTCAGGCGCTCTTTATACTGTTGTCTGGAGAGAGAGAGAGAGAAAGGGGGGAGGGAATGATGAATTGGTTCTCAGTACAGTCTTACATGCATTGTTGCCACCTAGTGGTGACCTAGAAACATTGCAGTGCTGTACTCAAAACAGATGGCATTTCTGCCAACTAAACCCTTTCTGCACTCCCGGGGTAACTTGAAGGAAAACCTTGTGACCATGAATGTTTAGGAAACCCTGTCCTAGATCATCAGTCCTACTCTGAGAGGCTTTATGTATACAAGCCCTGGTGTTTTCATTGTCCCTTCAAACTTCACAATTCTCTCAATGTGCCCAAATTGCATTTTGTGTGTGCGCACGCGAGATTCTCAATGAGATTTTCTCGACTCCTCGCATCCTCTGTCCTCTCCTTACCTCCTTTTGAAAAAGGTCAAAAGTAAGCAAGGAGAGGAGGTGAAAAGGAAACAAATGCACTTGTGTGAAATGATGACACTAGCATGTCATCAGGCAAATTACATTTACCGGGGTGGAATCCCAAAATACATGTAAAAAGAAATGTAGCTAGTTGTACTATAATTTTTTTTTAAAATAAATAAAACAAGTAGCGCATGCTTTCTCCTCCCCCGCCCGCCTGGTGTTCAACCTTCCCAAGTTCTCCCATGTCACCACTCTCCTCCCAACACTCCACTGGCTTCCAGTCGAAGCTCGCATCCACTACAAGACTGGTGCTTGCCTACGGAGCAGCAAGAGGAACTGCCCCTCCCTACCTTTAGGCTATGCTCAAACCCTACATCCCAACCAACCCGAACACACCATTCTGCCAACTCTGGTCTCTTGGCTCTCCCACCCCTACGGGAGGGCAGCTCCCGCTCAGCCCAGTCAAAGCTCTTGTCTGTCCTGGCAGCCCAATGGTGGAACCATCTTCCCCCTGAAGCTAGGAAAAAAATAAAGCTTGCACTTCTCTTTTCCTATTAGAACTCTTTGCTGATCCCTTCTTTATTGAGGAAAAATGTACTTACTATGACTGTAATGTGGTTGTCTCACCTAGTTAGTTATCTTAAGATGAATGCACTGTAGGTCGCTCTGGATAAGAGTGTCTGCTAAATGACTGAAATGTAAAATCAAAACCTGTTTCAAAGGAATCTGAATTTAAAAACCCTCTTCCGCGGTAGGATACACTTGAGAATCCTCCAATCGAGGATAGAAAGAAAATCCTCAGCTCACTTATTAACATACTGACACACGCCTATATACAGTGGGGGAAAAAAAGTATTTAGTCAGCCACCAATTGTGCAAGTTCTCCCACTTAAAAAGATGAGAGAGGCCTGTAATTTTCATCATAGGTACACGTCAACTATGACAGACAAAATGAGAATTCTTTTTCCAGAAAATCACATTGTAGGATTTTTAATGAATTTATTTGCAAATTATGGTGGAAAATAAGTATTTGGTCAATAACTAAAGTTTCTCAATACTTTGTTATATACCCTTTGTTGGCAATGACACAGGTCAAACGTTTTCTGTAAGTCTTCACAAGGTTTTCACACACTGTTGCTGGAATTCTGGCCCATTCCGCCATGCAGATCTCCTCTAGAGCAGTGATGTTTTGGGGCTGTCGCTGGGCAACACAGACTTTCAACTCCCTCCAAAGATTTTCTATGGGGTTGAGATCTGGAGACTGGCTAGGCCACTCCAGGACCTTGAAATGCTTCTTACGAAGCCACTCCTTCGTTGCCCAGGCGGTGTGTTTGGGATCATTGTCATGCTGAAAGACCCAGCCACGTTTCACCTTCAATGCCCTTGCTGATGGAAGGAGGTTTTCACTCAAAATCTCACGATACATGGCCCCATTCATTCTTTCCTTTACACGGATCAGTCGTCCTGGTCCCTTTGCAGAAAAACAGCCCCAAAGCATGATGTTTCCACCCCCATGCTTCACAGTAGGTATGGTGTTCTTTGGATGCAACTCAGCATTCTTTGTCCTCCAAACACGATGAGTTGAGTTTTTACCAAAAAGTTCTATTTTGGTTTCATCTGACATTCTCCCAATTCTCTTCTGGATCATCCAAATGCACTCTAGCAAACTTCAGACGGGCCTGGACATGTACTGGCTTAAGCAGGGGGACACGTCTGGCACTGCAGGATTTGAGTCCCTGACGGCGTAGTGTGTTACTGATGGTAGGCTTTGTTACTTTGGTCCCAGCTCTCTGCAGGTCATTCACTAGGTCCCCCCGTGTGGTTCTGGGATTTTTGCTCACCGTTCTTGTGATCATTTTGACCCCACGGGGTGAGATCTTGCGTGGAGCCCCAGATCGAGGGAGATTATCAGTGGTCTTGTATGTCTTCCATTTCCTAATAATTGCTCCCACAGTTGATCTCTTCAAACCAAGCTGCTTACCTATTGCAGATTCAGTCTTCCCAGCCTGGTGCAGGTCTACAATTTTGTTTCTGGTGTCCTTTGACAGCTCTTTGGTCTTGGCCATAGTGGAGTTTGGAGTGTGACTGTTTGAGGTTGTGGACAGGTGTCTTTTATACTGATAACAAGTTCAAACAGGTGCCATTAATACAGGTAACGAGTGGAGGACAGAGGAGCCTCTTAAAGAAGAAGTTACAGGTCTGTGAGAGCCAGAAATCTTGCCTGTTTGTAGGTGACCAAATACTTATTTTCCACCATAATTTGCAAATAAATTCATAAAAAATCCTACAATGTGATTTTCTGGATTTTCTCTCTCTCAATTTGTCTGTCATAGTGGACGTGTACCTATGATGAAAATTACAGGCCTCTCATCTTTTTAAGTGGGAGAACTTGCATAATTGGTGGCTGACTAAATACTTTTTTCCCCCACTGTATGGTGACGGAGGAGTGGGGGACAGAGGAGTGGGGGACGGACTTTTACCCAATTGACAAAAGGCAAGAGATGTGACCTACCCTATCGCCACAATGGCTTCCTTGTTCTGACAATTCCCGGTCCAGATGGATATTTTATCTCCCTTGGGTCTGACGTTGACTACCGCTCCACAGACGTCTTCACTGGCCTCGTCAAACGACTCGCCGATTAAACACAACAGCTGCAACACACACAAATCTAGTACATGATACTCTGGAATGAATAACATGTTATTTACCTGTTAAGTCACCGTCTAGCGACCCATCCTTTACAGAAGATTATTCGACAACACTCCGGTAGTATAGTCATGAAGAGTTGCAGCAGGGTTGTGTTCATCAAAGAGAGGAACACTGACTGAACGATGGAGGGAAAACCTGGACCATTGCAATGTTTTTGTTGTGTGCCTTAATGAACACTACACAGCCCAGGGTCAAATTCATTAGGGTACACAACTGGAAACATTCGATAACATTTTGCAATGGAAAACAAAAGTGAGCCTTTCTTGTTTCGGTCCAGTTTGCTTCCTAATGAACATGACCCAGGTTTAGGGATAGTGATGCTTACCGTCTCCATCCAGTAGCGGTCGAGGTCGATTTGTCTCTGCTGTTTACTGAGGGTCATCAGCCACCTCCCACCCAGCTTGTTCTTGTCATCCTCCCACATCGGCTTCACCCCATCCTGACACAGAGTGGTGGGGGAACGTTAGCTCAAAGCTTGATCCCAACGTACAGTGCATTCGGAAATTATTCAGACCCCTCACTTTTTCCACATTTTGTTACCTCATCAATACCCCATAATGACAAAGCGAAAACAGGATGAGATGTGTGCAAATGTATAAAAAAATACAAAACAGAAATACCTTATTTACATAAGTATTCAGACCCTTTGCTTTGAGACTCAAAATTGAGCTCAGGTGCATCCTGTTTCCATAGATCATCTCTGAGATGTTTCTACAACTTGATTGGAGTCCACCTGTGGTAAATTCAATTGATTGGACATGATTTGGAAAGGCACACACCGGTCTATATAAAGGTCCCACAGTTGACAGTGCATGTCAGAGCAAAAACCAAGAAATGAGGTTGACGGAATTGTGTTGAGGATTGTGTCGAGGCACAGATCTGGGGAAGGGTATCAAAAACATTCTGCAGCATTGAAGGTCCCCAAGAACACAGTGGCCTCCATCATTCTTAAATGGAAGAAGTTTGGAACCACCAAGACTCTTCCTAGAGCTGGCCGCCCGGTCAAACTGAGCAATCGGGGGAGAAAGGCTTTGGTCAGGGAGGTGACCAAGAACCCAATGGTCACTTTGACAGAGCTCCAGAGTTCCTCTGTGGAGATGGAAGAACCTTCCAGAAGGACAACCATCTCTGCTGCACTCCACCAATCAGGCCTTTATGGTAAAGTGGCCAGACAGAAGCCACTCCTCAGTAAAAGGCACATGACAGCCTGCTTGGAGTTTGCCAAAAGGCAACTAAAGGACTCTCAGACCATGAGAAACAAGATTCTCTGGTCTGATTTAAAGAAGATTGAACTCTTTGGCCTGAATGCCAAACCACGCACCGCTCATCACCTGGCCAATATCTTCCCTACTGTGAAGCATGGTGGTGGCAGCATCATGCTGTGGGGATGTTTTTCAGCAGCAGGGACTGGGAGACTAGTCAGGATTGAGGGAAAGATGAACTGAGCAAAGTACAGAGAGATCCTTGATGAAAACCTGCTCCAGAGCGCTCAGGACCTCAGACTGGGGCGAAGGTTCACCTTCCAACAGGACAACGACCCTAAGCACACAGCCAAGACAACGCAGGAGTGGCTTTAGGAAAAGTCTCTGAATGTCCTTGAGTGGTCCAGCCAGAGCCCGGACTTGAACCCGATCTAACATCTCTGGAGAGATCTGAAAATACCTGTGCAGCGACGCTCCCCATCCAACCTGACAGAGCTTGAGAGGATCTGCATAGAAGAATGGGAGGAACTCCCCAAATACAGGTGTGCCAAGCTTGTAGTGTCATACCCGAGAAGACTGGCGGCTGTAATCGCTGCCAAAGGTGCTTCAACAAAGTACTGAGTAAAAGGTCTGAATACTTATGTAAATTTGATATTTCAGCTTATTTTTAATTAGAAAAAAAATCAAAAAAACTGTTTTTGCTTTGTCATTATGGGGTATTGGTGTAGATTGATGAGAGAATTTTTAAAAAAAAAATCAATTTTACAATAAGGCTGTAATGTAACAAAATGTGGAAAAGGGGATGGAGTCTGAATACTTTCCAAATGCACTGTACATCCTGGGCCCGTATTCATAAAGTGTCTTACTGTAGAAGTGCCGATCTAGGATCAGTTTAGCCTTTTAGATCATAATGAATGAGATTATATGGATAAGGGGGACCTGATCCTAGATCAGGGTTTCCCAAACTCAGCCCTTGGGACCCCAAGGGGTGCACCTTTGGTTTTTTCCATAGCACTACACAGCTGATTCAAATAATCAACTAATCATCAAGCTTTGATCATTTGAATCAGCTGTCCAGTGTTAGGGCAAAAACAAAAATGGGGTCCCAAGGACTGAGTTTAGGAAACCCTGTCCTAGATCATCAGTCCTACTCTGAGAGGCTTTATGCACACAGGCCCTGATGTTTTCATTTAATGTTATTAACTTGACAACGTACAGAACAGCGACATGTCTTCTGAAGGGATACTGTTTGTTTCAGAAGTCCACTTACCTTAAATAAGCAGTAGTCACAGCCGAAGCCTAACTTACTGGGCTGCTGTATGTGGTTATATAATCTACAACACACAACCAAGAGGCACACTTAAACACAGGCCTACAGATATACAAGAATATTACACACTATGATTATGAAATGATAGTGAGACAATTGATAGTTCTATGCCATTCTCCATTTTTATTTTTTGGAGAGAAGTCATGAGGCACAACATTCAGGGCACAGATAGCAATATATGGCATAGAACTGCCACAGTCCTTTACTTCACATAACAGAAACGTGTGTCCATACTGTAGAATGCATTTCTAGCTACAAATGAACATTATGCCCTGCTGAACAGAAATTGTCAATTTTTTCCCACACCGATTGTCACGATAACATCATAGGATGGAGAGGAAGAAGGGGTGGAGGAAGAGGATGATGAGGAAGAGCGAGAAAGAGGAAGAGTACTCACGCCCAGAAGTCTTCCACTGTGTCAAACTTTGCGATGAGACGGAGGTTCTCTGTCCAGCTTTTGCTCTTGTCGTTTTTGAAATACCACAGGGCCCATCTGAAGTGAGAGGACACAGTCAGAGATTCCCCATCGCACTCCCCGGTCCGCACAGACAGACAGAGGCTTCTATTTGTCTTTAGTGAGCGAATCTTACCTTCTGCACCTATCAGAGTGACCAGTCAATGTGTGTGTCTGTCTGTCTGTCCCGGTCAACAGCAGTAACAGTTATGGAAAGTTATGTATTGATGTTCATCAGCCAAACCAAGGATTAATTCTAAGAAAACATAACAGTACATTTAATGAAGCTTCCAACAGTAGACCTACAAATCAATGAAGCTTCCAACAGTAGACCTACAAATCAATGAAGCTTCCAACAATAGACCTACAAATCAATGAAGCTTCCAACAATAGACCTACAAATCAATGAAGCTTCCAACAGTAGACCTACAAATCAATGAAGCTTCCAACAGTAGACCTACAAATCAATGAAGCTTCCAACAGTAGACCTACAAATCAATGAAGCTTCCAACAGTAGACCTACAACCAATGAAGCTTCCAACAGTAGACCTACATTTAATGAAGCTTCCAACAGGAAAACGACCCTAAGCACACAGCCAAGACAACACAGGAGTGGCTTCGGGACAAGTCTCTGAATGTCCTTGAGTGGCCCAGCCAGAGCCCGGACTTGAACCCGATCAAACATCTCTGGAGAGACCTGAAAATAGCTGTGCAGCGACGCTCCCCATCCAACCTGACAGCGCTTCAGAGGATCTGCAGAGAAGAATGGGAGAAACTCCCCAAATACAGGTGTGCCAAGCTTGTAGCGTCATACCCAAGAAGACTCGAGGCTGTAATCGCTGGCAAAGGTGCTTCAACAAAGTACTGACTAAAGGGTCTGAATACTGATGCAAATGTAATATCTCCGTTTTTTTATTTTTAATACATTTGCAAAAATGTCTAAAAACCAGTTTTTGCTTTGTCATTATGGGGTATTATTGTGTGTAGATTGATGAGGGGGAAAAAACGATTTAATCCCGAATAAGGCTGTAACATAAAATGTGGAAAAAGTCAAGGGGTCTGAATACACTATGTTATTGCCTATTTGTTCTTTTCCCCATTGTGTACAACAGCAAGTGTAAGTAATATAAGTATAAGTAACATGCATATAAATGTTGAATAGAAGAACAGAGAACCAGGCAGTCATCCACCCTGCTACAAACACTTCCCTTTTTCACCAGTCCTACCATTATTATTTCATCTGTTTCCCAGGAAGGGAATAGCGTAGTAGGGGAGGGAGGGATGGTAGGAGGGAGGGAGGGGTGGATAGGGCATGGACTGAACCCTGTGCCCCCCCCCATGCTAAATTTATACCCACGCCCCACCTGGACACTTCCTGAAAATACCTGTGCTTAGTTATCACACTGACTATCAGTAGAGCAGTTGACTAGAGGAAGCACTCTAGTGTTGCCCCACTGATAAATATGTTATTATTACACAAGACCAGTGTTGAGACGAGAAAACACCTGGCGTGACTCGTCTGGTGAACCAGAGTGAGGTCATAGACGTGTAAACAAACACTAATGTGTCATAGTTGAGGTAAAGCCTGTGGATTATGGAATGGTCTACACTATTGTTGTTGGGGTCCTGAAGAACATACAAAACAAACGGGATGTTGAGCCACGTACCGTAAACACAGTCTGTTGAAGTCCAGAACTCCCTACAACAGAGTCATACAGTGTGTGTGTGTGTATTGAGTGACTCCAGACTTCCTAGTCCCTAGTATCACCCAGAAAAACAAAAAGGAGGAAGAGGTTGCGCAAGGTTTCGGTTTGTTTTTTCTCTGGCAGCGGCGTAACATTCAGAGAGCTGCGAAGTACCAACACCAAAACCAATGCAGATCAAAAAGAGGCTGATGTGGTGGGCATGGCAGGCGGCGTAGGCACGGCTGAATTTTGGAGGACCCCATCTTGGCAGTGTAAAGGATTTTTAAGCCAATTTCCTGCAATTATAAAAATGTCTCCATGGAGCTGAGCATGTTTTGCAGTTTTAAAGCTAATTTCCTGCAATTCTATGTATTTTGCCATGGCTAATGCGGTGTTATTTTGCTTTCCAATTCTCCCTGTATCTTTTATTTAGGTAATTGTTAGTTCTCAAAGATTATATTATTTAAAAAACTATAGGTCCATTATCTTTTCTATATACTTTATATCTGCTTTTAGTCGTCTACATTGTATTTATATACAGCTGCGGAAAAAATTCAGAGACCACTGCAAAATTATCAGTTTCTCTGGTTTTACTATTTATAGGCATGTGTTTGGGTAAAAATAACATTTTTATTTTATTCTATAAACTACTGACAACATTTCTCCCAAATTCCCCCCCCCAAAATATTGTCATTTAGAGCATTTATTTGCAGAAAATGACAACTGGTCAAAATAACAAAAAAGATGCAGTGTTGTCAGACCTCGAATAATGCAGAGAAAATAAGTTAATGTTCATTTTTAAACACAATACTAATGTTTTAACTTAGGAAGAGTTCAGAAATCAATATTTGGTGGAATAACCCTGATTTTCAATCACAGTTTTCATGCGTCTTGGCATGCTCTCCACCAGTCTTTCACATTGATGTTGGGTGACTTTATGCCACTCCTGGCGCAAAAATTCAAGCAGCTCGGCTTTGTTTGATGGCTTGTGACCATCCATCTTCCTCTTGATCACATTCCAGAAGTTTTCAATGGGGTTCAGGTCTGGAGATTGGGCTGGCCATGACAGGGTCTTGATCTGGTGGTCCTCCATCCACACCTTGATTGACCTGGCTGTGTGGCATGGCGCATTGTCCTGCTGGAAAAAACAATCCTCAGTTGGGGAACAATGTCAGAGCAAACGGAAGCACGTTTTCTTCCAGGACAACCTTGTACGTGGCTTGATTCATGCGTCCTTCACAAAGACAAATCTGCCCGATTCCAGTCTTGCTGAAGCACCCCCAGATCATCACCGATCCTCCACCAAATTTCACAGTGGGTGCGAGACACTGTGGCTTGTAGGCCTCTCCAGGTCTCCGTCTAACTATTAGACGACCAGGTGTTGGGCAAAGCTGAAAATTGGACTCATCAGAGAAGATGACCTTATTCCAGTCCTCTACGGTCCAATCCTTATGGTCTTTTGCAAACCTCCGCCTGGCTCTTCTTTGCTTCTCATTGATGAAGGCCTTTTTTCTAGCTTTACACGACGACTTCAGCCTTGCCCCTAGGAGCCTGTTTCGAACCGTCCTCGCCGTGCACTTCACCCCAGCTGCCGTTTGACATTATTTTTGTAGGTCACTTGATGTCATCCTACGGTTGTTGAGTGACATTCGAATGAGTTGGCGGTCATCCCGGTCAGTAGAGTGTCGTTTTCGCCCTCTGCCGGTCTGTAGCTTTGTTGTCCCCAATGTCTGCTGCGTGACCTTGTTCTTATGAACCGCCGTCTTTTAAATTTTAAGGATGGAAGCAACCTGACACTCACTGTATCCCTCTGCCAGTAAAGCCAGAATTGAACCCTTCTTTTCCTCACTCAAAACTTTCCTTTTCAACTATTTTGGCATGGTCAATAGTTATTTTTTGATTAATATTACTTTTGAGGTACTATTAGCAATGTTTTTGCCATCCAGCTGGTCCTATTGCAAGAGGATAGTGATGACCACAGCAGTGGTTTTTATACTTTTCCTCATTAAATAAGATTTGGTTCATGTGATCACCTAATCAGTACCTAATTCAGTAGAATGAGGTGTGCCTGTGTTGGAATTCAACAGACACTGGAATGGAATGGCTGTCATACATGTAGAGATGCTGATTTAAGATAAATTTGCAGTGGTCTCAATTTTTTCCACAGCTGTGTGTATATATATATATATATATATATATATTATTTTTTAAACTGTGGACTTAGGTGGCCCAGAATAAAGCTTAGCCCAAGGATGTCAATGGCAGAAAAATCCCTGCGAACAGAATCTGAAATCCACTGGTCTAGGATCAAGTTTTTCAAACAGTAAAAAATACCAGAACTATGGAGTTTTAAATCATCAGAATGACCCAGAATCGGTGGTTAGGGAGGGACAGCATCCACCTGAGAGGCAGGGAAAGGACAGACAGAAAGGTCTAGAGTGGGTCTACGAGGCAGTGTTTTATGTCAGCAGTTCTACCCGGCCCAGTGTACTGCCTACAGTAGTGTATGGCCTGGCTCCCTATTGAATAGACAGCCACTCGATGGGATGTGCCAGAACAGACAAAAGTGGTGACATCACAATGTCAATGTCACATCTGTAGAGAGCAAGTTTGATCAGCTTTGTTCTTCATCTAGGTTTAGGGTTAAAGCTAGCTGTGAGCATGTGAATAGAAATATGGATGGAAACATTCTGGGAAGCACCAAAGCGTTTTTGGCCTAGTGAGCGTGACCCTAGTATCCCCATCTGGGTTGTGTTCATTTGGGCACACAATAATAACATGTTTTAAAAGGTTTCGCATCAGAAGTCCAGTTCTGTTTCAGTCATTTCCCTTACGTTTGGTACCTAATGAATGAACATGACCCTGGGATTTATTCACTAGGAACCAAACGGAAGCCAACAGAACGAAACGGGGGAGGGACCTACCTGAAATTGTCTAATAGAAACTCTAGTTTTCGTTGAAGTACCCCAGGGATGTAATCATCAGTCCAAACAGTTGCGTTTTTCAACGAAAACGAGTGTTTCAATTGGACAAATTCAGGCAGCTCCCTCCCTGTTTTGTTCCATTTTCCCCCTTGTGAATATACCCCTGGTGTCAACGCTGAGCAGCAGATGTGTTGTAATCAGCAGCCAGTTGTCAGCAAAGTGGAAATATTGTACCAAACAAGCACTGCTTCCAGCCCAAACATCTAAAGGACAGACTTATAAGTCATCTACAAGTCTTACACAGCAGAGAGAAAGTCTCAACTATTTGGTGGAGATTCCACTGTAGTAAGTAATGGGCTACAGTGGCAGAGTAAGTAGCCTCTCTGTATTCACCTATGGTGAATAATATGGCAATCACAGGCAGAGTAGATTCAATGAGGAGACATTATCTCTTCTAATCCTATCTGCTATGCTATATAAACCTGGAATTCTGCAAAGTAATAGCCTATGTTTCAGGCTACCTGTGTCACTGATTGTAGCATGTACTGACTACCACACTACCAGAAGTTGTCTCAAGGGAACATTTACTAATTGTAATGCACAAAAGCAGACAGACACACAGTATCCATACTTGTTTTGCAGGGGGTGTTTGATGTACTGCTCAGAACCAGTGACCACAGGTGGTGCAGTGGGGATTACTTCAGGTTGGGGCTCTTCTGTTTCAGGTGCTTTCTGGATGGGATGACACAGCAAAAACATTCACCAGTAACGTTACAATATTAGCTGTTTGCAGGAAATCTGACATCCTTAGACCCATCCTGCCAATAGCTCCTAACATACACAATCATATCAAAATAAAGGCTAATCATGGATACTAACTACTACTGACACTAAAACAATACTACACTTGCAGGTATTCTATCCATGTCGGACTACATTTCAACGTTTTGATTAAAGATAAAACTAAGTTTTGAAAGGTCAGTATCTGCCATTTCTACTACTGAATGATACATTCAATGCCTCTACATGTATACTGAATATCTACCAACATCTCTGTAGGAGATGCTGAAGATCTAGCTAGACTTCCACTTTTGAAAGATCTAGAACAAGGTGATGTGAGGTGACATTGGCTAGTCGGCTCTGTGTTTTGTCAATGTGGTTAGTTAGCTACGTTTTCTGCTCACCCGAGACTAAGCCAAACGTTTGTGTAGTTAACTATTACTACTAGCTGCTACTACTACTACTAGAGAGCCACATGTGATTGAAACTAGCTACTACTCGGTAGCTAGCTCCTAAGTAGTTAGTTAGCTAGCTAGACCGTCCATATGCTTAATCTCTGATTAATTGATTCGCCGCAAGTCATGCGCCTGCTGGATGGGGCGGATGCCAAGAAGATAGCTAACTACTTCAGTTGACTGGATGACTCACTCCCTAATAACTAGTTAACTAAACCCCTTTTGACGTTAACCACTACAGTAGCTAGTTAAGTAGCTAATTCAATCATGTCCGACTGTTGTATAGCTAATATAGGCAACTAACGTAGCTAGTTAACTAATTACAACTAGTAATTCGGTCAATTTATGCAGATTCAAATGAGCAAGCCCCATGGCAGCAAGTTAGTTAACGTTAGCAAGCTAGCTAGCTACAGGTAGTAAGGTAACGTTAACGTACAATCTAGTTAACACAGCACGGACACACGTGTCCAGATGTCACACTTTTTTTAATCGTGTAAATAAAACCAATCACAAATAAGATCAATATATTTGAAAGGACACAAAGTAATAGTGTAATATATTGAATCAATGAACCAATTGGGAACTACCTAGCAATGTCCAGTCACTCCCTGCCAACAGTCTCCAATGCCACCCCACAAATCCATCGCTAGCATTGCTGAGCATGTTGGAACCAGACACCCGCGCTTTCACAGATGCCGGAGAAAATATTCCGTTAAAACCTGGTAGATTTAACCCCTATAAGATTAAACTTAACGAAGTAAAAACAGGATGGGTTCTACATTCAGTTTTTAGTCGTCAAATGTCCATATACCTCGATCTCGCTTACCGGCTCCGAAGTCGCCATCTTGCCTGTAAAAATTATCCTGTCCGTTCGGAAGCTGGTGCGTCACGAATCACTCAAAAATATACGGAAGCCTTTTTAGTTCAAGAGCATGTGAATGGCGGAAAGCCCACTATCTCAGACAGTAGACTTTTCGCACGCAGGTCTATTATCACTATTAATTCCAATTATAATAATACAAATCTTTCAATCTCCACTACAGACTGATTGCAGACTGAAATCACTGGCCTCTTTAAGAAATGGAACACTAGTCACTTTAATAATGTTTACATATCTTGCACTACTCATCTCATATGTATATACTGTATTCTATAATATTATACTGTATCTTAGTCCATGCCGCTCTGTCATTGCTTGTCCATATATGTATATATTCTTAAATTCCATTCCTTACTAGATTTGTGTGTATTGGGTTTATGTTGTGAAATTGTTAGATATTTCTTGTTAGATATTACTGCACTGTCGGAGCTAGAAGCACAAGCATTTCGCTACACCCGCAATAACATCTGTTAAACACGTATATGTGACAAATGAAATTTAATTTGCGAAATATTTCACTGTGACAAAGGAATGGACCCGGGGAATAAGGTAAGCTATCTTTTTTGTTCTACTGGTTACCTTCTATTCCCAAAAGTAAATTATTGAGGGTCTACACACATATCTAATCAGGGGTCTTGCCATCTGTTATCTGTTGTGTCTAAAGCAGTTATTCTATCACACACACGTCGTATTATAGCTTATATACTTTGAAGTCGTTTATTGTCAATAAAGCAAAAAGACACACAACAAGTCCAAAATATAAATACATATTTATTTCAAAATCACCAGGGGGTAGCTAGCCATTGACAGGAATGCTGAATTTAGTATTTTCTCAAAACTGTAAAATTGATATACATCTTAGTTATGTACAGTAATTTTGTCAATCAGTTTCAAAATAGCAAGACTGTTCGTTATCTACAAACCATGAATAGTACAGTAAAACTGTCAGTTTCACATGAAATGTGTATTTTATACAGTTTTATTCCACATGAAATGTGAATTTTATACAGTTTTATTCCACATGAAATGTGTATTTTATACAGTTTTATTCCAATAAAAACCATTGAGTTTTAAAATGCTGGTGCTAGTTTTTCCTCCTTGATCTACACGTAGGTTACCACAGTTTTCAAGTCACACATAATGGTAGAACCAAGAAATCTTCAAGTGAAGCAATTACAAAAGTTTATTATCTTACAAACTGTCTTATGTATAGCTGGAAACGTTTTAAAGTGACTGTTTTCTACCACATCAGTAACTTTCAACGGCCTACATTCAATATATTGTAATAGACTATATATGTACTGCAGCTACTTTGTATTAAATGCATTCAATCTATGTGTCAACGTTTATCTCAGAGGAAAAATCTAAGTATATGGTTTGACTTTGTCAATCTGTTGACGACATTATTGGAAGAAAGAGAGTTGTGTTAGGAGACTGTGTATGCCCTAGTTGGGTTGAAGCCTGGGTAAATGAACAACCTCACACCTGAGAAACAAAGAGAAAAAAAACAGAAAAAAATATGACAAAAGTCAAACAAAAAATCTCCAGATCTGTGTATTAGTCAAATGAAAGCACCAGTGACATTTGCTTAATCTGCATTGAGCTGCATTAGATCCAGCCTATACTGAGACAGATCAATACAACAGATACCTAGTCAATTGTAATATTAGTGAATGGGCCCATTATTACATGGTTATGATGGACTAACGTGAGCATTGATGAATACCCAACATGGTTGCCCCTATCAAAAGCAGGTTTATACTGTACATTGAAGAGGTCTACTGTCTGACTCAATACGTGATAGACCTAGAACTTATGATGAAAAATGTATGCACTCACTAACTGTAAGTCGCTCTGGATAAGAGCATCTGCTAAATGACTAAAATGTAAAATGTAAATGTAAATGAAAAGATGCAGAGAATTGATGCTACTCTAACTCTGATCAAGTTGACCAATGGCAAAATTGAAGTACTGTAGTCCATAATGCATTCAGGACAGAGACGGTAGAGCACAAAGCTATGGCATGCCCATCCAGAAGGGAAACAGTAAATGCTAGTCATGCAAAAAGCATCATAACATCACCCTTAGAATATACACAGGCTTTGTCAGTGCAGTATCACATTTTGACGAGTTAGCACCATCAGAAAGTAACTAAATTCGACACTGAAACAGTATGCCACAAGCATCGAGGTCGATTCCATTTCAACAGCCTTTTATCCAGGGTTTAAAATGAACTTGAATGAATAAGGTTGAATTGGAAAATTCTCTTAGAATATTACAGTTATTTTATGAAATGACACGAGTTGACCCCAACCCTGTATGCCACATTCAGAACCCCATGTGAAACAGTTATGTAAATGGTATGTAAACAACGTTTTAACAACGTTTCAAAACTGTTACAGCACCAGAAACGATCTGAGGAGTGTTGTATTCTGTCAGAGCAGCTTCACCCAGAAAGTAAAGATGAGGCAATGAGAAACAACAAAGGGTTTGGTTGGTTTTCTCTCCACTTGTATAATGTATTTATACCCAGCATAAGGACAAACATAACTGTCAATCAATGCCCTAGTCAGTTAAAAAGAGAGGATAGAGATGTTGTTAGCGCCTGTAAGAAACATACAGTAATATAGTCACCATTTCTGAACAGGTTTTATGTGGTCTTTTTAGTGTCTGTATCAAAAACAGACATGTCCTATTTAAAACACTCTGGAAGTTCAGACAGTGAACCAGACCTGGGTTAAAATACTATTTCAAATATCTCAATTACTTTCACATACATTCAAAGTAATTTTTTGAAAAGACAAGTAGTTGTATTTGGAAATTTGGAAAGTATTTGAAAATACTCAAATACACTGACGCAAATACATTCCCATGCATTTAACCCAGGTATTTGAAAATAGTATTTTACATAGGTATTTGAAAATACTCTCAAATACAATTTGGTAGACTATTTGTTTTTTACAATCAACCATTCAAATACTCAAATAAAAGTACTTATTTTGGGCTGTGTATTTTGAAAATACTCAAATACACAGAAAAAAGCATTTTAAATACCAGATACTCAAATACACATGTATTTGAACCCAAGTCTTCAGTGAACATACCGTACATGGTTATCCAGATTTATATAAATGAAGTGTCGTTGACAACAAGCACCACAATCTTTATATGCAGCATTTCATAATTGCTTAGTAAGCCTGTTTTTTTTGTGAGACTGATATGTAATTTATAATGTTAAAAATTCATTGTTGAATTAAATCATTCTACAAAAAAAAAAAAAAAGGTTTCACACAAGCTGTCAGATATATCTCTCTATCTGTACATATTGGAACGGGACCTTTTTCAAGTTATGAAAAATAAAAAAGTGCTTTTTCAATATGTCATCATATATCTGTACGCTTAACAAAAAGACAAAAATGATCCAGCCCAAAACAAGGTAGTAAAGTTCCTTCATGACCACCAATAGAGGAATGGAAAGAGAAGGAAAAGCACCATGCTACATGGGTACATTATTTTCACATAAAACTAGAGTAAATGTGTGTAGTCTAGTCTTACATACTGTGTAATATGTGGTCTGTTTATCGAAAGTTGCTGCTACAAATGGCACCATTATATGATCAATCATTGATAAAACTCATTTTGTTAAAAGAGCACTCTTGGCTGAAACAAAGACCATAGAGACTTGACATGAGTGTTTACTAGTGTAAAATGCTAGATGACAGCAACATTGCAGTAAACAGGCTTGCATCAAGAAATAAAATAAAAAAATATATTTAAAAAAATGATCAGAATAAATAATCACATCTTGTTTGTTCTTATTAATCAAGTTGTATTTAAAACCAATTAAAAAACATATTTAAAATTGGTTCTGAGCACCATCTCTTTACATGAAAAACCAGACCCCAAAAATCATCATCAAACACTAAAACTCACAGTTAAAACCTCACAAACGATAGTCTTCCTCATCACTTTAAAAGCAGAGACGAAGAGAAACAAAAATAAACAGACAGACGTTTGGAAAAAGTAACACAACGAAATAACACATAAAAACGAGAGTAGAAGTGTAAAGTTGATTGAGGTAAGGCAGTAGCACAGGGTGGTGTGTGTGTGTGTAGGGTGGTGTGTGTGTGTGTGTTCAAATGTAATCGCTGTATGTGTCTGTGTGTGAGTGTGTGCTTGTGTACGTGTGTGTACATAACAGTATCATGTCCAGCGGTTGTAGGGGCCCGTGACCTGTGTCAGAGCGTAAGGGGACACAGTGACCACCCCATCCCGCGGGACAGTCACCACCTGGCGGGTAGGAACCTTCAACACCCCCTTCTTCTCCTCCGGGCCCTCCTCCTCTCCCTCCTCCTCAGGCTCCACACTCTCTCCCCCGTCCCCCTTCCCCCTCTCCCTCTTCCTCTTGACAGGGCTAACCTCTTCCAGGTCCAGGCCCATCCCCAGCCTCTCAGCCTCCTCCTCCCTCTCCCGCTCCCTCCGGGCCATCTTGGCCTCCCACATGTGCAGGCCGTGGTCGGGCTCGTTGAGGGACTTGTGCTGGTAGAAGACCAGGGAGATGCGGGTGGGGTGGCTGCGGTCGGGTCGGAGGATGGGGGTGGTGGCGTGGAGCTCTCTGCGGGCGCACTCGATCAGGATGGAACCGTGGGAGGGAGCTACCGCCACCCCGCCGATGTCACTGTCCAGGAAGTTGTGCTCACTGTCTGACCACACCTCTTCCTGTTCCTGTTTGACCTCTTCTGGGTTGGGGAAGAGAGGGGGAGGGGCCTGAGGGGGGAGATGAGGGGGATGGGGGGCACCGTGGGGGAGGTCATGACCTCCATGACCTTTAACCCCGTCCCTGACCCCCATCTCCTCCGCCGCCCTGAGGAGCCCGTTGAGTCTGCTGTGGAGGCCCTCTGGGTGGGGTAGGGGGAAGGAGAAGGAGGAGGAGGATGGAGGAGGATTGTTGTGGCCGTGGGGGGGTCTGAGGAGAGGGGAGCAGTGCACCTCGTTGGGCTCCATTTCAAACTTCCTGGGGGGGTAGTTGCCAGGGGTCCCACATCCCTCAGGGTCCGCCAGCTGCTTTCTACTGAGTCCTGGGGAGTAACCATTTACAGCCGCTCCCATTGCCTCGTAATGGAGGGGGGAACCATTGCACTGGGCCCCTGGTGGCCCTCTGTCCCTGTACTGGGGGACAGGCATGCCGGGACGATGGGGGGAAAGAGCCTCTATCCCTGGGGTGGATCTTCCTGGAGGAGTGGGGTAGGTGGAGGTGCTGTGGTGGTAAGGGCTGGGGGAGTTAGACTCTGGTGCATAGGCACCCACACTTCCTGTTGTGTAAGAGCTGTAGAAGGACTGAGGCTCTGTTTTGAAGGAGGAGGACTGATCCGCTGAAGAAGTGCTTTTGGTACCTGTAAGGTGAAATATACAAACCAGGATCAAGCTTTTTCTTGTAAGAGAAATTCAGAAAATCAATCAACCAATTTATCAATCAATCAATCAATCAATCAATTAGTAAATCATGAATAAATCAATTAATCTACCAACCAACTGATTAATCATTCATTCAACCAACCAACCAATCAACCAACCAATTAACCAACCAACCAACCAACCAACCAACCAACCAACCAACCAACCAACCAACCAACCAACCAACCAGAGGTCTCTACCTTTGTTGGTGCTCTCTGTCTTGACCTTGCCCGGGGTTAGTGGACTCTGTCCAGGCTTCCTGTCCTGAGCTGCAGCTTGTTTGTCAGCCTGGGCCTTCAGCTTGGCCTCCTGCTTCCTCTTACGGGCTGATTTGACCGGCTCAGCCAGCAGACGCACCTGGTGATGATATAGACATGGTCATTTAGTAAAAGCTTTTAGTAGATGTTTTTATCAAGTGGTTTGAAGTAAACACATAAATACAGCACACCCCACTGGAACAGACATCATTTACAGCACATCCCACTGGAACAGACATCATTTACAGCACATCCCACTGGAACAGACATCATTTACAGCACATCCCACTGGAACATACATCATTTACAGCACATCCCACTAGAACATACATCATTTACAGCACATCCCACTGGAACAGACATAATTTACAGCACATCCCACTGGAACATACATAATTTACAGCACATCCCACTGGGCACAGATTTCATTTACAGCACATCCCACTGGAACAGACATCATTTACAGCACATCCCACTGGAACAGACTGTCACACCCTGGCTCTGGGACTCTATATGTTGAGCCAGGGTGTGTTCATTCTATGTGTTTATTTCTATGTTGGTAATTCTGTTGTGTTTATTTCTATGTTGGCTAGAGTGACTCCCAATCAGAGGCAACGAGTGTCAGCTGTCGTTGGTTGTCTCTGATTGGGAGCCATATTTATACTGTCTATTTTCCCTTTATGTTTATGGGTTCTTGTTCCGTGTTCGGTCATTGTTACCGTGGACTTCACGAGTTGTTTCTTGTTTTGTTGATTGTGTTCTATTATCACTAAAGATAATAAAGTTAAACATGTTCGTTCATCACGCTGCACCTTGGTCTGTTCATTACGACGATCGTGACAGAAGAACCCACCATGCAACGACCAAGCAGCGTGTCCAGGGGCAGCTCTTGGGCTGGACATGGGAGGAAGCGCCGGGAGAAGAGACGGTGGAGGCGCGCCGTAGAGAGGAGCAGGCAGCCTGGACATGGGAGGAGATATTGGACGGTAAAGGGTCCTGGACTTGGGAGGAAATCCTGGCCGGGATGGATCGCCGGCCATGGAGTGAGACAGTGGAGAGGCGCCGTAGAGAGGAGCAGCGGCGCCAAACGGGTCAACGTCGGACAGGCGAGAGGCAACCCCAGAAAATGTTTAGGGGGGGGCACACGGCATGGACGACGGGGCTGACGGAGGCAAAAAAGGGGCGGATTCAGAAGGCCACCAGGTTACGGATACACCGCCCTGTACGTCCTGTGCGGATGCCTCACACAGAGTGTGTGAGGGTAGGCATTCAGCCAGGACGGGTTGTGGCCGCTCTTCACTCCAGGTCTCCTATCCGTCTCCACAGCCCGGTTCGGCCTGTCCCTGCTCCACGCACCAAGCCTACGGTGTGCGTCGCCAGCCCAGTCCGGCCAGTCCCTGCTCCACGCACCAAGCCTACGGTGTGCGTCGCCAGCCCGGTCCGGCCTGTCCCTGCTCCACGCACCAAGCCTATGGTGTGCGTCGACAGCCCAGCCCGGCCTGTCCCTGCTCCACGCACCAAGCCTACGGTGTGCGTCGCCAGCCCAGTCCGGCCTGTCCCTGCTCCACGCACCAAGTCTACGGTGCGCGTCGCCAGCCCGGCCCGGCCTGTTCCTGCCACTCGCACCAAGTCTACGGTGCGCGTCGCCAGCCCGGCCCGGCCTGTTCCTGCCACTCGCACCAAGTCTACGGTGCGCGTCGCCAGCCCGGCCCGGCCTGTTCCTCCACTCGCACCAAGTATACGGTGCGCGTCGCCAGCCCGGCCCGGCCTGTTCCTGCCACTCGCACCAAGTCTACGGTGCGCGTCGCCAGCCCGGCCCGGCCTGTTCCTGCCACTCGCACTAAGCCAGGGGTGCGAGACGTCAGCCTGGTAAGGCCTGTTCCTGCTACTCGCACTAAGCCAGGGGTGCGAGACGTCAGCCTGGTAAGGCCTGTTCCTGCTACTCGCACTAAGCCAGGGGTGCGAGACGTCAGCCTGGTAAGGCCTGTTCCTGCTACTCGCACTAAGCCAGGGGTGCGAGACGTCAGCCTGGTAAGGCCTGTTCCTGCTACTCGCACTAAGCCAGGGGTGCGAGACGTCAGCCTGGTAAGGCCCGTCCCTCCTCCACGCACTAAGCCAGGGGTGCGAGTAATCAGCCTGGTAAGGCCCGTTCCTCCTCCCACGCACCAAGCCAGGGGTGCGCGTCGTCAGCCTGGTAAGGCCCGTTCCTCCTCCACGCACCAAGCCAGGGGTGCACGTCGTCAGTCCAGCACAACCCGTGCCTGGGTCACCAGCACATCCCACTGGGCACAGACATCATTTACAGCACATCCCACTGGAACAGACATCATTTACAGCACATCCCACTGGAACAGACATCATTTACAGCACATCCCACTGGAACAGACATAATTTACAGCACATCCCACTGGAACAGACATCATTTACAGCACATCCAACTGGGCACAGACATCATTTACAGCACATCCCACTGGAACAGACATCATTTACAGCACATCCCACTGGAACAGACATCATTTACAGCACATCCCACTGGGCACAGACATCATTTACAGCACATCCCACTGGGCACAGACATCATTTACAGCACATCCCACTGGGCACAGACATCATTTACAGCACATCCCACTGGGCACAGACATCATTTACAGCACATCCCACTGGGCACAGACATCATTTACAGCACATCCCACTGGGCACAGACATCATTTACAGCACATCCCACTGGGCACAGACATCATTTACAGCACATCACACTGGGCACAGACATCATTTACAGCACATCCCACTGGGCACAGACATCATTTACAGCACATCACACTGGGCACAGACATCATTTACAGCACATCCCACTGGGCACAGACATCATTTACAGCACATCCCACTGGAACAGACATCATTTACAGCACATCCCACTGGACACAGACATCATTTACAGCACATCCCACTGGAACAGACATCATTTACAGCACATACCACTGGGCACAGACATCATTTCAATGTCTAGTTTGGATTTACATTTGGTTGAATTTCACCATTTAGGTTAAAAGTTGGGTGAAAAAAATACGGAATTCCTTTACGTTGATGACTTTTTGCAAATCCAATCAGTTTTCCATGTGGATTCAACATCATCACATTGATTTTTTTGTTGTTGAAATGACATGGAAACAACGTTGATTCAACCAGTTTTTGCCCAGTGGGATGTGACTCGTGCAAGATCAAACCCAAAACTCTCCTATTGACATGGCCTTGACGCCAACTAATTTAAATCCCGAAGCGTGCAAGGGTGACCAACCCTCCTCCTGGGGAGCAACTGGAGGTTGATTAGTAGAATAAAGTGTGTTAGAGCAGGGCTGGAACAAAAGCCTGCATACCCAGTAACTACAAGTGGAATATTGGCCACCCTGTGTAACAGCCCCAGCCTCCTGGTTCTCCTGGTCGCTACAGGGGGTAAGAACCGATTTAGGGTGAAGTTGTCCCTAGATGCTGATCTCTCGGGTCAGTTTCGCATTTTCTCCACTAATGGTTACTGTTAGGATTAGGGAAGAGGAAGCTGCTCCTAGATCTGTATCTAGGGGGAACTTAGGAAAGCGTAGGAACCTACCTCTCTGGGGAAGGCTGACAGCACCTGCAGGGCTCCAGTCTGGATCTTGTCCCACTGGCCATGGACACGGCCAAACTCATCCCTCTGTGAGATCTTATAGAGGGGTAGGACGTGGAGTTGTTCGTCCTCAGGGATGTTACGCACCGCACGGTTGTCCTCCTTGGTTAAAGTGCAAACCTGCAGGAGGGTCAGACAACAATACATTTTACATGAATGGAAAAGACTAACACAATATCTGGGAGTTTATAGTATCTTGGTTGAAGTGAAAACACATGAGGTTACCAAAAGGGGCATGACATCTCATATCAATTTTTGTTTCCATTATGGACACATTTTAATGATTTGATAGTGACATTTGTGTTTCCGCTATGGAAACCTTTAAATATTTGATACTGTCATTTGTGTAAGATACACTAACTCTCAATGGTGTTGTCCATTAACACCACACTAACTCTCAATGGTGTTGTCCATTAACACCACACTAACTCTCAATGGTGTTGTCCATTAACACCACACTAACTCTCAATGGTGTTGTCCATTAACACAACACTAACTCTCAATGGTGTTGTCCATTAACACCACACTAACTCTCAATGGTGTTGGCCATTAACACAACACTAACTCTCAATGGTGTTGTCCATTAACACCACACTAACTCTCAATGGTGTTGGCCATTAACACAACACTAACTCTCAATGGTGTTGTCCATTAACACCACACTAACTCTCAATGGTGTTGTCCATTAACACCACACTAACTCTCACTGGTGTTGCCCATTAACACAACACTAACTCGCAATGGTGTTGTCCATTAACACAACACTAACTCTCAATGGTGTTGTCCATTAACACAACACTAACTCTCAATGGTGTTGTCCATTAAAATACTGGCACAAGAAGCAAGTGTGTGTAAGTATCTGTGTCTGTGTTTCTCTCTGTGTGCGCGAGTGGCGAGTGTGTGTATATACCAACAATGATGAGACAGCCTACAGGGAGGAGGTTAGAGCCCTGGCGGTGGTGCCTGGAAAATAACCTCTCCCTCAACGTCAACAAAACAAAGGAGCTGATCGTGGACTTCAGGAGACAGCAGAGGGAGCACGCCCCCATCCTCCTCGACGGGCCGCAGTGGAGAGGGTCAAAAGCTTCAAGTTCCTCGGCATGCACATCACTGAGGACCTGAACTGGTCTCACCACACCGACATTGCAGTGAACAAGGCGCAACAGTGACTCTACAACCTCAGGCAGCTTAAGAAATTCCCTCAAAACTTCTACAGATGCACCACTGAGAGCATTCTGTCAAGGCTCCATCACTGCCTGGTACGGCAACTGCACCGCAATCGAACACATGGCTCTCCAGAGTGTGGCCCAGTCAGCCCAATGCATCACTGGTGGTACGCTGCCTGCCCTCCAGGACATTTAGAGCACTCGGTGTCAAAGGAAGGCCAAGAAGATCATTAAGGACCTCAGTCACCTGAGCCACGGACTGTTCACTCGCCTACCGTCTGACAGACAGAGACAGTACAGGTGCATCAGAGCCGGGACTGAGAGACTGTTGAACAGCTTCTATTACCAGCCCATCAGAGTGTTGAACAGCTTCTATTACCATCAGACTGTTGAAAAGCTTCTATTACCAGACCATCAGACTGTTGAACAGCTTCTATTACCATCAGACTGTTGAAAAGCTTCTATTACCAGCCCATCAGACTGTTGAACAGCTTCTATTACCAGACCATCAGACTGTTGAACAGCTTCTATTACCAGACCATCAGACTGTTGAACAGCTTCTATTACCAGACCATCAGACTGTTGAACAGCTTCTATTACCATCAGACTGTTGAACAGCTTCTATTACCATCAGACTGTTGAACAACTTCTATTAACATCAGACTGTTGAACAGCTTCTATTACCATGCCATCAGACTGTTGAACTGCTTTTATTACCAGCCCATCAGGCTGTTGAACAGCTTCTATCACCAGACCATCAGACTGTTGAACAGCTTCTATTACCATCAGACTGTTGAACAGCTTCTATTACCATCAGACTGTTGAACAGCTTCTATTACCATCAGACTGTTGAACAGCTTCTATTACCATCAGACTGTTGAACAGCTTCTATTACCAGACCATCAGACTGTTGAACAGCTTCTATTACCATCAGACTGTTGAACAGCTTCTATTACCATCAGACTGATGAACAGCTTCTATTACCATCAGACTGTTGAACAGCTTCTATTACCATCAGACTGTTGAACAACTTCTATTACCATCAGACTGTTGAACAGCTTCTATTACCAGACCATCAGACTGTTGAACAGCTTCTATCACCAGAACATCAAACTGTTGAACAGCTTCTATTTCCATCAGACTGTTGAACAGCTTCTATCACCAGAACATCAAACTGTTGAACAGCTTCTATTACCATCAGACTGTTGAACAGCTTCTATCACCAGACCATCAAACTGTTGAACAGCTTCTATCACCAGAACATCAAACTGTTGAACAGCTTCTATTTCCATCAGACTGTTGAACAGCTTCTATCTCCAGACCATCAGATTGTTGAACTGCTTTTATTACCAGCCCATCAGACTGTTGAACAGCTTCTATTAAAAGACCATCAGACTGTTGAACAGCTTCTATTACCAGACCATCAGACTGTTGAACAGCTTCTATTACCATCAGACTGTTGAACAGCTTCTATTACCATCAGACTGTTGAACAGCTTCTATTACCATCAGACTGTTGAACAGCTTCTATTACCATCAGACTGTTGAACAGCTTCTATTACCATCAGACTGTTGAACATCTTCTATTACCATCAGACTGTTGAACAACTTCTATTACCATCAGACTGTTGAACATCTTCTATTACCATCAGACTGTTGAACAGCTTCTATTACCATCAGACTGTTGAACATCTTCTATTACCATCAGACTGTTGAACACTTCTATTACCATCAGACTGTTTGAACAGCTTCTATTACCATCAGACTGTTGAACAGCTTCTATTACCATCAGACTGTTGAACAGCTTCTATTACCATCAGACTGTTGAACAGCTTCTATTACCATCAGACTGTTGAACAGCTTCTATTACCATCAGACTGTTGAACAGCTTCAATTACCATCAGACTGTTGAACAGCTTCTATTACCATCAGACTGTTGAACAGCTTCTATTACCATCAGACTGTTGAACAGCTTCTATTACCATCAGACTGTTGAACAGCTTCTATTACCATCAGACTGTTGAACAGCTTCTATTACCAGACCATCAGACTGTTGAACAGCTTCTATTACCATCAGACTGTTGAACAGCTTCTATTACCATCAGACTGTTGAACAGCTTCTATTACCATCAGACTGTTGAACCTTCTATTACCATCAGACTGTTGAACAGCTTCTATACCATCAGACTGTTGAACAGCTTCTATTACCATCAGACTGTTGAACAGCTTCTATTAACCATCAGACTGTTGAACAGCTTCTATTACCATCAGACTGTTGAACGCTTCTATTACCATCAGACTGTTGAACAGCTTCTATTACCATCAGACTGTTTGAACAGCTTCTATTACCCATCAGACTGTTGAACAGCTTCTATTACCATCAGACTGTTGAACAGCTTCTATTACCAGACCATCAGACTGTTGAACAGCTTCTATTACCATCAGACTGTTTGAACAGCTTCTATTACCATCAGACTGTTGAACAGCTTCTATTACCATCAGACTGTTGAACAGCTTCTATTACCATCAAACTGTTGAACAGCTTCTATTACCATCAGACTGTTGAACAGCTTCTATTACCATCAGACTGTTGAACAGCTTCTATTACCATCAGACTGTTGAACAACTTCTATTACCAGATCATCAGACTGTTGAACAGCTTCTATTACCAGATCATCAGACTGTTGAACATCTTCTATTACCATCAGGACTGTTGAACAGCTTCTATTACCATCAGACTGTTGAACAGCTTCTATTACCATCAGACTGTTGAACAACTTCTATTACCAGATCATCAGACTGTTGAACAGCTTCTATTACCAGACCATCAGACTGTTGAACAGCTTCTATTACCATCAGACTGTTGAACAACTTCTATTACCAGATCATCAGACTGTTGAACAGCTTCTATTACCAGATCATCAGACTGTTGAACATCTTCTATTACCATCAGACTGTTGAACAACTTCTATTACCAGATCATCAGACTGTTGAACAGCTTCTATTACCAGACCATCAGACTGTTGAACAGCTTCTATTACCAGACCATCAGACTGTTGAACAGCTTCTATCACCAGACCATCAGACTGTTGAACAGCTTCTATTACCATCAGACTGTTGAACAGCTTCTATTACCATCAGGCTGTTGAACAGCTTCTATTACCAGACCATCAGACTGTTGAACAGCTTCTATTACCATCAGACTGTTGAACAGCTTCTATTACCATCAGGCTGTTGAACAGCTTCTATTACCAGACCATCAGACTGTTGAACAGCTTCTATTACCAGGCCATCAGACTGTTGAACAGCTTCTATTACCAGACCATCAGACTGTTGAACAGCTTCTATCACCAGACCATCAGACTGTTGAACAGCTTCTATTACCAGCCCATCAGACTGTTGAACAGCTTCTATTACCATCAGACTGTTGAACAGCTTCTATTACCATCAGACTGTTGAACAGCTTCTATCACCAGACCATCAGACTGTTGAACAGCTTCTATTACCAGCCCATCAGACTGTTGAACAGCTTCTATTACCATCAGACTTTTGAACAGCTTCTATTACCATCAGACTGTTGAACAGCTTCTATTACCATCAGACTGTTGAACAGCTTCTATTACCATCAGACTGTTGAACAGCTTCTATTACCAGACCATCAGACTGTTGAACAGCTTCTATTACCATCAGACTGTTGAACAGCTTCTATTACCATCAGACTGTTGAACAGCTTCTATTACCAGACCATCAGACTGTTGAACAGCTTCTATTACCAGACCATCAGACTGTTGAACAGCTTCTATTACCATCAGACTGTTGAACAGCTTCTATTACCATCAGACTGTTGAACAGCTTCTATTACCATCAGACTGTTGAACAGCTTCTATTACCATCACACTGTTGAACAGCTTCTATCACCAGACCATCAGACTGTTGAACAGCTTCTATTACCAGACCATCAGACTGTTGAACAGCTTCTATT